GTTCTGACACATCAGTCCGTTAAGTGATGTGCTTTGTAATGGTTTTGAAGTGACTGTTGGCATGTATGGCCACTCCGCCTCCTTCATGGTGTACCCTATGGTATAGGAAGTGTCATGCCTTTCAAGATCACTTCATCGTCTGCGATGTTAGGGGATATCCGTATTTCAGTTAGGATTGTGATATTCAGACCCATATGAGAGCACCTATTCATGATTTCTAATAACTTACTCATTAGACCTCCGACGTTGCCATAGAGGCGAATCGTGGTTTGTCTCGTCACCTGGTGCACCTCTGCAGCGAAAACCACTGTAAGATTTCCAAATGAGTTTTTCAAAACCAGTTGACCGGTTCAGGAGGGATTGGCCTCTGCAGGTTTTTGGCTTGTGTAGTGAATTCAATCAGCGGTCACATGTATTGTGCCGTGAGTCACGGTGAGGTAAGCTGTCATCACTGTGTGCTGATTTCGACCCCGTTTTGGTGTTTCGCATGTCCAGATAGACTTTTGTAAAATTTCAATTGACTAGGTAGATCATTTTTTCATACCCTAAGAAGCCTGAAGTGACTCAGTTAGGTCTTCTTGATTACTAAATTCCACAGCCACCAGATGTGAACACTTAATTGCCGCGACATCTGACGGACGAGGAACCAGGACAAAGCTAATCGCAGGCCCGTGCTACGTGATAGCTGTCGCCATTATTGCATGTCATGTAAGTAAGCTTCGTCCATGCTACTCTAACCATCTGACAAAAACGTCGTAAAAATACAATACTGGTCTGCTCTTAGGTGCCATTTTATGCCCTGTCAACTACTAGCACTTAATACAGTTTGTCATGAAAGACTCGAATCGGGAAGGCCAGTTTAAAAGTGTTCTTTGGCAACTTGTGCTGAGACCAAGGTTAACCTCAACGGTGATGGACTCTATTTAAGAACGTTCTGCCTCTTAAAAGCGAGCAGAAATCGGCTGTGGCATTGCTCATTCCAAGAATTGGGCAGCAGTTATTCTATTGTGAGTTATCAAAGACAGCTCTGCTTTTCAGTAAGCTACCCTCCAACACTAGAACATTAAATAAAATTAACGAATATCGTCTCACGTCCCTGTACCTAGTTTGAAGCGCTTTTCGAGATGTGGTGTTGCCTTTTCCCTTACATTCATCCACTGCTCCTTGATATTAACAACCAGAAGTTTCATCGGTATATTGGTTCGGGTTGCTGCTAACTTCTCTACCTGTTTGGTCGGTTTTGTGCAGGACGAATTCGCCTTGCTTAAGTAGATTTGTGGGTGGGACATGCGGCTCTGCTGATGCTGACTTTTGCTGTCTCAGAGGTTCTGCACTGTGCACAAATATGCCAGAAACGCTGACAGGGATAACTCAGCAGGAACCCATAGTATTGTCTGGGTACTGTAGTGTCACAGCGATAATGAATCCATGCACTGCAGAAGTTGTATTTAGATGCATTTCTGCTGCTCTTGATTGGCCTCGAGTGAGTATTACAGTTGTCCTTGGTTACAGTTATTGTCTTGGCTCCTTTTTTGAAGATGTTAATTCATTTAACCAAATCATGTTTTAACGTTTATTTCGATCCCGTTACAATTAATCCTGTTGAAATTTTTCGATGAAGCTCGGTGATCTTCCTGTCGAACTTATCTTTTATCTCATCCAAGCTGCAGTCAGTGGGAGCGTACGCAGATACGATGAAGAGGCAACGGCGTGTGTTCCTTACTGTCCGGTTTAATCGGACAGCACACAACTGACTTTCTACTGACATCCAATTCAAGAGTGTTAGTTTTGCCCTGAGATGCAGCAGCAGGGTTTCCAGATAAACAGAGTATAAACGGAGTTGGTTCTTTATTTTGACAAGGTGAAATCAAAGCAATGATTTAGCTACGAATACGTACGTTAACACCTAAAGGTTTACATAGTTATTGCATTGACTCTTCTTAAAGAATCCAAAAATATCCCGGATTGAGTGCAGAGATGAGCAACCAAATGGGCGTTAGGGTTGAAGAAACAACCTTACGAAGATAGACTGCGGCACTTGGGATTAGAGGAGAATCATAGGTCACCTGGTCATGGCGCACAACATATGTAGCACTCTAAATCGTCCCAACAGGGGGATCTTTCCGAATCATCATCACTATGATCCTTGATATAACCCTTGAAAAAGTTAGACGGTGCGAGATTTTATTCATCAAAGTTTTCTTTTTACAAACTTTACTCTTTCGATTTCAATATACATAAATCCAGCTTCTTACCTCGACTTCTCTTCTATCCACCTGACACTGCACAACTCTTCCTTCTTTTTGCTGTGCTCCTTCATCTGTGTGTTATATTCTTATATTCCCGTAATTTACTTTAGTTTAAGCGGTCAGTATGAATTTTATCTTGACTTACTACTGTATTGACTACTTCAACATTACAGGTTAAGTAGTGCTTTGGTTATATATATACACATGCCACAATGCTGCCTTTTTCTCTCTATCTTCTCTTTTTCAGAACCCCATTCACGGTGGGAAATCCTTGGCGACTCTAGGGAACACGCACCCTATGTACATGACTGTCCGGATCACAGCGCGTATCAAGCGCGTTCCATCTGACCTTTCCCAACAAATTCACTATTGATCTCGGCAAATCGCCAAAAGAACCTGTTGTGCACCTTCCTTATTTGTACTCTACTATTGAAAATGTGGCTGTATAAAAGTGTTTTTGCCGGTGACATGATGTATATGTGCTATCAGAAAATGACTCTTATACTTAATTTAACTGCTATAACTTTACAGTAATTGTGAAATCATTTGTGACAATTTGATCTAGCCTGTAAACTGGCGTGACCCTTGTAACGTAGTTATTTGAGAATAAATATATTATTATTAGAGTACACGCTAGTTGGCGAGTATCCATATCGGGAGTTTCACAGGGGACCATCCTAGGTCCACTCATCTTCCTGATATTTATTAACGACCTACTAGGCTCAGTTAGCTCACCGGCATTGATCTACGCAGACGATGCGAAGATCTGGAGGTCCATTAGAAGCGAAGAGGATTCGACTGAGCTTCAAAAGGACCTTACATCTTTTGAGAAATGGGCAGTGAAAAACGGTTTCATACTCAACCAACCGAGGTGCCACGTCATGCATCTCCTGCCTCATGACGCAAACGATCTATACCCTCAATGGACGTCCGCTCCCTAATGTCTCCTCGTAGCACGATTTCGGTCTAATAACCACAGAAAGCCTTCACACGAGTCCAAAATATGTAGGGGATGCAGTCAAGGCAAATGCGACTCTTCACTTTATGCGAAGACAGCTTGGTGCTATAACCCCGAAATTATTTTTAACCCTGTTTAAGACGTACGCGCGCCCACACTTGGAGGTTCACAACGTCATCGCACCCCCTCTGCTTAAAAGAGACATACATCTCTTGGATCGAGTGCAGAGACGAGCAACGAAATGGGTGATAGGGCTGAAAAATAAACCATACGACGATAGACTCCAGCTCTTGGGATAATTTCCACTGAGCTACAGGAGAATCAGAGGTAATCCGATTATGGATAACTTACTTACTTGCTTACGCCTGTTACCCCCAATGGAGCATAGGTCGCTCACCAGTTTTCTCCAACCAACTCTGTTCTGGGCTTCTCTCTCCAGTTCTGTCCAATGTTCGTTCATTCCTCTCATATCTTTCTCTATTTCTCGGCGTAGTGTGTTCCTTGGCCTTCCTCTTTTCCTTTTGCCTTGAGGGTTCCATGTGAGGGCTTGTCTCGTGACGCAGTTAGGTGCTTTTCGTAGTGTGTGTCCTATCCACTTCCACCGCTTCTTCCTGATTTCCTCCTCCACTGGAATCTCGTTTGTTCTCTCCCACAGTTCGTTGTTGCTGATGGTGTCTGGCCAACGAATACGAAGTATTTTGCGTAGACAACTGTTAATAAACACTTGTATCTTCTGGATGATGGCTTTCGTAGTTCTCCATGTTTCCTCTCCATACAGTAGAACTGTCTTGACATTTGTATTGAATATCCTGATTTTGGTTTTCATTGAAAGTTGTTTGGAGTTCCAGTTATTTTTCAACTGTAGAAATGCAGCCCTCGCTTTGCCAATCCGTGCCCTCACATCTGCATCGGATCCACCATGGTTGTCGATGATGCTGCCCAGATATGTTAAGGTGGTAACGTCCTCCAAGGCATCTCAATCAAGAGTGATTTGGTTGGTGCATGTTGTGTTGCATCGGAGAATTTCGCTTTTTCCTTTATGTATGTTGAGACCTACTGCTGCAGAGGCTGCTGCTACACTGGTCGTCTTCTCTTGCATTTGTTGTTGCGTGTGCGATAGAAGAGCCAGCCATTCCAATGTGAGCATCATACAGATGTATCATCACCACTACGCTCGAGGCCATCCTCAGAAGATTGCACATCAAAGGTTCGTGCACACTTTTTCTCATTGCGAGTCGTCGCAACTCGGAATGCTCTCCAAGCCAAGGAAACCACAGCCCCCTCAGTGCATTGCTTTAAGAAGAGATTTGATAATCACGTACTCATATACGGACTATCATCTCCCTCTTGGACAAGCTGTTCATGATGCGTATCTTGAGACCTGCTAGTTGTTACCATTGCCATCTCCTCAGATCACTCAATTAATCTGTCTCGCCTATTATCTCTGTTTCCTCCCCCTTGCTTACACTTCGGTCCTCTCTCACAATCTTCACTACCAATTAATAAACTAAATCATCTATATATTATCATTAGAATTTTATCCTTATTACCCTTATTACTCTCCACATTGCAACCGGTCTGGTAATGTGACGGTTGCTAGTATCCAGAAACCCTACTGCCCTGAAATGAACGTTTTCATTCAAATCCCGAGACATACAAACTCACAACTAACTGCCAACTGACTAGAATTAGACAGTCGAGTGGCTAGAAATCCATCCATTGGACATCACCGAAAACCTGGAACCGTATCGAAAGAACAAGAATTGAGTGCGAAGAAATCAAATTGGTTTACACTAGCTCGCGAAAAGATATTGGATATTGGATGACCTTGATATCTTTTTCCGCGACTTTTTGGTTTTTTATCCAGTTTGTTATTCACGTCATTCAGCGTAAGTATTGACTACAATGTATTCACCATTATTAAATCCGAAAATTTACAAAACTTTGAACCTGTTTGTGACAGCTTACTGTCGTCGAATGACCAGTCCTGGTAACCATAATCACCGAGGCATGCTTTGCCACGCTTCAAATTTTACTAATTTTTCAATGCACACTTCAAATTCCTGTGTAGTCCATAAAATTACCTCGTTCAGCCTTATTTACATGTTTTTATATGTAGTAAGTTCTGTGTATCCGAACTAGTCATCTGGTAAGTGGTTATCTGGTCTGAGCTGAACTTACATCTGATGGTTTGCATAGCTTCTCTGCATCATAAGCATAGCGTGAATTTTCGATGTTACGTCCCACTCAGGATAGTTCCTACTCTTACGCACGCTATATTAAGAACGGTGATTCCCATACTCCCTAACTAACTTTACTTTCATCTCTTAATTACATCAAAAGCGTTCTCTGCTTTATTTATCTTAGATTATTTTGTTTCATTCTCGTCTTCTTGCACTACATTATTAGTTCAGTCTCACTATTTAGAATTGTGCGTGTTTCACCTAAGTTTTTCACCCTTGAATCCGCCGAAATGTTTCTTTCCTCTGGAGGAAGAAATTACTACTTACCGCTACTTAGGGCTGTTACCCTCAGTGCGGTATAGGCCGCCAACCTGCATTCTCCAACCTACTCTGTCTTGGGCCTACTCCGGTTCTATCCAATCGATGTTCATTACTTTCATGTCTGTCTCCAATACTTGACGCATTGTGTTCTTCGGTCTTCGCATTCTCCTCTAGTCTTGAGGATTCCGAGTGACGGCTTGTTTTGTGACGCAGTTGGTTGGTTTCCTCAGTGTATCCTTCAGCGCCATTTCCCTACTTTTTCATCTGCAGGGATCTGGTTTGTTCTCTCCCACAGAAAGGAATGCATTGTGATAAATTGAACATGTGGTTCCATGAGATGCGTACCCATCTAGAATGTAGCGCATAGAAATATATTCGAAGCCTAATCCCGATTGGTTTTGTATGTTTTACTGTTTGAGTACGGCATTACTATTCCAGAAGGTGATGGGTTTTCTGGCATTGGCCAATAAGAAAGCTGGCGGTAGCCGCAGTGCCCAACTGACCAAAGGGTTAGTCTACTACATTACGGGTGTGAAACATGGCTATTAAGGGTAGAGAATATTCACAAGTCGCTAGCATTCGGTCATAGGTGTCTTCGGAACGTTACCCGTATATCCTAGGATCACCTAGTAAACAATGCTGGTGTTATAAAAAGGATAAAGGGTAAAAGAGAAAGATGGTAGACTAATTGATGAAGTGGTGAATCTTCATAATTGGAGGTGGTCGGGATATATGGTACGTATGCTCACCGACTGCCTCAACAAGCGATGTCTTCTGATGTAGTGATAGGTTGGAAGAAAGCTGGGGGTGGCCAAACCAAAATGTGGCATCAGTTCATGAAGTGATTGGCAGTGGGACTGAGCCATGTTAGTAGGTATAGACTACCAGGCTGGGGTCTACGTGACAATCTTAACCGGTGGTTAGAGAGTTTGAATGACGTAGCTCATAACCGTTTTCAACGGCACAGGTTCATTCTTTCTTCTTGTTCTCTCAAATCCTGATCCTCTGGATTCTACACACTTTTATCTTTCTCTTTTGGGGATTATGTTACTAGAATATACTTCTCGAATAATATCCTCGAACCCTAAAATTCAGAATCATCGAGGTAAAAACTATCTGAGAAGTTATAGAAATCGATGCCAGAAAGGGATAGGGGTCATTATATTCATAATTAATTTAAATAAGCCTTTCTGTTTGCTTATCTCGTATTAGTGGGACTTGCAAAGTCCACTGCCTGTGAATACAGTTCTACAGGTTGCACATTTATACTGGGTTTCATCTATAGTATTTCAACTCGTTTTTTAAATTTTTAACGTCTTTTAAAATAACCAAAATTTTTCAAAAATCTTCACAGCGTTTTTTAAATTAACCTTACAACCTTATAACCTTATAGCGGCCTGGTAATTCACGTTCACAAGAAATACCGCATCTTAAACACTGTATCCATCTTCAATAACCTTTTTATGAGGTTTTTTCTTCTTTCATTTGAAATCAAGTTGTTTTTCTTCTTTATTTCTGACGTTTTAAGGATCACAAAAAAATTTTAAAAAACACTATGAAACTTTTAAAAAGATTTTTGGTTATTTTGAAAATCCCTGTAAAAAATTTAAAAAACGAGTTGAAATACTACACCATGACACAAGCTGCTTAGTTGACGATTTTATTCTAGAGAACATTCAGCTATGTACTTGATATCAATTCGACAGAGACATCCATCTTAAGATCCGAAAGTTCTTTTGATAGTAGGCTCCTGATGATTTTAATGAGACATATTTTAACACAGCAAGTATCAGAGCCCTTTCGTTTAATTTCAAACCAAGGATCTTATTTGTTAAACTCAGTAATCGCTCATGCACCCGACAATATTGTCTGTTTAAATATTTTCGCTCCGTTAGCTAGTAGCAATCATGTTTTATCATTCATGTTTAGGAATTGTAACGTAGTATATGATCAGGCTTGACCTTACTTAAAGTTGGGAAGAGCGAACCTGACAGCAATACAGGAGTGTGCTGCAACAACAGACTGGTTTGTAAATTCTAGTTTATCAACGGAAGAAGCACAGCCCATATTTGAAGTTACACAGCTCAACTACGATCCCCATTATACCGTACTTAGTAACACGTAGACTAAATTCACTGCTCATCATGGATGACTAAAAAGGTTACGAAACTTCTGCAACTGAGGAACGGGTATTGGAGTATGTTTATCTCTAGACTAAATAGTGCAGATCCACTTGTAAGACTCAGTCAGTCAGTTGCAACGTAGAACTTCGTACGTATGTACATAAGTTCATTTTGCCATACCACATTAGCACAGAGACGCAAATGTCAAATCAAATCTCATAGTGATAGTGTTGGGATCCTGTCACTTCTTTTCCAAGAAGATCCGTTTTCATTGACAAGAAATTATGTTGAAAAAGCAGAAGCTCCATCAAAATATCTTATTAAAGTATTTTCTACCGACGATGGTGAAAGACCAATCATTAATTACAATAAAGAAAGTCCTTTCATGCTTGACAAGTTTCCTCATCGCAGGAGAGGTTTTGACTGAAGTAAAAGGTAGTAATATTTCATTAGATGTCGTTCTCATAAATCTGAGTAAAACTTTCGACAAGTTCTCTCACAAAGGTCTTAAATTCAAAATGGAAAGCTTTGGAATTCATCATACAATTCGAAACTAAATAAGTAACTTTCTCAATCATATGAAAGAACGGGTAATGCTAAACGAGGCGGAGTAGGGTGATTGTAAGACTGCCGTTACCAAAGACCTCAGGGTCTTATGGGCTATTCGTAGATCATTATATCACTTGCAGGAAGAAATGTTTAAGGTACTATAAGCGATGTTTGTGAAGCCATGTTTGAAATATGGGATTCAAGCAGCAAGTCCTTGTTCAAGCATGAAGCCGATATGTTAAAGCGAGTTCAACGGCGAGAGACCAAAATGCTGAAAGCTCTCACTGACCTATCATGTGAAGATGGACTGAGACGCTTCAGCCTATTCACATTTTCTTACTGTAGGTTGCAAGGTGATTTAATGCTGGCGTACCATATACTGAACGATAATTTCCTTATTAATATGTCTTATCTCTTCCTTACATCTAGGACTGGGAGGATATTCCTGGAGGATATTCTAGGAAAGTTATAAAACCGTGATCAAGTCGTTAACATCTGAAGCTCCATTTCTCACATCCACTAGTGAATTGCTGGAATTCTCTTCCAGAGTACGTATTACCAACACCGTTTAATACATCCAAAACGGGATTGAATCTTCACTTTAATATGAATTGCAAGGATTAACACAGTCTGACTGACCCATTCTTACTACTGAAGACTGAAAACTGAACAAAGGGATTTGGTATTGTTAGTCAAGATTTACTCGGACACCATGCGAATTTGAATATGCATATTGATGCGTTTACAGGGTGTAGGCTCACATTAGTTTTCTTGTGTTTTTCCTTACAGACTTTTGATTCAAAAAGTTAGTCACCATCTTCGCCGACCGAGTATTTAACTTCATACAATATGCATGGGAGAGTTAAAGTCATACAAACAGCTGAACAGGAACGTGCCAGAAAGCTAAAAAGGGATCAAATAAGTAAGGAATTCGCGGAAGAATGCGAGAAGCTATGGGCTTGTCGTGAGAAGAACGATTTTAGTGAGGCACAGTTGGAAAAAATTGGTTCTCTTATAGAGACATCTCCGGATACAGCAACCCTGTGGAATTATAGACGCGAAATAATAATGCATCTTATCAAGAACTACTCTGAGGATCAAGAAAAGGTTTCCGAGTTACTTGAATCTGAATTAAACCTTACAACTCGTTGTTTATACAGCTCACCGAAATCTTATACTATTTGGTATCACCGTACTTGGGTTATGAGTAATCACACTGCTCCGAATTGGGAATCTGAATTGAAGCTTTGTAACCAAGCGTTAGCAAAAGATGAACGAAATTTCCACTGTTGGGATTATCGCCGCTTTGTCGTTTCTAAAGGCAGTGTTTCAACTGAGTTAGAGCTTGAGTTTACATACACTGCAATAGAAAAGAACATGAGTAATTATTCAGCTTGGCACTATCGTGGTGAACTATTAGCTTCTGTATCTAATGTTCCTTGTATGTCGTCAGTTAGAAGTCCCACTTCTCAGATTCAAGGGAACAGCAGGCAAAGCCGACCTCGGTTCGACTTTTCAACACCAAATGGCGAACTAGATCTTGTTCACAATGCTTTATACACAGATCCTGCGGATCAGAGTCCTTGGTTCTATTATTGGTGGTTGCTGGGTTCCGGAGAAAGGAAAGTTTACTTGAGGGAATTATATATTTCACGGAAACTAGGAAGATTCGTTCTTGTGTTCAGCTCTGCGAAATTGATTCAAACCTTAAAAGAGTTGCAAGTTTCTATTAAAGTGTTTCCCTGTGAGGGCACAGTTTCTAATTCTATAACTCTGACACCTAAGCTTCTTGGGGGATGGAACTCTGTACTTGATGAACAGTTATCAGCTGTTTGGTGGTTGCCACTTAATAACGATTTAGTCACTCGTTACGCTCCTGAAAATGATAGGCACCTATATCAGTGTCAGCCTTGGAACGTCGTAGCGCAAGTCTCCATTAGGAAAACTAATAGAGATGGAAGAAATGAAATTCATGAAAATATGTCTGAAGATTCTGCAAACTACTTGCATCTTCGTTGTTGTATGGATTCTCATCAGAATGAATCGTTGACGCGTGTCACTTTGGACCCTCTAAGATTGTTGAATCCTATGATCTTGCCGTCTCATGATCCAAAAGATTTGGTTGGGGAGCTGAATACTGTTCGAGAACTACTTTCGTTTGAACCAGGAAACAAGTGGGCTTTGTTAACATTTGTTAGCCTTCTTCGTTTTATTCGACCGCATAACTGTAATGAAGAAGTAACTGAAGCTTTAAACAAGTTAGTATCAGTCGATCCTCAGCGTTCTTCTTATTATGAGCACTTGCGATCTCTGTATGCTGCTCTAGATGTTCTAGCTCATGCGTATGAGTATCAGTCTAGGGAAGTGGTGTTACATGGTCTGGATATGAGTTGCTTTCGTAATCTTGATTGGTATGCATTGATGACCAAAATCAACTTTTCTAATAACTCAATTGTACGAATCCCGGATACTTTCGCTTATTTAATCTCCGTTTTGGAATTAAATTTAGATGATAACCAGTTAGTAACTCTTCATGGGATTTCGCGTCTTCCATCTTTAACCAACCTTTCTGTTCAACGCAATCGACTGTGTACTTTCGAATCTATTGAAGACTTAGTTTATTGCCCCAGTTTACGCATTGTGTACATGAATGGAAATGAGGTTGTCAAGTTACCCCACTTGAGTAATATGATATCAGAACACCCAGGGTTCCAAAGGCAGGGAGGTTCATTTTCTTTAGTATATGATATAACAGATCACCATTAACCTCACAATTTTGTACAAAATATTTGGATCTACTGGCATAATATTGATAATAATTTGTGATACTTGACAATTTTTCTCTTGTAAATTTTCGTATTTCTGAATTAAATATATCCAGTACTTGAATGTTAAGAACAAAGTACGGAGTATATGATTTGTTTATTTCCTTTGGATGAAATTGAAGCTTTGTTTTTGGGTTCTATGGGTTAAAAAGTTGTATTTTGTCTTGAAATTGACAAATGTCTTCTGATATAGGTATCCACTCGTTAGTTATTAGATACACTTTCTAGATAAAGGGCGAATCAGTTTAACTAACACGGATACAAAAGGCTCGATTAGCTTTCACCAACTTGCGTCACTTATGGAGTAGGCGAGATGTCCGTTTACTAACCGAAGGACGAGTATACTGCGCTGAAGTTCGCTCCGTCCTACTTTATGGCTTTGAAACATGGTCAGTAAGAATAGAGGATATCCATAAGTTACTATTTTTCGATCATTAATGTCTCCGATGCGTTGCTCGTATATCCTGGTATTATCGAGTAAGCAGTGCTGATGGAAACGAGTGCTAGGTAATTGATTAAGTATTGAAACTTCATCAGTTGAGGTGGTTGGGATATGTGTTACGTATGCCTAACCACTGACTGCCTCGTTGAGCTGTGTTTTGTGATGTAGGAATAGGTTGGAAGAAAGCTAGGGGCAGCCAAACCAAAACATGGCAGAAATGCATGAATTCACTGACAAGTGGACTGAGTCATGTTGGTAGGTGTCGACTACCTGGTTGGGGTCCGCGAGATGATAATAATCGATGCTTAGAGACCCTGAGTGACATGGCTGAAAACAGTTTGCAATGGCGTAGGAGCATTCTTTCTTTGTGTTCTCTCAAATCCTAACCTTCAGAGTTCCTCATCACCTTTATCTTTTTATTTCTAAGTTTATTTCACTAGATTCTACTTCTTGCATAATATCCTCGAACCCTAATTTCTCCGATTACTGCTAATTCTTCTACTACCTCTACTACTATGGGATTTAAATTGACCATTGTGTCTGTGTGCTAATTTGGTTTAAATTTATAGACCACTACTAAACCACTTCAATAAGAAGTGACTACATTCTTTAGGCACCTGTCAGAACTTAATACCTGTTTCAGCACTTTGTTGACGAAATCAATCCATTTTTCTGACGTCAGATTGAACTTTACTAGTAATATGGATCATAAGCTCGTAACCACTGTTTCATGCTTGTTGTTTCAAACTCAGTTTAACTCAAACATATGAGTAGAATTCGAACACTCATTACAGTTACACATTTCGATTTTTTACAGACTTGTTAACATTAAACTTGCGGTTGTCATACAAAGGATGGTCAGCTTAATAATCAGCTTTCGGAGATTTCTGTTGTTCTTTTGTACATACGTAGGTAATAAGAGTTGGACATGGTTGTGTTTCCTTGCTTCCTCATTTCTATAAAAGCAGTTCCTGAAACTGAGTCCTGACTAGTTCAAAAGATAAAAGTTCTTAAGTAGCTATGATCCAGTTCTTTCAGTGTAACTTATATTTCAGAAAAAATATTAGTTATGCTGTTTCTGTTCAGAAGTTTATTCTGTAGTATCGAAGTGTTTTATGAAGTTATTTTTCATATACTTTTGGCTACTATACTGATCACTTTAAGAATATCACAAGACAGTTTAAAACGCTCTGTAGTAGTTGTGCAAGTTTAGTTTCAGACTTTTGACAAAGGAATTAAGGAATACATCTATCGAATACATGTTATTGTTGCCAATTCTGAATTATATTCCTCATAATATTCAACGACTGATTTCTTCCTGGCTAAAAGTCAGTAACTTAAAAGACTAGTCTGGTAATCGTTGTATTATCACAAGCTGATATTGCATCGACTTGCACAGCATTAATTTAGATAGTGTAAAGTTCCCAAACAATCTTATTGGGCGTTAATTAAAAATTTCATCGACCAGCTACCCTCTACATCTCGACCTTTGTCAGTAACTTTAACATTTTGTCTAGTGACTTTACTACATGGCGAAGTAGTTTGTAAGAGTTAGATCCCTTTAGCTTAAAAACGTTTAACCACTACTGATTTACACATCAAGAACAGTATATCCAGTAACTTCGCAATGTATGTATAGGTATGATATGTGTTTCCCAGCGCCGAAATACAATATATTATAAGGCATGTCAGACGGCATGCTTCCACTTATCTTTGTTACTGAGTCATTTGAATTCAATGGATTATAGTAATCTACAAGGAAACAATTTACTTTAACCAAACTGTATTAGACTAATAATCATTGAAATTTTCATCAGATTTTTACTATCTCACAAGTAAAGCTTTTTTAAAAAAAAGCATCATCTTACATCATGAGTTTTAATGAGAGATATGGTCAGAATGTAAAATCACAAAATTTTACAGGCTAAATTGAATATACAGTTTGAATTCATGATAGATGTATTCTAGATGGCTTTTCAAAATCTGATGTGAATACGTCGATTCACTTATGAATTAACTAAATACTGTCGTACAGGTAGTGTTATATATATATATATATATATATATATATATATATACGGTAGTTTAATGAATTTTTATAGAGTAGATTTATCAAGTAATGTGGAAGAATTCAGTTAAACTCCATTAGTTGGATGCATTTTCATTGATCATTAAAGGGATAAATAAAATACAACTGAGATAACTCTTTTTTTTTACAGAATTAAGAATAATTTACTTTATTTGTTCATTGTATTTAAATTAATTTCATAATTATGTAATCACAACATTGAAAAATGAACATCGTTTATGCCGACAATATTTACATAGATCAAGTTTAAATCTTTTTCTAAACAAAACATTGTGATGTAATAACGTTAAAGAAAGAAAAAGTTTGTTAAAGAATATCAAGAAGAATTCAATTTGATTTACAAGCTAATCGTGATGATTTTGTGTAAAGTAAACAGAAAACTTAAACAATCTAAATATGTTATAATCAAATAATCGTATGTGAAATTGATTAAGAATGTCGATTGTTCATTATTCATGTTAAGTAATGCAAAATGGTTGACAAAAAACAACAGTAAACTAAAGGTTGTTTTGTTTTTTAGTGATTAACATTCATTGACAGCATCTATTTCGAATATAATTAAAGAAATCGATGATCCTTCAGAGATATATAACTGCTAATGCATTCAATTTGTGACCACAAAGTTGGATAGGTTAAAATGTTCTGCATGTGTCTAAGTTGTTTATACACCTTATATATATACTATGATATTAACACTTGGTTTAATGTAATATGGTACAATGACTTTTACAACTGTGTTCTTCTATACTGATTGATGGTCGATTATAATCTACCTATTTCTTTCATAGACCATTTTGTGCACTACCATGGTGAGTACGAATTACTTCAGTCAGTCAGTTACAACGTAGAACTTCGTACATGAGTGCATAAGTTCAGGTTGCCATGCGCCATCAGGACAGAGACGCAACTGTCAGTTCAAATCCCATAGTGGTAGGGATAGTAGAAGTATTAACAGTAATAGAGAAGATTAGGGTTCGAAGGTATGATTCGAGAAGTATAATTTAGTGAGAAAACTTTGGAAAGAGAAAGATAGAAGTGATGGGGAATTCAGGAGATTAGAGTTTGAGAGAACACAATGAATGAATGCACCTGCACCATTACAAACGATTCTGAGCCATGTTGTGCAAGATCTCTAGCCATCGGTGACTTTTGTTTCGCGGACCCCAACCGGGTAGCCTACTTACTTACTAAGGAGGGTGGGGCAGTTTACACCAGAACATCTTTTTCAATTTTTTTGGAGATTTTCGATCTAATGATATTTTATAATTTGCAGTTAAGTTTGGACTGTCATAATATTATGACTTCATAAATAAAAACAAACTAATGATTAACGTTTTTTTGATGAAAGTATTGTTACATGCTTTTATCATCATTGAAACATACACTCGACATTTTGATCACCCCACATCATTACTAATTTGTTGTATTGTAGGTAATATAGACAATGAATAGTGATGACGGTGATTCCGTTGGTAATCTGGAAGGTTGTTGTAGATATAGTACAAGCAAAGCTGGCATGGAAGGTTTAGACAAAGCTACAATTATGGAAATTATATTGGAGAATTCTAAAGGTAAACATTAGAATATATATATATATATATTACATATTACGATTCACTTGATAATTTATAACTTACTGTTAATAAAAATTTATCTTTCATTCAATCAAATTATTGAATTTATGTCGATCATTAATCGGGTATAGTTTTATGTACATAACTTTAAGTTGCACTTTGCATGTAGTGAATGATAATACTAATACTAATACTACTCATATTATGGAATTCGAGTAGATTGGTTAAAAGTCAAATGCTTTAATCATTAAGCTAATATATCATCGGAATAGAATTATCATGAAAATACTCATGAATATGATTGATGATCTACAGACTTGTAGTTACCTATTCTAAAATGATGTATACCTATGGAAATACAATAAAATGTAAAAACTGTATCTGCCAAAAAGAATGTATTGTTAACGCTAAGCAATAAATAGAAAGAAAATGATTGATAAGGAAATGAAAGAGGTTGAGATTCTATACCAAGTACACAATAAAAGAATAAAGGGTTCAGATTCTAAATGAAGTTGAAAAACTTATCAAAAATATGAAGCATGGGAAGGTTTCAGGGCCTGCCAGGCTTACCCCTGAGATTTTTAAGGATGATGGTCCAGTTTTAGCAGTAAGATTGACTGAGATCTTAAGTAGAATATAGACACTGGGAATAATCCCATCCGACTGGTCTCAATCACTGATTGTCCCAGTCTTCGAACATCTATCAGTTCATTAAATGCTACTGAGATTCACTGTTTTTCCCTAACCTGATGGTTTACTTTACTAGCAGATATCACTGCTGTTTCCACAGCCTTCTTGATATCGTTCCAAGATGTCTTCGGATGGGAATCACTTTCATGGTTGCCTAACTGTCTTTCTAGTTGTTCCTGAAATATATTCTTAGCTATGCTATCATTAAGTAGAGACTGACACTCCTTTATCAAACTCCTCCATTGGTGGCTGATGGCGATGTGATCTAGTTGGGTCCAACGTTGAGACGACTTTGGAGGTCGCCAGATCAGGAGATGCTTTTCCTTATGGCTAAAGTTAGTGTTTGCTAGAAATAGGCGGTTATCTGAGCAAAGTTGCAACAGACGGTCGCCACTGTCTGTTCTCTGGGCCGCGACACCATAACATCCACCCAGGTGTCTGTCATTTTCACCTAGTCTACCTACTTGAGCATTAAAGTCACCAGCCACTATTGCTACATCAGAGCGCTTAACTTTTTGGAGGAGCTCCGAAAGCTTTCAGTAAAACTCATCTTTCACCTCATCTGAACTGGAATCAGTGGGAGAGCAGGCGGAGACAACGAAGAGGCAACGACGAGTGTCCCTATCTTTCTGAGTTCCTACTGTCCCGTTAAGTCGGGTAGTGCACAAGCGACCATCTACCGGGATCCAGTCTAAAAGAGCTTGTTCTGCCCTAGGACTCAATGCTACAGCTACACCAGCGAGGCTGCGGGAAGCAGCAACAGGGCTTCCGGATAAACGGATCGTAAACAGAGTTAATTCTCTATCTGCATAAGGTTAAATCAAATTAACGATTTTTTTCTGATCCTGTGTGCGCGTTTCGGATACGCCGAGCAGACAATGCAGTTGTTAGATGACGGATATTAGGTAAGGATGGCAGATCAATAGATGAAGTATTAAAACTTCATCAGTCGAGGTGATTTAGACACGTGTTACAAATGTCCGACCACCGACTACCTCGACGAGCTATGTTTTGTAGTGTTGGAGTAGGCGACAAGAAAGCTAGGGGCTGCCAAACCAAAAGTTGTAGACTACGAGGTTGGTGTCTGTTAGACAGCCGTAACCGGTGGTTAGAGGCTTTGAATGACACAGCTCATAACCGTTTTCAACGGCTCAGACGCATCCATTCTTTGGTTTCTCTCAAATCCTAATCCTCTGGATTCCTCATCTCCTATATCTGTCTCTCTTTTAAGTTTATTTCACTAGATTTTACCTCTTGAATAATATCGTCGAACACTAATCTCTCTGACTACTGCCAATACTTCTACTATGTGGTAATGTGATATGGTAGCTTGAACTGATGTTCATACGTGATAAGTTTTACGTTGTTGCTAACTGAACGACTGAAATGACGGAGGTTGATATTATATAGTCTGTGTACACTATTAGATCTAAATATATTCTTAAGAATTAAGAACTTCAAACTATGTGGTTGCTCGAGTGATTTTAATTTTATTTAATAAATAATCAATCGTTCACTGTTAATAGTTACGACTTGCATATTCGACTTGTTCCGTTCGTTAATTATTTTATATTTATTGTGATAATCCCCTGGGAAATTATCATTTGCATCCTTGTGAATATTGGATTTCTTGTTAAGTGCTAAACGAATTATCTGATTGCAATAATACAGCATCTTTATTAGTTTAATGCATCATTGTAATCGGGGTTGACTACCCTTTTTTACAATTGGGTTTCCTGATCCTAGTTAGAATTAACAAGTTTAAAATAAAAGGAAACGAGCATACTTCATGTGTAGCAGCTTGAAAATGTTATCAACATGATGCAGTTATGTCACAATATATTACTCACACAGTATTCCACAGTGTGCTATAAAGTGACCACGTCAGTCATATAGATAAAGAAAATAATTAAACTAAAGCTTCTTGTGAATGTATTCATTGGTTGTACTTAACATAATTCAGTATATTTACATTCTAGTTAATAGGATTGCCAATAACACGGTAGGAAATCATTTAAAACCATACATCATTTCAAGTTGTCCTCCAAAATGCAGATTCAGTCCATCTAATAACTTCGCATCATAATATCTTGCGATTACACTCTTCATATAACTAGTATTTGTGATTAGTGACATTATTGATTGATGTTATGCTTTCGTATGCAGTATGACCTACAGATTCAATAAGTAAGTCTCCATTAATTTGAACACCACTCTACTTATTTATCGTGCCAAATAATAGGGTTATTTGTTTAATGTAGGTCTCTGTGACCCTGAATAATTCAGTATCATAATATCATTAGACCCGTTTCTCTTGTCAGTAACTCTAGTACTAATCTTAAAATTGCTTACCCATTGTTTACGTGGCACAAAATAAGAATGGCAGATCAATAGGTGAGTAATGAAACTTCATCAGTTGAGGTGGTTGGGACATGTGCTGCGTATGCCTAACCACCGACTGCCTCGACGAGCTTTGTTTTGTAGTGTAGGAGTTGGTTGGAAGAAAGTTAGGGGCGGCCAGAACAAAACATGGCAGAAATCCATGAAGTCATCGACAAGTGGACTGAGTCATGTCGGTAGTTGTCGACTACCTGGTTGGGGTCCGCGAGATGATAATAATCGATGGTTAGAGACCCTGAAAGACATGGCTCAAAACCGTTTGCAATGGCGCCGGTGCATTTATTCTCTGTGTTCTCTCAAATCCTAATCTTCTGGATTCTTCAACACCTCTAGGTTTGACTTTCTAAACTTATCGCACTGAATCATACTTCTTGAATAATATCTTCTAATCGTAACCTCTCCGATTACTTCTAATACCTTAACTACCTCTTCTACTATTGGATTTGATTTGACAATTACATCTCTGTGCTGATGTGGTATGGTAACATGAACTGATGTACTTACGTACGAAGTTCTACGTTGCATCTGACTGACAGACTGACTGACATGGCACAAAAAACAATTTTTTAAAACATCAGTATTCGTTATATGTAGTTTTTAAATACTGTTCCCATTTTGAGAGATATTTTACAAATGTATGATAGTACGAGAAATAGTGTTATACCAAATACATCTCTTATAAATCGGTAAACTATGAATGACTTTATTTTTAAACTCAGATTCTTTAATACCAACGAATAAGATTTACTAACAAATGTTTAGATTTAACTCATATCTGATCTGTTTTGTATTTTTAATTATGTAAGGGTCAAAGTTTTATGAGAATGAATTGAGGCGGGAGAAAACTCTTCGTCAACAAATTGAACAGAAACTTAAAATTATAAAATCACTTACACCAGCAATGTTACAAAGTGGTGAATTAGAAGTGAGTACTTTTTCTCTATTCTTTATCATTGTCGCTTATTGTCAATTGAAATTTTAAACTCGAGTACAGTTAGTTTGATTAGGTTGTTAAGATGGTTGAATTCTCTAGTTAATGATATTGATACACTAAGTCTCTTGCATCCTTTGGAGTTTACACTTTAGCTAAAATTTTCCACTGCTTTCTGGTTATGAATCACTTATTTTCACTGCTTTCTTCTTCTGTTGTGACACTTCCATCTTGTCTACATAATTAAATCATGTACCTATTCCCTTTTACCTAGAAAAATTTTTTTCTTCGGTGGCACAGTCTTTTAGTCACTTTCCCAAATTGATTGAATATACATTCAGTGTTGAACTCCACTAGTCAAAGCCATTTGAGTTAGTTACCTACAGAAGACATTGTTAGGTGGTCATGCAATATCGTGGATTAATTTAAGTTAGACGTTAACATTGCTAGGTACCGTAGTACAATGGTCTAGGGGTTAGGCCTTTTTACGTGTGAAGCAGCAGATCCTGGGTTCGATTCCTGCTTGTAGGGTCGTGGGTGCTTACTGCTAATGAGTTTCTTACTAGCACAAAACGGTCATCCAGCGCTTCCAGGTTTTCAATGATGGTCTAACATTGGTCGGTTCATGACTTCAATACAGCTCAATAGTCTTCACAACCCTATGCTGATAAATATAGTATTTCAACTCGTTTTTTAAACTTTTAACAGGGTTTTTTTAAATAACCAAAAAATTTTTTAAAATTTTCACAGCGTTTTTTAAAATAACCACAGCGTTTTTTAAAATTTTTTGTAATCCTTAGAATGTCAGAAATAAATGTAAGAAACAACTTGATTTCGAATGAAAAAAGAAAAAGCCTTATAAAAAAAGTTATTGAAGATGGATACAGCGTCAAGGATGCGGCATTCCTTACAGATGTAAACTATCAGGCCGTTACAAATATTATAAGGTTGTATAAAAAGGAATCGCGAGTTGAGAAGAAAAAAACAGGAAAACCATCAAATAAGAAGATATGCGGTGATATTATCAATTTTGTTGAAGAATTGATAGAATTAAACCCGTTAATAACGATGGTAGAAATTCGAGAAAAAATAGAAAACATATTTTCTATAGGCCTTTCTCTTGAATCTATAAGAAGGATAATTTATAGATTTCTTCTTCTTAAGTACAAATTAAAAGAAGATTCATCTATAAAAACTTTTATAAATGTATCTTCAATGTTCATAAAATTTTGAGCATAAATTTGGCGTTTGTTTTTACTGGATTCCGAATTTATATTGACCGATGTATAAGAAATCTTTTTCAAAGTAATGTGAAGTCCATAAATTATCCTTCTTATAGATTCAAGAGAAAGGCCTATAGAAAATATGTTTTCTATTTTTTCTCGAATTTCTACCATCGTTATTAACGGGTTTAATTCTATCAATTCTTCAACAAAATTGATAATATCACCGCATATCTTCTTATTTGATGGTTTTCCTGTTTTTTTCTTCTCAACTCGCGATTCCTTTTTATACAACCTTATAATATTTGTAACGGCCTGATTGTTTACATCTGTAAGGAATGCCGCATCCTTGACGCTGTATCCATCTTCAATAACTTTTTTTATAAGGCTTTTTCTTTTTTCATTCGAAATCAAGTTGTTTCTTACATTTATTTCTGACATTCTAAGGATTACAAAAAATTTTAAAAAACGCTGTGGTTATTTTAAAAAACCCTGTTAAAAGTTTAAAAAACGTGTTGAAATACTATATATTATATTCGTCCGAACGAGAAGTGATATCCGACCGAAATTTTATTTTAGTTTCGTTATTACTGCCTGCATCTGGCCTCCTGGTTCATATGTTAAAGTTTCATGTCAATAATAATAATAATAATAATAATAATTTTTGTCCAACATTACATGCCTAGCACAGTGTGAAATTCTCAGCACACAAGTCTTTTGGATAAGTATAACATTTTCATTGAAGGAGGAGTCACTCATTTGGGTTGATGATAGTTCTTTATGATATAGAACAAAATATCGAGATCAAAAGTTTGTTTAAGTACATTGCCAGCGTTGCCACTAGTAATTAGAAGTTAAATATAAATCTTTTTATCCACATAAATTTCTCATATGTTTGATGCTTAAGAAAAAAATACTTTAAAACTACATCGATAGTAATGGTCAATGGCGCTTTTAACTTTCGAGTTAAATGAATCATGTTTCTGATTGTACAACTACTCCCTTCCTTAACAATGATATCTTGTGAAATTATAACTATTACCCATCTATTTATCTTTTTAATGGAGTTTGTTTTACTGTGTAAATTATTTATTTGTAGTGAACATTGTTTTTGTTATGCTTTATAAATGATATGCTTGAAACTATCACGAGTTCGCCTTAGTCGGTAAATGAGAGCTAAGACAAATGATCCAGTGACATGATAGGCTACTCTAATCTGAGCGTCCCAAGCCCCCCACTAACGGTATCAAAAATTTTTGATATGGCGTAGAAAGTGTATTCTGCAAGCACCCAGAAAATATGAGGTCTTGTACAAAAGAAGAGGAGCATAAAACTTTGCAGACAATGTTTGCGTATACAGTTAGGTCGACCGTGAATACTAACCAATAGGAAAGAACATTTAAAAGTAAGCGAACTTGATAGTTTAGGACGACCTTAAATATTGACCAATAGTAGTTGACCAACTGAATTAGACTTACAAAATAATTTCTTCAGAATATTTGATGAATATTCTAAGAGTTTTTCTATCAGTTTTGTGTTTTTTTCTTTATTTATTCTAGGCCGATAAAATACTGAAAGATTTAAGACAGAAGCGACGTTTTTCTCGAACCATTGTACATGTGGATATGGATGCATTTTATGCAGCTGTTGAAATACGTGATCAACCCGAACTTCGACATCATCCAGTTGCTGTTGGTAGTAACAGTATGCTAGTACGTTTAAAAAAAGCAATAAATTTATGTAATACTATATGGAAAACTGATAGGGAGTGAAGTAGTTGAACATGTTGACCGCTTCACTTATCTGGGGAGTCTCATCAGTGCTGATAGCCTGCTGTGTGACGAAATCTCAACATGGATACAGAAGGCTTGATTGGCTTTTGTCAACCTTCGTCACTTATAGCGTTGGCAAGATATCCGTTTGCTGACTAATGTATTAGTAACAAAAGTACGAAAGAGTCGTAGCTATTTACTATAATAATACTAATGAATTAAATGGAACATATAATGATCATATACTGTAAATTCTTAAGCTATACACATGTTATTTATAGATTTATATTTTCTACCTATGCTTATCTGTGCTTGTGTGTTTGTTATCATATCTATTGCTTATTTGGTTAGATAAACTCAGTCGCAACACATTCAATGCTTTGACTGCCAAAACCATTGATAATTCTGTATATTCATCTGCTCGCGTATTAAGCAACCTAGGACCTACTCAGTTCAGTTCAGTTCCTAGTCTAACGACACAAACGTGCACGCGAACCACCAGTTTACACAGGTGATTAAACCAACTACAGAATGAGAACAAGAATGTTACTTACGTCTACCACAATACTACCAAGAGTTCATAGCAGCATCAGAGATCTAAATTTGCAATCATACTACCTTTCTTTATAACTTTTTTCTCTCAATATTTATCTACCGTTCAGTTATATGCCATATCTGCCGTTTATCATCCTATTATGTATTACCAACCTCTTGTTCTCATCGCCTATAAGTCTTGGCTATTGTAATGATTTACAATAATCAGTTTTTAAATATCTGACTATTAAATGGTAACCAACTAAATATGTCTTCCACGGTGTGTGCGGTTGGGAAGTGACATACGCCTTCATACCCGTAACAGCACGCGAGAGCAAATCGGTCACAAACAAATCCTTCCTACACCCCTTAACATCTCTCCTATCTGCACGATTAACCCTTCTCACATTCCTTTATCATCTTGTACCGCTAATGCCAATGATGCGAGTTCACCAAAAGTTATTCCTAGTCTCCTGAAACCCCGTTCTAAATTACATCTTGGAGCATATAGTGTCCAGACATTGTATGAAATAGGACAACAGGCTTCCTTAGCTGGGAATTTAGAATCTCGCACCATCTATGCATGCTGAGTCTCGGAAACGCACATACAGGATCCTAATAAAATCAATAATTTGATTTCACCTTGTCAAAATAAAGAAGCAGCTCGACTCAGTCTTCATGTGTCTGACAACTAAATGCGTTAAAGTCATGTACATTTATACGCTATCAAAACTTTACGGTATACCATTCATTTCTCTTAAATATTATTTAATAATTGTGACATTTGTGCACGTTTAGTGCATTACATATCAGAAAATTGAACTTAAAATTAGTATCTCATGCATACACTGATATTCACCTTATTACAGTTGGATTTTCTTGTCTGATATCCAAAATTTGTCTGTACTGATATGTGAAGCACATCGATTTTTCAAACAGAATTGATATGTGTTAACAGATCATCATGTCTTATCACAGTTAGTGGTCGAGCGAACATCACATCGACTAACAAAGTAACGGTGTTAATGTCTAACTGTGATCAATCTAACGATTTCCGCGCTACCTCACTCATTGTCTTCGATAGTTACTGCCTATATCCGACTGTATTGAACTCTACTGGTCACATCTCACTAGAACTCCTCAGCAAGCTAGTCACTAGTGAGCACATTTTTGCTTTAAACGAATAACAGTTCGATTGCGAATGCTATTTGTCGGCGCATTTATCGTTTCATCATGTAGATACTATCCTATCTACAAAATCTTTGAGTTATTTATATGAAAAACCACTAACCACTTGTCAGTACTCTTTATTTTATTGACTCAATAAAATTTCTTCGTAATGTTAAAATTCTCCTTTCCTCATCTTTTGATGTTGATTCAACTGTCCTTCGTATATATTATTTACATCATGTTAAATGTTGCTGTTCATTTTAATCATTTAGCCTTAAACTCATACTACCATTTAATTAACTCTACAGGAATTGTTTACAATGGAATAAAAACTGTGTAACTTGACTATAAAACCTTCACTAGATAAAATGAAATTTAGGAGTAACTCATTACATTGAATTTTCGATTTGCATTTTCATTTGAAATGGTCATCTACACTAACAATTGAACAGTGAACGTGTTAATTTTTCACTATATTTTTATTTTAGTCAACTAGCAATTATATTGCTCGACGATTTGGTGTACGTGCTGGTCTACCTGGATTTCTAGGTAAAAAACTATGTCCTCAATTGAAAATTATACCATGTGATTATGTAAAGTATACTGCAGCTAGTCGTGTAGTACGATCTGTTTTAATGGAGTATACTATTTCTGAACGAACTGGACAAGATTCTTGTGAATCAGATAATATTCCATTTTCAGCGGTTAGTTTAGATGAAGCATATCTGGATATAACAGATCATTTGATAAATCGTTGCGATTTCCCTGTTGAACGACGTACATTTTGGCCTAGAGCAGCACCTGGAGCGCCTATGCTAGTTTGCCGGTAATTTTTTCAAATTTAATTTTCATAATTTTGTATGTCATATTTGTATTTATTGGTAAATTTTTCTCACTAGTTAAAACGCTTTAAAAATTGGCGTGATGTCTCATATCACTATTTAGCTTCTTCATTCGTATACTGATATGTATCATAAAACCTGGTACATATGTGAATCAGTCTCTAAACCATATCAGAACAGAGAGATAAAATTATCAAGACAAATCCTAGTTCAATGGGAGTGGTAACACTATCAGTAATAGAAAAAAATGTTTGTTATAAACATTATAATTTACACGAAAGAATACATTCATGGAGTAAAAAGTGTAAGTGGATCCTATAACTAGACATTTAGGCGAAGATTTTAATTGATTCTAAGCTATGTTGCTTAAAGTCTTTACTGTTGTTCGTTTTTGATAACAGTAATAGTAGTATGATATTAAATAAGTTTGATACTTTCAAATACTTTTCAACTATTAACAATAAAGTTAAGAGTAGAACTTAGCTTTTAGCTCTTTGTTTGATTGCAGTTATTTTGTAATGATGCCTTAAATGTACTTGACTTCGTACAATGTGTTTTACATAAAGAAATAGCTTTATTTAATCTAAAACATGATAAATGTGCAGTCGTTGAAAAATCAGTTGATCCATATTTATAAGGTAAAATGTAGTGATCAGTTGTAATTTCTTGTGTCTGTCTGGGATGTCCACTTTCTCCATTCTTGTCATAGACCTGGTTCTAGAAATAACATTATCTTTGTCTGAATTTTCAGTAGTAGATCTTCTACCAGGAGATTCACCGGTTGGTTGACTTAGAATATACCGATGACATAGTCCTACTTGATGAAGACATTGAAAAAATGCAGAGTCTTCTGAACACCCTAAACAACAATGCAGGCATGTTTGGGATGGGGTTTTCCCCCTCAAAATGCAAAATATTGCTTCAAGATTGGGTTTCATCGGCACCTGAACTAGTGATAGGAAGTGAAGTAGTTGAGCGTGTTGACGGCTTCACGTATCTCAGCAGTCTGATCAGTGCTGATGGCCTGGTGACTGACAAAATCTCAGCACGGATACAGAAAGCTCGATTGGCTTTTGTCAACCTACGTCACTTATGGCGAATATGAGATATCCGTTTGCTAAACAAGGTGGAGTGTACTGCGTAGTAGTTCGCTCTGTCCTACCTTATGGCTGTGAAACATGGTCAGTATGAGTAGAAGATATTCGTAGGTTACTGGTTATTGACCATAGCTGTCTCCGAAGCATTACTCGTTCATCTTGGGACTATCGAGTAAGCAATGCTGTTGTTGGAAACGGAAACTAGGTAGATGGCAGATCAATAGATGGAGTAGTGAAAGTTCATCAGTTTAGTAGTTGGGACATATGTTACCAGTACCCAAAAACAGACTGACTCGTCAATCTATGTTTTGCGGTGTTTTGCGGTCGAATCCTAATCTCTCCGATTACTGCTAATACTTTTACTACTTCTACTACTATGGGATTTGCAATGACGGTTGCCTCTCTGTGCTAATGTGGTATGGCAACCTAAACTGATGTACGTACGTACGAAGTTCTATGTGGTTGTTGACTGACTGTTGATATTGACAACTGTTATTGATTACTATCTAACACCATATATACATCCCGAACGGATCACATCGATTTAGTGTCGTAGCTCAACTGATAATTTTTGGTTTTTCTCAGGCAATTGAATTCAAAAACACTGGGTTTTTTCAATTTCTGCATGATCATCATACATAGAAATCAAAAAATATATATCCAACTAAAGTGTCCCAAATATAATGAAATGCAGGTCTTAAATCCTTTACATATAATATAAGAGAAGAATAAAATAATTTTCTCAGATGTTGTTAATTTTTGTAATTCAGCTATGAACTAATGAAATTATTCATTCATATCTTTTTATTCTACTCATCCTTAATGTTTATTTAATTTCCACCTTTGCTGTTGCTTTTATTTAACACCTTTTGATCTGAAATAATTTATTTGTTTGATTTACATTGACCTTGTTTTTAATAACTCCTTTCACAATACTCCCACAAGCTACTTATAAACCACATTGCGAGTAATATCCCCTACACTTGTAAATGAATCATAATTTTTAACAATAAATCAGACGACAGTCAGTTACGATGTAGAACTTCGTACATGAGTACATAAGTTCAGGTTGCCATACATACTCCATCAGCATAGAGACGCACCTGTCAGTTCAAATCCCATAGTGGTAGAGATAGTAGTAGTGTTAGCAGTAATGGAGAAGATTAGGGTTCGAAGATATGATTCGTCAAGTATAATTCATTGAGATAATTTTAGAAAGAGAAAGGAGATGATAAGGAATTCAGGAGTTTGTAATTCGAGAGAACACAGTGAATGAATTCACCCGCGCCATTGCAAACGATTTTGAGGCATGTCTTTCAAGGTCTCTAACCATCGGTTACTTTCGTCTTGTGAACATCGCTCACAATCGTTTGCGATGACGCAGGTGCATCCACTCTTTCTGTCCTCTCAAATTCTAACCTGGATTCCTCATCATCTCAATCTGTCGAAAGTTATCTCACTGAATTATACTTCCTGAAAAATATCTTCGATGCCTAATTTTCTCCATTACTGCTAATGCTTCTACTATCTCCACCACTATGGGATTTGAACTGACAATCGCGTCTGTGTGCTAATGCGGTGTGGCAACCTGAACTGATGTACGTACGTTCAAAGTACTACGTTGTAACTGACTGGCTGACAATAAACAGTTAATACTATTACATCATATTGAATCATATCCTTATCTTCTACAATAGACTTGTATCATTCTGTGGATAATTAAGTCAATAATTAATTCTCTAGATCTGTTTTAACGATGAACTACATTTTTTGTTTGAATTAATCAACTATTTATATGATCAAATTTAAGAATTAGTAAGTTTTCTTTACATAGTGTTCTACTTTTAATTTCAAATAAATCGAGCATTGTCTGGAAAGTTAGTAATAAAAATAACTAATATAATAGTTATAACTTTTGATGATATACCAATGGGTAGAAGTTTGTATTTCTAAAGTTTTGTAAATTAATCCAAATCACATCTTCAGAGTATGATTTCAGCTATGTGCAAAAAAATGTATGCATAAACCTTGCTCTAAATTTCACGAAATCTAATGGATGATTTGAAAGGTCACATTCACGTCCACATGATGTTTCATATGTAATTAAGTAAAAAAAATGTATAAAGCTCGTAATTAACCTTATTTATCTCTCTTACTTAACCAGGTGGAATTATTATTATTATTATTGAAATCATGAATCGATCAATGTTACACCACCATTAGAAACTTGGAAGCACTGGACGGCCGTTTCGTCCTGGTATGTAACTCACCAGCAGTGCGCATCCGACTCCTGCGCCTCGGCGGATTCGAACCCAGGACCTTCGGTCTATGCGCGCGAACGCCTAATCTCTGGGCCACTGAGCCGGTATCGAACGGTGTTAATGTCTTACTTCTATTCCAATAAGCAACTCAACAATCTCCACAACCCCATAATGTATTATTTTTATTATTATTATCTCATAAAAATTTCTTTTAGTTAATTATCTAAAGTGAATATTCATTGTTACTTTCATGACACAATATTCAAACTTAATGTTAATCATGTTATGTTTCCTGCATTTCACTATTCCACTGTAGTTGTCGGTCACGTTCTAAGAATTCACAATCGCATAATTTGAGTAATGACTGTACTGATAATCAAACTGCACTGCTTATAGATGATCATTCACAGAGTAATTCTAATTCTTGTCAAGAAACAAATACTGCCCAATCGCTTCCGATAATAAAACCAAAATATTTTGATCCTGAATTAGCTGTATGCAATGAATGTGGATTACTTTGTAAATCTGGTCGTCGAATATTTGGTTTATCAGCTTGGGAAGCTGTTCGAGAAATGCGATTTCGTGTTTTTTGTGCTACACGTCTTACTTGTAGTGCTGGTAAGTTGATGTCTTTCTTTTCTAGTTCTATATGTAATTTTATTCTTGATTAATTAATTTTATTTGGTAAACTATTCAATAATCATAGTTCAGTTTGGTCACACCCAACCATGAATGCTCATGTGACTTTAACCGACTAATACTCATTAACACCGGATATAATATAAAAGAGACTCTTTTTTAAATTTTCTCTTGGTAATTAAGGTCTTGGTCCGAATACATTGATTGCGAAAATTGCCTCTGATTGGATAAAACCATGTGGTCAACATGAAATCGCTAATACATCAGAAGCTGTAGATAAATTTATGCAAACTATGCCTGTGAGAAAAGTAAGTTTCATTCAGTTGATTCAGTTTATTTCAATTTGTACTCAATTTACTTCATTTCAACTGCTCTCTAGCTTGTATATACAATCTTGGATTATTTTTTGCCAACTAAAATATGGCTTTTAATTTGAAGAAATTGGTGGTGAGTATTGAAATAGAATAATGAACTGATCAAATTAGTAACAATAATGATAATAATAGTAATATTAGTGTCAGAAGAATTTTCGGAGATTATAGAATTTCCAGTGTTTAAAGCACGCAGTGTTTTTAGCTAGACCACTGTTGAAAACCTGCTGGTACTAATATGGTACTCCTTAACACTACGCATCCACCAGCTAGTCTGTTATTCACCCCAGACAATAGTTGAAGGTGGCGCAATATCATGAAACGACTAAATTTAGACATTAAAACTGTTAAATGCCGGCTCGGCGGTCTAATGGTTAAGCGTTCGCGTGCGAGAATAAAAGTCCTGGGTTCAATTCTTGGCTGTAGAGTCATAGGTGTACACTGCTGAATAGTCCCATACTAGTACGAAACAGCCGTCTAGTGCTTTCAGGTTTATAATGGTGATCTAGCCCGGACTTTGTGTAACTTAGAGTTCTGTTGTTACGTTGTCTCTTTGTCGCTTGAATAGCAGTATCTAGATCTACTACTTATCTGTTTCTATCACACTACTATATGATTTGTAATCATTCATTATCATATTTTTTGGCCTATGATTTGTGGTGGTTTCAGGCAATACGCTGTATGTTCTCATAATGTACATGCTATTACAGGATAGGTAAATAAGTAAATAATTCTACTGAAGGTGTCTAGAAGAGATCTGTTGTTGAAATTAGATTCACTGAGTAAGTTTTCTGTTGCATAAGTGCCGAATGCTTAACTAGGTATTATTCCAGAGGGCGATATTCGTAATATATGTTCAAGCCACCAAAGCGGGTGTTTAACAATATTAACACCAACTGAATTATCATCACTGTACTTGAAGACAGGTGATTGAACATCTGCACTACTAACATGATGTGTCCACTGAATGCCATCAATCCTTTGAAGAAAATGGTGATCAACTACACAAAGTCGCTCAGCATCCTCAACTCGGAGAGACCACGTTTCACATGCATAGATTAAAATTGTTCCTACTGACGCATTTAAGATCTGACCTTTAAGAAACAGACTAACATCACAATGGCTCTAAAGATGACCCGAATTAGCATAAGCCTCTTCGACTTTTAATTATGGGATCAAGGAGTTAGTGGTATTCCGTTTTACGAAGATAAATTTTATTTAAATATTTTCCCTATTTATTTTGAACCTCAATTTATATCATATTTGAAATAAGGAAATAACATATATTCATCTAGTGTAGCTTGATGGTTTCAATTGTCAATGCCTAATTATCTTTTGTTTGGATGCACTTGATCATTAGTTTAATATTGGTCATCGCAAAAATGTTATTTGTGAGACAATGAATCATCCGCGTATCTTTTTGTCATCACCTGAATTCAGTGTATCTTGCAATCTGTCATACATACCTATTCATTTTGTCGTTTTAAATTCTATTCTCAATTGATCAGTCTTTTCTGTCATTATCGCTGCTACATAGTTTCGATTCTTTTGTTATGTATCTTTTTTGATATTTATCTCATCATGTTAATGCGGTATAGGAGCTTGGATCATTTACACAAATTTACCAGGCTTTACGTTGATTTTAAGTGGAAAAAGAGCCATTTTGTTACCTTTGTTTTTTATTCAACATCTCTGCTATCCAATGAATATCTTTTTTAATTTAGCAGAATTCTTTTGTTCACTGTTGTCCATCTCTCTCATTTATATCGAATTGTGTATATTAATGTATAGGTTTGCTGAATAAAAAGTTCATGTAAACGTATACACTATTTTAAGTGTCTGTTACTTATCCACTCTATGAAACATTAACATAATTAAATCATTCTGTTAACCAATAACTGTAGATAAATATTTAATTATAGGTTCCAGGAATTGGACACGTTACTGAACGTCGATTAGATGCATTTGGCATTAAAACATGCTCTGATTTAATTGATAAACGTGGTTTACTTTGGCATGTAAGCACCAGGATCACAATGCATTATTACATGCGTATCGCATTAGGTCATTCTGATGATCGTTGGTTAATTAATATTAAAAATCCTTTGGATGAAAAGTTAAATAAATCTGGCATGATTGATAATGATGCAGAAAACAATACTCCTCAAGTAGAATTGAATCGAAAGAGTATGAGTGTAGAAAGGTTAGTTTGAATGGTATATATATATATTTTTTTTTCAGAAAATTTATAAACTTGTAATTTATGTGCTTACTATTGTTTGTGACTTGCAAGTACTAAGTCTCAAGTTTGAATATTGTTCCGTAATGTGTGTCCTATTCCACTTCCAGAGCTTCTTCCTAATTTCTTCCTCCTCTGAAATTTGGTTTGTTTTATCGCAGAGTAGGTTGTTTCTGATAGTGTCTAGCCAATGGATCTTCAGTATCTTGCGTAGACAGCTGTTAATAAACACTTGTATCTTGTGAGTGATGGCTTTCGTAGTTCTCCAAGTATGACAGCATCGCTCCTGAAGCTAGTCTTTCTTGTCCAATGTGTTTTTTTTTTATCCCAAGTACCTATGTGTTGTATCTTTTCGTTTCTGCACCAACTCGGATGATTCTCCCCGTCCCCTACATTATACGAACGTTCAGTGTACTTAAATTAATGGTCGCTCTGGTTGTCAGAAGAAGCATAGGCCTCGTAAATTCTCCAGAAACTCAGCTTTCATCATGAGATATCATAACTCTTCTGAAAGACGACCTCCTAACTGTCAGGGCAGATTTTAAATGATCCAAATTATTTTTGTCTGATTAGAGTTTTTTAAAGATTTAGTTTTATACGGGATCGGGTTGCTCACTCCATGCCCAACCCTCCTCCTTTATCCATCCATACTCAGGGCCAGCCGTAACCCCAGAGGGGCTTCAGGAGGAGTTGGAACAAGATAAATCAGATTCCAATGTGTTTAGTATCCATAGTTCATGAGTACAAGTCGGTTGATGGATGGATATAAAGCAATGTAACATTGTAGGTTAACTCTTTAAAAACAAAGTTTTTGTATCTCGGCTAATATGAGACAAATAAACATTGATGAACTTGTACAATAAATTAAAGGTTATGATCAATCGTGTTTAAAAACTTTCTATATAACCAGTTATATTAAAATTACATGTACTAATGTCTGACAAATTCACATAACGGTTAGTATCAACCTACCTATCATTTCAATTCACAAGTTTGATTAAGCGCTTATAATATTTCAAATGTAGATGAGGTTGTCACCAATTACCAATAAGTCAATAAATATGATTGATAACAAATTCCAAAGTAACTATTCTAAAATATTTTTGAATAAAGCCCAAACAATTCTGTAGCATGAGCAGCAATAGTAGTAATATAGCGTTTGAGTTGAGTTATTAATTTCAAATTTTCTTCGTCATTCACTGGTTATCTACAATTTTATAATGTTTTAAGTTTATTCTCTATCATCTGTAATTGTACTCCGATTGACATGATTTTACAATTGATGGTTTGGCATTTTTTTTTTCCCATCAATTTGTTCATTATTATTTTTTCTATTTGAAAATAATTATGCTAATATGATGATATATTATGTTTCATTTTACTAACTTCCGGTAATTCAAATCATGTTTACTTTATTACAGTATGATTGACACTTTATTATTATTATGATTATTATTATTATTCGTGTTTTCAGAACATTTTCAAATACATCCGATGAAACTGAATTAATGCATCGTTGTGAACAACTTGCTCAAATGTTATCAACTGATTTAAAAGAGGAACATGTTAAAGTAAGAATATATATATATATTACACAGATGGTCACTAGACACCGATTGTTAGAGACCTTGAAAAATGCAGATGCATTCATTCATTGTGTTCTCTTAAATTCTAACCTGAATTACTCATCATCTCTACCTTTCTCTTTCTAAAGTCATCTCACAGAATTATACTTCACGAATCATATCTTCAAACCCTAATCTTCTCCATTATTGCTAATACTTCTACTACCTCTACTACTATGGGATTTGAACTGACAGTTGCGTCTCTGCGCTGATGCGGTACGGCGACCTGAACTGACGTACGTACGTACGAGGTACTACATTGTAACTGAATGACTGTATATATATATATATATATATATATATTATTTTGATAAAGTTCGTCATACGTTTTTATCAAAAACATGTTGAGTTTAAAAAAAATGATTATTGAAAGGATCGATAAGTATTTTCTAAAAGATGGAATTCAAATGGTACTGTCCAACTAAAAACTCAATAACATCTTGTAGAAGCCATCGTCAAACATATAGTGTCAAATCATCTCTGTTGTTTCCAGCAAATAAACTAACTTCAATCATTACCTTTACATCTTAACAATGTGTACGCGATGTCGAGTCACGTAGATTAGTGACCACATTGCGAACTGGTCGATGGAACTTGATCAGCACTAAGAAACACTTGGTACACATGATATTGGTCACTAAACAGTGATCGATCAATTGTAAATACATCTCGGTCCTACAGATGGTCAGCAGCGGATCGGATACCTCAGTGTTAATGCCGTTGATTGTGAAGCAAAGTGATGCGTGTATGATAAATTAGGTAGAAAATAATCGATCAACGTATGTTTGTTCAAGTAATTTTATAAATTTCATGATAAATTATAGTTGGATTTGCTTTTCAAATTTTCTTATTAATGAGATGGAAGCTTTATATAATTGTACTTCCGTTCAAATTTTTATTTGATTTTGTAATTACTGAACTAACTTGCTGTAATAAATTTATTTGCAGTTCTCTGTTGTTATAAATTGTTTACACTTTCTAAAGTAAGAATAACCAACAAAACCATATTATGAAATCGTTCTGTATGCTGTTAGATGACAGGAAATCCTGGATCTAGACTTTGTACTATTTGGCATTCGTCATCAAGGTGTACATGTAATCTTATGGGAACTGATGCTCCCCGGAAGATTCGATCCTGTGTCACTCTATTTCAGAATCAGAGACGTTACCGCCAAGATATCCGATACGCTGCTGACCATCTGTAGGACCGAGATGTATTTACAATTGATCGATCACTGTTTAGTGACCAATATCATGTGTACCAAGTGTTTCTTAGTGCTGATCAAGTTCCATCGACCAGTTCGCAATGTGGTCACTAATCTACGTGACTCAACATCGCGTGCACTATGTTGAGATGTAAAGGTGATGATTGGAGTCAGTTTATTTGCTGGAAACAAAAGAGATGATCTGACACTAAATGTTTGACGATGGCTTTTACGAGATGTTATTGAGTTTTTAGTTGGACAATACTTATCAATCAATACGTATCAATCTTTTCAGTCATCATTTTTCGAAACAACTTATTTTTGATAAAAACGTTTAATGAGCTTTATATAGGGGAAATAGCTATAGTTTTTTCTGTTGATTGACTAACTAATTGTTGTAGTATGTGTTAGATATTCTTGGAACAGAATAACGTTGATAAGTCACTAGGAAAGCGTTAGAATAAACCAGTAAATAGATCCTAGATTTGCCACGAATCGGAAATATACTTAATTAAGGTATATACAAATTGTATAGTAAAACAATGTTGACACAGTGGACATAAATTTATTTTAACAGTGGGAAAGTTGTTGGTAAATCTGATAGTAATGTGTTTTCAAATGTAATGTTTACAATGCTTGTATGAACGAAACTGGCTTGTCAGTAGTATATTCGTAAACAATGAACTAACGTCTTATAACGTCATCTTCTTATTGAAAACGTTTACATCATTTACAAACGTTATTACGAATTAGCTTGTGTTAATGTCAAATAGAACGAATAAGTAATCTTGTTTTAAATATTTCTTTAAATATGTATTTTAGTCAAAGACATTCAGATGTTTCGGTTTTTCTATTTTCGTGAACCGGTAGGCAGAGTTCAGCTGTGTTCAGTTTAAGTGTTATAGCTTAATTATTGATCAATGAAATGATCTCTGTTTGATATCTTTTTTCGGATTCGGACATTTATACTCTCAGGTATCTTTGTGTATAGAAGGCGTGCCGATGACATAATCATAATATATAATGAAAATAACGGTATTTACAACATTCTAACGTCTTGTATCATAGATTTAGCGATATTCTTTCATATGGTCTCAGTTTAAGATCTTTTGTTATGGCGTATTATTAGTATCAGTCTATTAGCGGGACACAGATGGGATTAAAGCATGATTGCGTTTTTTGGGGCAGAGTTTTGGGAGTTTGTGATTTTGATGATGTTTGATGATTTCAAATGATTGCGTTTGCTGCACGCTGATTGGCTAATTCTTAACCAATCAGCGCTGGTCGATACTTGGAGAACATTCTAGAAGCTTCTTATGTAAAAACGATAGCGATACTAACGGTATTGCTATTTCGCCTTCGCTTCGGCTTCTTACTTCCATTTAACCTTGCTATTTGGAATATAATCTCTTCCCTGTTCAACCGTGTTCCGATTCCGGGACTTGTCGACTGAATTGGTGTCCGAAAATACTAAGCAACAGGAATATCTGGGTTCTACTAAGAGAGAATTATCACACAGTCTTTATTTGATAACTATTCACCTATTATATTTTTCTCTGATATATAAAAGGTTATATCTACAAATATGAAGTCTTTACTATCATAAACATGTATAGTACGGATGAAGAAGAGAAAAAAATGATTTTTTTTACCATTTATTCTAAGGGTCAATTAATCACACTTAAAATGAAATTAGATACATTTGAAGTTCGAACAAGATCACAACTCCTGCCAGATTACACGAATCATACAGAGATTATCAATTCATTCGGTCGTGAATTATTACATGAAGAAATGGTAGCGTGTAAATCGAATCCACTGGTGAATAAACCACTTACTCTACGTCTTATGGGTAAGGAGTTTACAATGTCTTTTTTTTCGTGAAATAGATCTGAACAAATATACTCTTATTTTCATAATAAACAACTGAAATAATGTATATGAATTTCAGCGGTTTCTGTAAAATACGTTCTCATCATTTGCATTATTAAATGTTGCCATTTTTTAATCAAACACAAGTGAATGTTTCAAACCATAAGTGTTATTTATGTGAGCTACTGATTCTATCTCTATGTCCTAAATAAAATAGGTTAAATCAAGTTCGAACATGTATAATCTAGTAGTTGAAATCCAAGTGTTCGAATAAATAAACCTAGGGCACTTATTTTCTCCACTTGTGTAAACTTCGAAATCGAAATATTTTAAGCGTAGATTGTTGAAATTTGATGAAATCGCCATGAATTACAACATTCCAAATTTTTTACTCATTTGAAATCATTAATCAATCATTGTTAGACCACCATTAGAAACCTGGAAGCACTGGACGGCCGTTTCGTCCTGGTATGGAACTCATCAGCAGTGCGCATCCACGACTCCTGCTCCTCGCAGGATTCGAACCCGGGACCTTCGGAATTGACGGCGAACGCCTTACCATCGGACTACTGGGCCGGCATCCAAATTTCCCTAGCAATCAAAACAAATCATTTTGAAAATACTATTTAAACTAGTTATCACATCGCTGAAAGAAGTGACGTTCATAAACATGAAAGAAAAATCGTGTATATGCAGTACTTCACTGAAACAGTTATTTCTACAATTTACTGAAGAATTCCCATTAACCTTTAGATGATTACAGCAAAATCTGATACTTCTGTGTGTAAATATAATTTTAGAAATTACGAGTTGATTATTCAATTAAAATCGAATAAACATTACTAATCAATAATCGTTGTAAGTAGAAACAATCCTGTTTACAATGAAAGAGTGTATTTATCAAACAATAAACAAGACCTGGATTCTAAATCAAGTCCCACAGATTTAGAAAAAAGAAAGTCATGTTTTAGTTTTGGTCTTAAAGTTAGCCCTTAAAACCATAAGATATTTCGTAGTCATAATAGATGAAAGAGAACACTTAAATATTTAGTGTAAGAAGTGAGAGAAACGGCGAGTATTTGGATTGTAAGCAATTATAGGGATTATTTTGGTTTGTTGACGGTTATTTTTCTGTCAAATTTACACCATTTAGAGTACTGATGAAATCCGGGTTTATTTTACACCTCTTTTGGTCTAGTATGCGAGACTCCACTCGTACATACGTATAACTCCGCTAAAGATTGGAAGCCGGACGTTCTTGCGTAATGTTTTCTTGTATAGAAATAAGTCGGAAGAATGCTATAAGCGGTTCAACCAAAACCTGGCATCAGTGCACAAAGTCATCAATCATTGGTTTGAGTTCTTTCAGTCAGTCAGTTACAACGTAGAACGTACGTACGTACATCGGTTCAGGTTGCCATACCGCATCAGCACAGAGACGCAACTGTCGGTTTAGATCCAATAGTAGTAGAGAGTTCTTTAGCTAGGTGCAGTCTATGTGTTGTCCGAACTTAAAGATTAGATGAGTAGTTAGTGCTTCTATAATTTTTAAAAATTATCAACAGTGATCACTGTGAAATAAATCGATGAAGTAGTGTTCGTCATCATCTTAGTACTAAACATTTTTCATAATAAGACAAATACCTTTTAATTAATTCGTACTTTCCCAACCGTGTAACTACATTTGTACTTTCTTTGTTACACTACTGTTTTAGGTTTACGCATGTCCAACTTATTGCCAGTTGAAATGTGTCCACAAATTCGTCAACGTAGTGTTGAGGAAGCTTTTATGTTTGCTATGACGAATAATAATATTAGTCCTGAAAAATCTACTACTATCTGTACAACTTTATTGCACACAGATACATCTACGCAATCTATTAAATCGCCTAACACAATGTCTTCACCTAAATCAGTTCAATCATCAAAAAATAAACTAACAAAAAGGTTAACAAAATCGAATCAGAAAAATGATAAAAAGAAGAAGACTTGTAATTCTTCTTCATTGGTAAGTTTATTAATCATTGAGGTTAGAACAGAACATAATCTGTAGCATAAACCTTTTATTTATTAACCAGTGATGTGATAGTCTTCCACAGTAATCACCTTGCATATTATATGAATCAATACGAGAATACGAAAAATGTCTTTCACAGAAGTTGGATTTAGCTGGTAATTATAGTTTTTTTTATCGCGGTGACTAGTGGTAATGAGTCACTTACTCGGTTACAACTTAGATCTCCGTACGTACGTACGTACGTGCATAAGTTCATGTTGTCACACCACATTAGCGGTATTGGAGAAGATTAAGGTTGGAAGAAATTTTTCACAAAGTATCATTCAGTGAGATAAATTTAGAAAGAGACAGGTGATGAGGAATACAGAAGATTAGGATTTCAAAGAACAGTGGTAAAAATAGCCCTGGTTTTATTGATTATCAAGAATTCATCAACTTACATCACTTATGAAACTTATGGAATGTTTGTCTATGGACCATAGAGTCAGTGTACTTACTACACAGCAATCCATTCGTTGTTAACCTAGGATTGTTAAATATGGAGTAGAAAGCGTGCATATGCTGCAGGCCTTTTTTTATAGATATCTTCTAAGTAATTTCCCAAGTTTTTGGAACGACGAAATGAATAATGCTCAGGTCAAGCCTAGTGCATTAGGCAAAGTTAGCTAATTGGTGTGTTAGGTTGTATATGTTCATTGAATGATAGGTTATCACGCATGTTACGTATAGCATGCCTCGAAGGAGACTGCTTGCTGGCACATCTGTAAGTTATGTTAACGAAAATTACTGAGTTACTCAGTAAAATAGGAAAACCATATCGTAACCGTTAATTTGCAAATCTTCAATCCATCATCACTCCATTGTCTGACATTTCACTATTCATGCGTTTCATACAGATTCCATTGTGTTCCCACTCTTTCTTTCTTGATCTTCCCCCATCTTCTGCTGCCAGACATTACGTTTACACTCGCGTCATATACTACTTATAAGTAGCGCGCACCACAATAGTATCTGTTCATAAAGTCATTATCCATTGATTTTATCTGTGTTTGTAATTGCGATTTATTTTACTATCATTCTGTACTGCTTATTACGCAACACTTATGCTATTGTAATGCATGTACTAAATGCTGTACGGAACTTTCTTTTCCTGAACTTCCACTTGGAATTTTGGAATACAAAATGATTGATTAGAAATTGTGTTTATGCCTTCGATTCAAAATTCATGCCATTGTATAAATGAAACTACAATGTACAATCTCAGTAAATACTCCCAGTAATCGATCAAACATCCGAATCTTTGAATATGATAAAGTGAATATTTTCAATGACCATCTTGTCTGTATGTATTAACTAACTTTACTAATTTATCAGTAAACTATTCATTTTTTTGTGAATGTAACAATCCATCGTTGATGTCAAACTTTTTCTCACTCAAATGATATTTCTTAACTCATCATTTTTGTTTTAAGATTACACAATGGACTACAACATCTCCACTTAGTAGATGTAATGAAGTTAGTCTACTACCATCTTCATCCACTCCACTGAATTTATCGCTTGAACCTTCATCATCATCGTCGTCATCGTTAACATTAGCTTCATCGTCGAATGGTACTACCACTTGTTCAGTGATTACATGTCCTGTGTGTGAAAAAGATTTCCGATTTTCTTCAGAAGACAAGGTTGGTTAGTTTAAGTCCTGCTTGGTTTATGCAAACATATTTCAAGAATTTTATTTTAAAATATTAACAATTCCCATTGTGAAAATTAGAACAACACATATACAAGTGAATAATATTGTTTTTTTAATTAGATTGTCATCAGGCTTTATACTCTAATATACATGAATATTGAAATGAAAATGTTAGACCAATCACTGCAATTTGAGTTCATCCTCACAATGAAATAGATTACGTAACTATACATAATAAGTAAAAGTACAAGTTGATAGTAGGAAGACTAGTGTACTGATAGTAGTAAGAATAGTAAAATTTTTGTCAGTAGTTCAAAATTCAAAATAGTAGGTCGTACGTGGATAAATAGACTTAAAGTACATTTGAAATCATGAATCGATCAATGTTAGACCACCATTAGAAACCTGAAAGCACTGGACGGCCGTTTCGTCCTAGTATGGGACTCATCAGCAGTGCGCATTCACGACTCCTGCGTCTGGCAGGATTCGAACCCAGGACACCCCGTCTTGTGAGCGAACGCCTAACCTCTGGACGACCGAGTCGGCACCGAACGTTATTAATATCTAACTTCAATCAATTCACGTAGTTGCGCAATCTCATACACTGTCTTCGGTAGTTACTGTCTACACCCCAACAGGTTGAACTCCACTGGTCACGACTTCCCACTAGAACTTGGAGAAGATTCCTCAAGGAGCTAGTCACTAGTGAGCACAAGTAATAGCATTACGGGGCTGTGAAGATTGTTAAGTTACACATTTGAAACCATGATTCGACCAATGTCAGACCACCATTAGAAACCTGGAAGCACTGGACGGCCGTTTCGTTTTGGTATGGGACTCAAAACACTAAAACAATTACTTAATAAGGATATACATAACTAGATAGTGAAGAAAATAAACCGAAAGAGTCAGAGAATTACAAACAAATACAGGATGTGAAAATAATACTGCTAATAATAACAAAAAATGAAAATAAAAAGTTCAAAATCAGTTTATTAAGTTATATCCGACCAAGCAAGTGATAGGGGTGTCACGAATTTTTTCGGAACACATAAATTGGGTATGAATGTTCGGATTCCTACCAGTCAGTCAGTCAGTTACAACATAGAACTTCGTACATGAGTATATAAGTTCAGGTTGCCATATCCCATTAGCACGGAGACGCAACTGTCAGTTCAAATCCCATAGTGGTAGATGTAGTAGAAGTATAAGCAGTAATGGAGAAGATTAGGGTTCGAAGATATGATTCGAGAGGTATAATTCAGTGAGATAACTTAAGGCAGAGAAAGGTAGAAATGATGAGGGATTCAGAAGGTTAGAATTTGAAAGAACACACTGAATGAATGCAAACGATTTTGAGCCATGTCTTTCCAGGTCTCTAACCATAGGTGACTTTTGTCTCGTGGACTCCAACCAGGTAGCCTACTTCTGCTAACATGACTCAATCCACTTGTCAGTGACTTCATGGATTTGTGCCATGTTTTGGTTTGGCCACCACTAGCTCTCTTCCAACTTCTCCTACACCACAAAACATAACTCGTCGAGGCAGTCGGTGGTCTGGCATTCGTAACACATGCCCAGATTCCTATAGCTTCTGATATATATTCATGTATACTAGAGTAAAGCCTGATGACGATCTGATTGTTCGCTTATACGTGTGTTGTTCGAATTTGATTTGAAGCTAAAAACATCTCTTTTCTCAAAGATTTGTTTATATCAAGGTTAGAGAGTGATTTTTATAAATTGTGTGTGTAACAGCAATGTTGACAAAAGCAAATTTTTAAAAAATACTGTTTTACATATCAAGATACACAATTCATTCTCATGACCAATAGAATTTTTACGAATAAGATAATCATTAAGTAACTATGTGTACATTTCAAATGTTGTACTTGTGAATATTGTTAAAAACTGTGTGTTGGCACAGACATTCACTATAAGTGTAAGTATCACGTTAATAATTTATGACAAGTAATTAGGCGTTGCAATACAAATAATTATCATTTGTTTAATTTTAAGCTTAGATCTTTTAGTCTGATAATATTAGTGTTGTTGTTTTATTCACTGTAAATTGGTATACACATTCTTTTGTTGTTGTCTAGATATTTGTTAATAATCGTAATTCATAGACTGTTGTTGTATAATGAATCCTTATTTTTGCTTCATAGTTTATCGTTTGACTTATGTGACATTGTCATTGAATTGATTTCTTAAGAGTTTGAAGAAATATTATTTTCTTTAACTGGCCCTTCATAAACCATACTGGGAGTTGTTCACTCATTCGTTGGTTAGGTTGCCTGGTAGTACGCTCGAAGTAGCTATCTCCACAGGAGCAGCTGAATTTGTAAATGCACATAGAGGGCGCCAACTCAGTTAACTTATCCTTCGTTTGAGTAGACATCGCTGGTCGACTTGACAAGGTCAACGCAAGTTTGGCTGCATAGAATGTTCTACTAATTACTTTCGTTAATCTGTCCTGCAGAGTATCGCTAGCCACATTTCCGTTGAATTGTAATTTAATAAATAAAGGGTTCTTTCGCACGGTTGAAAACTTCGACTTCTTTTTTGCATTAAACATATACTTCTTTATGAACGCGCTAGAGTAGCTGATCTTGGTCAGTGAGCTGTTGATAAATTCTAGCTCCTAACTTAAAATATCCACTGAACAGATCATTTTTTGCTCTGCTCTTGAATAAAACAAGAAATACTAGACTTTTATAATGGTTATTCAAGTTGTCAATTTGTTGACGATAGGATTAATTCAAAATAAATGTGTTTATAAGTTTTCATTTGGTAAATTTTACTGACAAATAGAATAAGAATTTGTTTGTAAGTACTTCAGCTGGTAATTATCATTTCATTCGATAGCAGTTCGATTCTGTACATGAACTTCACTAAGAAATAATTTTTTTCAGCAAACATATTGTATCTAGTATCATCATATTTGTTTAATTTCAATTAATTTAAACGTGTCTAATTTAAACTGTTTTCATGTTCACAGTTCAATTATCATTTGGATGAATGTTTAAATAGATCAGCTATTTTAGAAGTTGTGAAAGAGACATTTACCAGTAATCAGTTATCTGAAGCAGATCCTTGTCCAACAACATCACACTCATCATCACATGATATCAATATTCGGTAAGATAATTTACTAAGTTTGAATTTTTTTCTCATTTAACAAACGGTTCAGTGATTCGTCGTGTTTCAGTGACACTGTTCAATCGAAACTAATCTTGAATATAATCAGATTGCCCTCTTCGAATACTTTGAATAGCGACATTAATTGATCAAGAGGAAATATCAACTGTTCAGAGTAAAGCTTTTGAAGAATATGTGCGTATGCTTGAGCCCTAATAAACCGATGATATAGAAAATAACTGAATGATACACATTATGAACACAATTTAATTTGTCTTACTTATATGAAACCGTGACAAAAGAATATGGCGATAGACAAACAGTTATGTTAAAAATTTTCGACATTTTGTTATAGTTATTAGAATAAGAACCGCGACAATGGTGCATCTGTTTCCAGACTCTCAATTAGGACATAAAATATTAACAACTAACTGATTTCCCAGTTGGGTGTAAGTTATAGTCATAGTGTAATGGTTACCAGTACTACTCGGTTGCTTAAACTACACTAGGTGAAGCCGGTTCAAACCTATAACTCAGTGGCTGAAATTCAAGCACTTTAACTACTAGCCATCGATCGTAAAATAATACAGACTAGATGCATAGAAATTTCAGAGTAGGATACTTTAATCTAAAAGAGAATGAATGATAGTCTATTCGTTGAATTTATTACATCACATGATTCAGTTTAGATGTTTAGCGCATTCATAACTATCGATTATTGGTATGTTTAGTCTTTCAACTAAACAACTTATTTATTTATTTATACATGTCTGAAATGATTTCATGAATTAGTTAGTCTTAAATGTACACTAGTATTTATTTGAATTAATTCATTTGAGGATTTGTCAATAAAAAATGTACAGTGTTTAAGATTTCTTAACTCTGTAGAATTGCAAATCAAGTAGCTTTTTTTTGTTATAAACTCCTTTAGAAATATGTAAGTTAAAGACAATGCTAAACTAAAATTTCCTTATCCAACTAGATCTATTCTTGTGGTTTACATTATTCGATACATAATTGATCATGAATAAGTCTACTGCATTTTATTAATATGAAGTTATTTCTGAACATACAAATATTCTTTGTAGTGAAAAGTGGTTAATGTTCATAGGAAGAACGCAAATCGACTAATTCATGTGTGTATTTTAGTTTGTTGCATGTCTTAATACTGTAAGCGTTTTGAGACGGACAAACCAAAATGTGACACCAGTTTATGAATTCAGTGTCTGTTGATCTTAGTCATATTGTTTAGATGTGAGCTAACTGGTTAGTGTCTGTATAAAAACTTCAAGCAGTGGATGAAGATGTTGAAAGAGATATCTCTCAGTTGGTCACCGGTCTCATAATAGTAGTATTTCTCGAGCTTTAGGCAGCATTTGACTTTGTTGGTCATGAGGTCCTATGGCAGTACTTGTGAATAAACGGAGTACCAGAGAATTACATTAACCTTATACAAGCAAGCTATTTACTCGAACGCTACTGGTCGGGTAAGAGCTTATGGCGAACTGTCATTTCACTTTATTATTTCAAGTGATGTTCGTTAAAATTGTCCACTTTCCCCATTCTTATTCAACTCTGTCATCAATATGCTTCTACAGATAACACTGTCTGAGTCTGACTTTTCAGGAATTGAACTTTTACTGGGAGATTCACTTGTTGACGTAGAATATGCCGATGCTATAGTTCTATTTGATGAAGATGCTGACAAAATGCAGAGTCTTCGGACTACCCAAACCAACAGTGCAAACATGTTCTGGGTGCGGATTTTCTCCTTGAAATGCAAAATGTTACTTCAAGGTTGGCTTGCATGAGCACCTGAGCTGGTGATTGGGAGTGAAGTAGTTGTCTGCATCCTACTTTATGGCTGCAAAACATGGCCAGTCACAGTAGAAGATAGTCGTAGGTTGCTGGTGTATCCGAAGCATTTCCCATGTATCCTTAGACAACCGAGTAAGCAATCCTGTTGCTGGAAATAAGTACTAGGTAAGGGTGGCAGATCAACAGATGAAGTAGTGAAACTTCATTAGTTGAGGTGGTTTTGACATGTGTTACGTATGCCTAACAACCGACTGCCTCGTCGAGCTATATTTCGCGATTTAGGAATAGGTTGGAAGAGAGCTAGTGACGGCCAGACTGAAACATGATGCAAATCCATGAAGTCACTGACATGTTGGTAGGTGTAGACTACCTGGTTGGGGACTGCATTTACAATGGTGCATGTGCATTCATTCTTTGTGTTATCTCAAACCCTAACTTTCTGAATCCCTCATCACCTTTATCTTTTTCTTTCTAAGTTTATTTCACTAGATTATACTCCTTAAATAATATCTTCGAACCCTAGTCTTCCCGATTACTGCTAATACTTCTACCATAATGGGATTTAACTCGACGATTGCATCTCTGTGCCAATGTAGTTTGGAAACTTGAACTGATGTACCTACGTACGGAGTTCTACGTTGTTGCTGTCCAAATAAATTTACTCTCATTCTCGAATCTCTGCGTTGCTTCATACATATGTTTCTATTCTGTCTTTCAAATCTTATTCTCACTATTTATTCCTCATTACCATCGTTTTGATTTGTTCGCTGTGCATTTAGTTCTGCTAATTTAGTTTGCTAACTTAAACTAATTCACATTTGACCCAAGCTATGCGTTGATTATGACTGACTTACTCACTGACTAACCGTAAACTTTACAGTTAATTTAAAAAAAAACTGATCAGTCGGCATCGTTTTAATTTGAAAAAGCCCACTCATATTTATTTCATATTAAAAATAGTTCTTGAATCAATACCGGTGTATTGTTTTGTTTGAAAAACATTTTATTTCAAAATTATGCTAATTCTCTCTCTTATTACTTTTCCAATCTATCTATTTTTCCGTAATTTATATTTTTCAAGAAAATCAAAATTGCCAAAACTTGAAATCAACGAATCCGAAACCAGCACCACCACCACAACAACAACAACACCGAAGACAACAACTACCACGACTTCTCATGGACCACTTGATAAATTTATTGTTCATCCAACTACTGTACATTTTAATTAAAATTACGTTCTAATTATTGCTATTGAATACAAAACATTCACAATCGTTCAGATTTTTTCTTTTTATATGAATCAATCTTGTTTATCTGTTTAACCATTGCCTTCTATGAATTCAATGCTCGATGCTCAACTACTGTAACACAGTTCATTCAAATTTAGATTTAAATTTTATTATAAAATTGAATATATTTTTTTGTGGAGTATTTTTTTTCTTCCCTGTATTTACACATCAATTTTCCCTTTGTTTTTTTGTTAATCATGTACAAAATTCATTTTTTTTAGTTTAATTCTTGTTTGACTTTTGGTTTCTTTTGTATTCAAGAGATAAAAACCACTATAATTTTTTTTCTACTGATTGTGTAGATTTATACGCATTTTTTACAGATTCAATTTTCTTGTAATTTATTAATGATATGCATTTAAGTTGTACATCATCGATCGCCATGCATTTACTGAAAAATAATCTAATCAGAATAATCTAATTTCGGTACACTAAGTGTGTTTGCTTTTTTTACTTTCTTGATTATAATTTTTCAAGAATTTTTTAGACTTTGTGACGAATATAACTGAAAAGGCTATTCAACTGGTTGTTTCCTATTCTAATTGATACATCAAGTTGATTAATTGATTGATCACATATTGACCAGTATAAGTCCAGTTGTGTTCTATCCGATATTCTCGCCAAGTGATATTCTTGAATGCTATTACGAGTTCGCCTTACTCGGTAAATGGAGCGCAGATCAATGATACAGTGATATGATAGGATATTCTAATCCGATTGTCTCAGGCCCCGATAACTGAAGGAAATAGTCTTGATAAGGTGTAGAGAATGTATTCTACAGGCACGCAGAAAGATTGGGGTTGCTAAGCAAACAAATCAAGCTTGTTTATACAATGATAGCAACACCCTTGAGAGAGCCACAAAAATAGCGTACTAAAATAATCCGTCAACCACTGACAGTCAAGGGTTGTCCTAGGGGGAAATGTAAGCTGAAGGTCAGTTAAGCGTCTTGTGCGCGAAAACATAAAAAATTGAAAATTTCAGAAATAAATTACAAAGTTAGGACATTTTTTAAGTGAGTTCTGGGGATCTAATGTCCCCGACCCGACCTACGGTATAGATTGATGATACATAATAGAGGTGTTTCATATACGCGGTTGATATATCAAACATTGTCTTTATTTCTGTTGAATACATCAAATGGATCTGTTTGTTGTCTCGATCTTCACTGAATAAGTAGTAGTTGAATTCAGCACGTTTGTTTCAACTTGTTTGGTATCGTTCAACAATATTTACCTGCTTCCTAATTAAGTCTTTACCTATCTGATCAAGAGGTTTCTCTTTATGTGTGAGCTAATTGTCAGAGAAATATTGAACTGATCTCCATGTATCAGGAACTTTAGTATGGTATGTATTAAACTGTTTGGACATGAAATGAGACGTAAACGCCTGGCTAAATAGTTTCTTCTGGTGAAAAATCACTTATTTGAGTTGCCGTCTAAAATGAAGCCATCGAATCATTGTTAGCCCATAATGATTATTAAAAAAAACTTTTTTACTGCTTGTTAACCTGACTTGTATTTTAGACTTTTCTCAAATATATCTGTCACTTAACTCCCAATCAGTTTGTTATGCTTAAGTATGTTTGCCGTCGTCATCAATACTAACGAAATAAAACTATGCAAGCTAGAGCAACGGGAATCAAATGGGTTGATGATGAGTGATATTTAAGCATACAAAGAAAAAAATAATGTGTTAAATGACAAATAGATTAACTTTAAGTGATCGATCTTCAAGACTTTCAATTCTAATAGTTTGATTTTTTGTATTTAACCATCAACTGTGAAGGTAACCTCCGTCGGAATATGAACTTAAGTAAAGCGCTACAAACGAGCATATACAATTCAAATTATCAAGAAACTTAGGATTATTTGCCAATACTTAATTATTTGTAAATTTTTACTTGATTCAAATATCAAATTGTTGCACTCGTCACTAGGTATGCTTAAAACGATTACGCGTTCCCCTTAGTCGACAAACGTGAAAGAGACAATGAACCAGCGTCCAGGTAGGCTACTCTGATCCGTTGACCCAAAGGTACTAACGAGAAGTGTTGATATAGCGTAGAAAGTGTATTCTACAAACACCCAAAAAGCACACGAATTGCGTTTATTTATACACCATCGAGACGTCCTTGGGGTAGTCACAAAATAGCACACTAAAATAACACAGTAACCAATCACAGCCAAGGATTTTCCCGGGCGGGAAATGAAATCTCAAGGTCGACTGAACAGCCGATGCTCGCAAACGTGAAATCCAAAATAAGGCATTTATCAAGCGAGTTCTGCGGATCTAACACCCCCAACACAAATAAATGTTCCGTTTAATATATCTTAGTAGTTAGCGAGCAGTAAACTTTGTGAAACTCTATTTCTGACAGGAGATAAAGATTCACAATTCGTTTAGTAAAACGACATATTCATGATGATAACGATAATAATTAAGTGGTTATTTTTAAATTATAACTTTATCGACATCATCACCCGACATATACTTATAATAATCAATACACAATTCACCATGTTAGTTTTTACTACTCTATTGTTTAGATAATTTAAAATTTTCATTAGTTATTATTATTATCATTTCTGTATTTCCATTAGTAAAACCAACCTGTCGAAAGAATTTTAAAGGTTACTTAGGCTGGTTTTTTATTTAAATGATACAAAATAATTGAGTAGGTGTATATGTGTCAGCTAATTGTTGACTGAAAAAACAAACTGTAGTAAATAAGTTTCATTTGTGTGCCAACTATGTTGTGCATTTTTTTAGACAGTAGTTTAGTCTGGCATGAAGTTAAAAAAAAGAGAAAAAATGAATAGAGAGTTAGATGCTCGGTGTAATTATGATTAATGTTTTGAAACCATGAATCGATCAATGTTGGACCACGATTAGGAACCTGGAAGCTGTGGACGGCCATTTCGTCCTGGTATAGGACTCATCAGCAGTGCGCATCCACAACTTCTGCACCCCGCAGGATTCGAACCCAAGACCTTCGGCTTTGTGCGCGAACGTCTAACCTCTGGATCACTGAGCCGGTATCTAACGATGTTAATGTCTAAGTTCGATCAATTCATGGAGTTGCGCAACCTCAAACACTGTCTTCGGTAGTTACCGTCTACACCCGAACGGATTGAACTTGAGTTCCATACCAGGAAGAAACGGCCGTTCAGTGGTTCTAGGTTTCTAATAGTGTGCTAACATTGATCGACTCATGGTTTTAAAATGTGTAACTTAACAATCTTCACGACCCCGTAATATGACTGATGAGTTCTGGTCTGCAGCAACATTTGTTCCTTGTGATATTATTCTACTGACGTACTAAAATTGTGATGTAGTTCGATGCAGCATTTCTTTGAAATAGGATTTCTTAATTCTGCGTATCATTTAACTCGCTAATCATAAGATCTTCACTATCCAAACTGCTAATTTTCAGTTAACGTGAAATAAATGTTTATATATAGAGTTATTTTGTAGTAATGTGGTTTTTTTCATCATAATTTGTTTCATCGTTGTATTTTCATTTTATTGAATGTGATCAGTTTACTTTTTACTAAGTTAATGTGTCAATCATCATTCGATTGTATCTTGATAGAATTTGTGATTATATCATGTTTTCTGACTTTTGAAAATTAAATCATTTTAAACATTAAGTGCACTGAATACATAAACATATATTTGATCTTAATTATCATTTCAATAGGAATTGTTGTTGGTTTTCAAAAATATTTTGTTAGGATTTCATATTCGAATGCAATTATGCCTTGGATTCCTTTACATATCTTGACAGCATCATCGACAATCAAGTTGGATACGATGCAGATGTGAGGGCGCGGATTGGTAAATCAAGGTCTGCATCTCTACAAATGAAAAATATCTGGAACTCCAAACAAATATCAATCAACACCAAAATCAGGATTTCCAACACAAATGTCGAGAGTTCTACTGTATGTGGCGGAAACTTGAAGAAATACCAGAGCCATCATCCAGAAGATACAAGTATTCCTTAATAGTTGTCTACACAAGATACTTTGGATTCATTGGCCAGACACCATCAGCAACAACCTACTGTGTAAGAAAATAAACCAGATTCCAGTGGAGAAGGAAATCAGGAAGAAGCGTTGGAAGTGGATAGGACTCACACTGGGGGAAGCACCTGACTGCGTCACCAGACAAGCCCTTTCTTGGAACCCTCAACGTAAAAGGAAAAATGGATAGCCAAGAAATGCATTACTCCGAGAAATAGAGAAAAATATGAGAAGAATGAACAATGAATAGGAAAGTTAAACCCAGGACAGAGAATGTGGGAGAACATTGGTCAGCTGCCTATGCTCCATCGGGGGAGACAGGCGTAACACAACAAACAACATGCCTTGGCCTGCACTTCTAATTATACGTGTTGTATTCTTACACAGCACATAGTCAAATCAATTACTCAAATAGCCTAAACCACATTCATTGTTATCAGTTAGCTAGTGTATGTTACCTGTCTTCTCTGATTATATTCTGGCCTTAATTTGTTTTACGAACTTCGAAATACCTACATTGAAATTTGAGTAGTTTTTTTCGTAAACAAATAATTAGAATCTAAACAACGTTGTAAATATACGCTAAGATAATCCCAAACTATAGTGAAACGGTTGTATCGTATTTCATTGTTTTCGAGCACTATTTTATTTAGCACTGTATTGTGGAAATAAGTGCCTTTAAAAACCACAAAATTACGAGATTTACATTACCCTCTAGTCTGTCCACCTAACAATCTATTCGGCTTTAGACAAAAACGTAGGGTAAATATTTTATGTATGATGGTTAAAAATTGATTGGCAGAGATTTTGAAAATGATGTTTTATTTCGTCATCTTAAAGTGATCGATATTACCAGTCAAACAACTAGCTATACACATTCTCCCTAAGGTAGCAAACTGCTCATTTATCAAAAAGGCGGACTTAAAGCAGTTTAGAAGTTAGTCGCACTACTGCTTCTATTTGGTGGTCAGGCAGACATCTATCGAAATGTATCATTTGGAAACGAAAAACTCATTTTTTAAACAACTTATCACAAAATATTTTTTATGTTTGAAAATATATTTCAATTTAAATAGTTAATCGTTGAATTAGGATTATTACTCGCATAATTTTCTTTTTTTTCTAACCAAAATTACATTTAAGACTTTTGTGTGCTATTCCAAATTTCTTGTGAATAAATGCTTGTTTTCGATCATAGGTGTCTCCGAAGCATTGATCGCGTATCCTGGGCAAACCGAGTAAGCAGTGGTGTTATTAGGAAACGGGTACTAGGTAAGGATGGTAGTTCAATAGATAAAGTATCAAAAATTCATCAGTTGAGGTGGTTGGGACATATTATGCGTATGCCTAACCACCAACTGCCTCGTCTAGCGATGTTTTGTGATGTAGGAGTAGGTTGAAAGAGAGCTAGGGGCGGCCAGACCAAAACGTGGCACCAGTCCATGAAGTCATCGGCAATGGGAATGAGCCATGTTAGTAGGTGTAGACTACCAGGTTGGGGTCCACGCGGCAATCGTAACCGGTGGTTGGAGACTTTAAAATGACATAGCTCGTAACCGTTTTCAACGGCGCAAGTGTATCCATTCTTTGTGTTAACTCAAATCCTAATCCTCTGGATTCTACACACCTTTATCTTTCACTTTTTGAGATTATTTCACTAGATTATGTGGTATGGTAACTTGAACTGATGTACGTATGTACAAAGTTCTATGCTGCTGTTGATTGATTGATTGATTGATTGATTATCCTTATGGCTCATAATCCTGGTGAATGTCAGTGAAATTACCATATAATGGTTTTTAAAAATTACACATGAGTGTTATCCAACTATTGAACTTTAGAGTTTTATACACTACTTCCTTATTCACAACTTCAATATGATCTAAAACATCAAACTTCTCATTGGACAGGAATATGATAGATTTGTTTTTTCTTAATACAAGCATTCAATTCTATTCGGATGATCATATCGAGAGATTTATGCACCGAAAATGCTTTTAAAGTAAGCGTTATTTAAATTTTAAAAGTTTCCTCCAAAATAGGTCACATAATAGTCTTGCCTAGGAAATTGGTCATTTGTGTTGTATTATAACTACAATCAAAATAAAAAAGCTGAAATATGGTCTATGGCTGAACAGTATCTGCAAGACAATGGTTGCACACAAAAGTTCATCATGGGAAACTGGATCGAATGTGCGATATTTAAGGTAATCTTTTTACAACTTAGCTTCATATACACGATCAAAAGCTGGCATAATTAATGTTAGACTTGTGTTGTGTTGTTCGCAACTCATCCATTTGCTAAATTGGCTTCATATTTAATCAAGTACTCACTGAGACAAACTAAGTGGATAAATTTCCACTTCACGTTTTGCTACCAGTTCACATGTTTGCTTCTCAAGGCACATTCTACGACAAATGCTAATCCAAAGTCGACGACTTTTTCACATTGCGATTGTCTAACATCTACTTGATAGTGAATACGATAAAGTTAATAAATCGAAGTCATTAAAAGTAATCAGTGGTTAAACAACTTTAGGTATACTACGTTTCACTGAAAGCGTTACTATTCAAAGATTTCGACTGAACTAGTGTATATATACAAAGGGATGCAGTTTTAAATCTTTTAACACGTGTATTCATTCATCGACGCTAACATTTTGGAATTGTTCCATGTTTATTTTCGTTGTTTGACTATTTCTTACCTGTAGACACTTCGTAGAACACCGTGATATATATTCTGACATTTTAATAGAAAGATTATTCCAATCTTTCTGAGTCAATTCTGAACATCCATGTGCCTTAAGCAAGCATACACCAACGACTTTAATGGTTTCATAGAGAAGTGTATGTGTATGCAAGCTTGTTTTCTTACTGTATTCGTTACTTATCTTTAATTTGTTTCAGGTAGAAACGAACTAAAGACATATTTTTTAAACTTGGGCAGGCTAAGAAGTCTTTCTCCAAGGCGCATCTCCTTCAGTCTAAATGATTGTTTGAAATAAATTACTGCAACTTAATTCATATTTGACTTTTTTATGAATTTATGAATGCAGTTAAACGACGGATTTATATTTCATGGTTGTCCACGTTACCACACCTTACATTAAATACAAGAAAGGAATTTAACTCAGATAGAGACCTAAATGTAGGGACTACAATGTAAAAAGAACAAATATAAGCAATAAATAGAAAGTCAGGAATGATACTGAAGACAGAATGAATACAGTTATATCATTGTGCTTCATATCACCAAACATTCACAAGCATCAATTATAATGAATTTATTCAGAAAGAGAAATCTGTACTTGAAAACTTGGCTTCGATCATCGATCGACAAATTTTTGGACTGATACAATCGACTACTCTCATTGTCTTTGTCTTTTTCGAACTTACTCCTATATCAGCTGAAATTCTATATGGAGGCTGATGGACTTACATGCAGGTTGTATAGAGTATGAAAAGTGGGTTACCAATGTTGGTTACGATGAAGATTAAGGAGGTAGTTAAATATTATTTTTGAGTTTTCGCTGTAGTGTGTTCCAAAACATCGACTTTTAGCTTTTTCTTAAGTGAATATATTAACGCGTGTCTAATTTATCATGCCTTCAGATGTACAAAGTTCTACGTTGTAACTGACTGACTAACTCAGATGGTTTAGTGTCCAAAAATGTGTAATCAGAAAAAGGTGTTAATTATTTCTGAGTTCTTCATTCTATTTATTAAGCGTAACCAATCTTCTACTTTTGTTTCGTTTTAAATATATCTTGACCATAAACTTTGTGCTTTTATTTATTGATTAGTAATTGAATTATATCAATTCAATTCGACCTGACTCTGCAAATTTTTATTCAAATTCATTGGGAACAATTCAATATACAGCTGTGAAACTATGGAGAACATTAGTAGTCCAAGAAAAGGATTTTGAATGACACGGCTCAAAACCGTTTTCAAAGGCGCAGACGCACCCATTCCTTGGTTTCTCTCAAATTCTAATCCTCTGGATTCTTCACCTCCTATATCTGTCTCTTTTTTAAGTTTGTTTCCCTGGATTCTACTTCTTGAATAATATCGTCGTACCCTAATCTCTCTCTGCTATTGTGCTATCTGAACCCAGAATACACAACAAAATATTTCAGTTTAAAGTTTCCAATCGACTTAAACCATTTAATATTATGTTATAATAACTGTTGGTAGATTCAATGCCAATCCTAAGTATGTCATCATGCATCACATTCGGAAGCAGTAAGAAGATATAACTAGTTCTGCATCAGAGTTGACAAATATTTCTAAAGTATAAACACATCAAAAATGAAGACAGTACAAACAAATGGAAGTTAACAACTAACTGATTAGAAAGATGATAACGAGATTAGGATTTCTTACAAAGTGTTATATCTTATCAAGGATAAACTGGTAGACATAAATATAATTCAGGATCTTGTGTGTATTTGTGTGTGTGTGTGTCAATCCAAGTTGCCAGAATTCATTCATATCAACTTAACAAGAGGAAATCTCAGAACAAAGTCGACTTCTTGAGAATACTAACAATCAAAGTGTGTAGGTGGACTGTTTAAGGTATGTCAACTTTGTATACTTATTCGATTATATTTGAATAACTCTGATGGATTTCGTACAATAACACTAACTCCTTGTGTACTTCAAGTGGATTAATTATTGAATAAGTAAAATATTTATTATTTTCATCTATAATTTATTGAGTATATCACTGCATTCATTTAATTTACACTACATGCTGGTTTTACATTAGTTCATGGTGCCGTTTCAAAAAAAGAATGTGAAGGATAGAAAATGGAACTTTCGCTATTGATTTTCCTGGATGTAAGTAAGGGTTCCACCATGTAATGAATATATCCAGCTTTTTTCTTCAAAATTAAATGATATGTTGTTTTAAACAAGATCAGGTTTCGCATACATTGATAACAAATTATAATTGAATGCAATAAATTTGATAAAACGCTGTTCTATTTCTTTCTTATATTCACTGTTATATAATCGTCGTAATTCTTGCAAATCATCCAGTGAAACCTGTGGAGAAATGTAAATTAATACGATTTTTTGCAGTAATTATGAACAATTATAAATAATTAATTATACACAACTAATGAAAGGGTAAACTGTTAGGTTCGTCACTAGGAACGCTTGAAACTATTACGGGTTTACCTTAATCGATAAACGCAAACGAGACGATGAACCAGCGCCCAGGTAGGCTACCTTGATCCGTTGACTCGTAAAGGCTAAAGAGAATTCTCGATAAGCGTAGAAAGTATATTCTACAAACACTCAGCAATCACAGCACAATCAAGTACACAACTCTCGTTTATTTATACATCATAGAAACGTCCTTGGGACAGTCACAAAAATAGCACGCTAAAATACACAGCAACCAATCACAGCCAAGGGTTTCCCTGGTGGGAAATGAAATCTCAAAGTCAACTGATCAGTCCATCCTCGCGAACGCGAAATCCGAAATAAAGCATTTATCAAGCGAGTTCTGAGGATCTAACGTCCGCAACACAAACAAAAATAAAAATTAGCAGGATAATTAAATAATGACCAATTAATGTAGACTGAAAAATAATTAAAAACTACAATGTAGTGAATCGATTTTATAACAGCTATCTAGCAAAAAGTACCTGAACAACTTAAACGACCTAGCGTTGCAAAATAGTGTAAGCCATATTCAGTCACTAAGAGACTAATGTTCATATTGCAGATCGATAGGCAGAATTCAATTAACATTAAAACAGAATAGATAAATATGATGTTGGCTACTATCCTGTGGAAAGTCTATGCTAAATATATCTCGACCTCACGGGCACTGACAATTCAATGTTGACACCGAAGTCTGTATTAGTAAAAGACTCGCGTGGAGAATTTTAAATCGAAGTGAAACATTTATTTAGTGGTATTAAGCGTCTAATGGTTGTTTAAATTACACTAAACAGTACGAAAAACGCCTTTTTAATTGTAAACAATCTTTAAACTGTTTGTTACTCTACTAAATAGAGAGTATACACAAAATAATGAATAACTTTAATCATCCATTAATAAACAAGATTAAGATAGCTGTGAAAAGTCAGTACTGCTAAGAACATATGTAATAGAACTGAAACTGTATGCTGCAATTTAGGCATTTTAATATTCTTCATTGAAATAAATCCATTGTGTTATATTTGATTCCTATGAAAATAAACCAATTTATTATTTGACACTGTATCTCTCTGTGATTTTATTTTTGTTTACTTCAAACAATTTATTAATCAGAAAAGCAGATTGATCAAAGACAAGATGAATTTTAATAGTTAATTTCGCTCGAACGTAGACTTATTATAACATAATTGTCTATTTCACGTTTGAAAATCAATCTGTACAGTAATTTATGATATGGAATGGCTTATTTCAAGCTATAATCCAATCGTTTTCTGTCAGAATGTTTTGCTATCTCAATCATAGAAGAACTAAGGTTTATTTTTTGGTCAGTGCTAATATATGAGAGATAACATATTACTAGATTAAAAAGAGACAATGATGGTATGGTTGGAGTTAGACATGTACATAATTGGATGCCGGCTCTGTGGTCTCGAAGTTTAGCATTTGCGCGCCAGACAGAAGCTACGGGGCTCGATTTCTGCATGTGGAGTCATGGATGCGCACTGCTGAGGAGTTGCATATTAAGACAAAACAGTCATTCAGTGCTTGCTTCCAGATTGTGAATAGTGGTCTGACATTGATCGGTTCATGATTCCAATTTAACTGAACAATCTCCACAACTCTTTACTGTGTAAACATGTACTTTATTTTCTAACACGTTTATTTGAAATGTTCGTGTTAATTACTCAGTTTTTCATAGCAAAACTTAGGCATCCTTCAGTAATTCACAACCAGTTGTACTTTATAACAGAAAACCTATTCAGGTCGTTATAGTTTTAAATTTTACGAATAAATGAAACATGAACAAATAGTACTTATGAAAATCTACCAAGTTTATGGTATTGATTTTAAGGTGCTCACTACATGTTTAAATAGTTGTAGACTTCTAGTGTGTTTAATTAAGAATTTTGAAACAAGAAAAAAATTGTGTCACTAAAAGATTTCATTTAGTAAGATTTAAACAAATGTGGTCGGGTAAATTTTTTGTTTTATGAAAACTATCAACCATAATGTCTTGCAGAGGGTGAGAACAAAGAGTTGAGGGTTCTCATTAGCTGCTTGCAACCAATATTTTAAAAATCGGAATTATTGGAAAGTACGCATACTTATAACGGAGCAGTGAGATTGACGAAATTTAAAGAGTGTTGTAAATAAATTTGAGAAATGATTCAAGATCATAAGACATAGTATCCATAGGTTTTACAGATCTGATATGTCTTACAATAGCACTGCCCAAAGTCTTTTATCCCATTGACCTAAGACTTTTTGAGATATGTTCTTGGCTTTTCCTTTCTAGCGATGAAATAACTTTGGCAGATACATATAATTTTTTATGCTCAGGTAGTGGTAACATAAAAGGGGTACATATCGATCTTTGATTTGAGTAAAAGACATATTCTCCCAGACAGGATTATGAGTTTGGCAGCTCGAAAAGTTCTGTCTAGTACGGCTTTTAATCTTCCATTTATTATCAATGTGACACTCAAATGAATGAAGACGGGTTTTTTGTCAACTGTAGCTGTCGTTTCAAAACTCACGAGTGACTCATCGAATTTTCGCATACTGCCGATATAAAACTCAGAAACCTAGTAAATCTTTAGGAGCCACCACAAAAAGGAAATCACTTAATAAAACAGTGCTATCAGTGTCAAAATTGTAAATTAAGTGTTTAGGACTTAAAGAAAACGAAAATATGTGAAATATTTATACTTAAATCTGAACTTATAAAATAAATTCTCCAGTAAACATTTTCTAGAAATATCTACTTCATACCTCATCTTTTTCTCCAATTATTGTTTGCAATTTCTCCGCTAATGATCTATTTATTGTTGTAGACTGTAAAATGTCAACAAATATTTAGGTTAACAGAAACGTGTATAAATATAGATGATTATGTTATACAATTAACATTATGTGGAGGAGGCAGGTGTTACTGATCGGAGTTGCATGGTAATCGCTTTTCATTATAGTTGAATTGATCAATTTAATGAGCACGTAGATTGAATGTGAAGTTTTAGGGATTCCCAAAGTAAATGATCTCATTTTTTAATGCTTCACAAATGCAGATGTCGGACAGTAAACTTATTCGCAGTAATTGCAAAGATTCTTCATTGGTGTACACGTAATAATAGTGAATAGTAAGTATTGCCTTAAAATTTATTAAAGCTTATTTTCTAACTGTCTACTCGACTGTCCAAATTTGACCGCATACTTCTCTTATAATCAATTTTACATAATCACAATAAACTACATTTAAGTATTAAATACAAAATAGATATAATTAACTGATCATTTACAAAATTACATCATTACAAGATATTTCTATGGTAGTCGAGTTAGGTTAATAAAGTTTTTGTTAGCTGTTTCCTTCCTACAAATATTTTCGTAAAGTTTTAAGATTTAACTGTGCTAAATGTATATCATCAAACAGGGCAGTTAATTGTCTAGAAATTTTAAGTTTAATTTTCTTATCTGCAAGTCAATTAGTTAGTTTTCAAGTTAAATAATTTTTTTTCAGTCAGTAATAGGTGTAACATTGTGTGATTTAAAATATTTGACATTGAGCGGCCAATCAAATGTTTTAATCTTTCTTAATTATGTACACAGTTCAATGACATATTTAGCTGAATAGAAATATCAGTATCTACTTTTTTTTAAAAAAAAACGAATACCAACGTTGAAAAAGAAAGTTTGTCTATTAAAAAATAGTTGAGTTTTCAGTATAGCAAACACTGAAGAGTTGAGGCCGAATTTTGAAATAGAACTATAAAGAATAAACGTCAATCTCACAACCTTGTATTGAGGTATTGTAGAGATTATTGAATTTTGTAGTTTTATTTCCCTAAATGGAATGAGGCAGTTATTGAAAACCAAGATGTATTTGGAAGCCGTAATTTCTTTGTTTAAGGCTTCACCATAGTCAGTGTGCTACAGCGTAGACCTCCGTACGTACATACGAACACCACATCGAATAAAAGGTTTAGAGGCTAAGTTCTCTCCGTTAGGCCTGTACTTAGTAAGTCCAAAGTCTGTTAGCGTCGCGAATGTAAACAACCGATAATTCCCACACTCAAATAAGAAAGAAATACCCAATGCTCTCTGGTGTTTTTTCCAAATTCTATATATTTAGCTTCAGTATGACAAACAACAAAATGCTATCATCAGATAGTGGGGTAATTATTTCATTAATACTATTTCTTACCGAACATGTGCTAATTAGATTACGAATTTCAGTCTTGAAATCTGCAAAACGATCATGATAAATTGCTAGAGACCATGTTTCATTGAAATAACTGAAAAGTAAAAGAAAAATAAACATTTACCTTCATAACATTATATATATGTCATATGATACTACTATTTAGTAAATAGTAGTATAGACAAAACAAGATTTCACCTTATTTACTAGATAAACTCTCACTAGATTTTTAACTCATTGTGCTTTCATGGAAGCTGCTAATTGATAAATAGTAAGCATCAGTTAGTATTTAACTATGATATAGAAATTATACCGTTATGATATTTGTCAAGAGAAGAAAATGTAAAAAACTCAATAAATAAGCCACTGTATTAAATAAAAGTCACTATTGAATATTTAAGACAAAGGAGCATGAATGAATTAGACAATGTTTAAAAAATGGTGAAAATTTGCAACTGTTACAGTATAAAATACTTTAAGACTGCATTCTGTGTACATTGGAAAGGTCATTAAATAAAGGTCAAATAAAGTTTAAAATCAATAAAATAGTTGAAATCTCACACATAAAACCCATAGCTGTGTAAATAAACTGTCTTATCAACATGTTTTCTATTCCATCTGATCTGAATTTCTTCATAAGTCACAGTAGACGAATTTTGTCTCAATAACACATTGTGTGCACTATGGGCAGTGTGGTCAAGTTAGTTTTGATGAGAAAATTCATTTGGATTGTAGAAGATGAATGTGGAGATCAAGAAAGATCTTGACAAAACAGCGTCCTCCACTATACAGGTTATATATCAATACCTGAATAAATGTGAAACACTAACACTTCCTACTAATATTTGTTTAATCTATTTATTAAGTGATTTGTTAATCCTACCAACCTATTCTTATACGGATTTTGGATCAATAAGTGAATCACTCACTATTCACTGGGATTTCAAGAATACTTACTATTCAAGGCACAAATTGATTCATAATTCTCTTACTCAGAGACTAAACAAAACTGTCGTAAGCAGTTTAAGTTTAAGCAACCATGTTCCAGGGATATTCCGGTAGGATATTTTAGTCGAAAACAGAGAATATTTCAGTGAACAATTAATTGTTTTCATTCTCCGTGTCAATAGGCTCTACAGCTATGTAAATCCATAATTATTGTGACCAAACTAGGGCATTGCTTTATTATTATTATTATTATTATTATTATTATTATTATTTTATTGATTACCGCTCAACGTCATACTCTGAATTATTCTGATCTATAATAGATGACCTTTTCAATGTACAAATAATACATTGCAATTAATATTCTGTTCACCGTTTTTTTCCCAAACTTATAACATTGTCTTTTTCAATCATGCTTTATTTGGTCATTGTGAAATAACACAATCATTATGTACTTTTGACGGATGTAGAGAGCCCGACCACGAAGTTATTGAAAATAATTGTTCACTCACATATTTATTGTTTTAATAAGTAAATTGACTAATGGCCTACAAATTTGGTCTAGAACATTCAATAAAGAATAATTGAAAACAAAAGCAGGTCATTAAAAATAAAAGAAAGTATTCATTATTTCAAACAGCAAAGGCATGTTGAAAAGACAGTTCAGCTAAATAGTGTATCGTTTCTTATTTGCTTATTTATGTGGGTCACCGTTGTGATTGATGTTTTCAGTCTACTCTACAATTAAAATCTAAGTGTCATTTCATCACAAATTTACTGCTCAAAAATATCAACCATTTTATACCAATTCTGTAGTCCAAAGATTTTGCACAAGTTAAAGGGCTTATAAGTAAGATGTCTGATCCCAACTGGGGTCATAAATAAACACTACCGAGAAGTTAAGTATTTTTCATTGGTTGTCTAGCTAAATTCAGTTTGTGATGCAAACTATGATTTATAAGACATTTTTAATTTCTCTCGAATGCATTATTTCTCTTTGGACTTCTCATATATCAATCAATGATATTTCGTCATTAATACTATCACTATTTTGTTATATATATATATATATATATATATATATATATATATGTTCATGTGAAGCTTGGTGCATTTCTATACCATTGGTTAATCTGTTCATGAACAGCTGATTTTGGGACAGTGATTACGTTTCAAGGATCAAACAGAATAACTACAGAACTACAGAATAACTATCTAATTGAGTAATTACATTTTCGAAATTTTAGGTAATTTTTCTTTCCTTTTGGTGGCTAATATGGTGTAAAACGGTTATTTTTCATTTATCATGCTAAGGAAAAGGCTACGAACACAATTTGATGACTGGAGTAAGCTCACTTTCTCATTAGGAGATCGATATGGTAGCTTAGCCACCTGCGGCGCATGGAGCCCTTCTACAGTCGCTGCCGGTCGCAATCCCAGATAAAGGAGAAGGGTTGGGCATCGGGTAGGCGACCCAAACTCATAGAAATCCAACTCGAAGAAAAAACGCTAACAAGAGAAATAATTCGCCGGTTTGCGGCCTATACTCTATTAGGGGTAACAGGCGTAAGTAAGTAAGAAAGTCACCTTCAGTGAAACTATCACGCATATCAAATTAACAGGAAATTAACTTAAACAACAGGTATGCAAAATAGAAGACTGTAAGGCACTTACTCATAGAAATCACTTATAGAACCTTCATCAAATCTTGACACTAAATGATTTAAAAGGGATTCATGTAAATTGAATAGTTGAATATAGTTCTCAGCAGGGAATTCCTATAGGGAAATGGAAAGGGAACATTTGTTTGGAATAATTAGTTATGACAGAAAGTTTTAATCTTAGATTTTCGTCAATGTAATAAACAGTGTGTTGAGGAGTCGTCTTTTTTGCTGTAAATATACATTCTTCCTATATATAAACCCAGCATGCTACGTAATTAGGAAGAATAATGATGATTACAAGTTGTGTTGAGAATGCAAATCGAAATGTACATCTCAGATTGTCGAGTCAAATACATGATAAACATTTTCATGTAAACAAAGTGTTACACATGAACATTAACATGTCATTGGATATGCTTGAACTATTACGAGTTTACTTTAGTCGGAAAATGAGAGCGGGGATCCGGCGACACGACATGCTACTCTGATCCGAGTGTCCCAAACCCCCTTGAGTAAAGAAGAAGACTTGATATGAAGCAGAACGTGCATTCTGCAAACATTCTGAAAGTACGAGGTCCGAGTCCAGAATAGAATCAGGATCCCGGACTAGAGATCTGGGTCCAGGTTATAAAACTTTACAGATAATGCGTATTAATACAGTTAGGTTGAATAGGAAACAGCATCGAAGTCTGTGACATTGACAGCTAGAACGACCATAATATTTGACCGGTAGAAATTGGCCACCAGAATAAGACTTACAAAAATAATTCTCACAGGATATTTGATGAATATCCTAACACAAAGGGACTGACGAATTGAGATTAGAACAAGCAATACAAGTGAGTTGATCATCACCCTATTGCTCAAACCAGTGGTTATCTGAACTCAATAGCTAAATGAATGATGCGATGACGTTTGAATAGTAAGGTACTGGGGTTCAAGGTCCCAAGTGAATATCAACTCTGATATGTAGGTACGTCGAGCTAACAAATCTTAAAAAGGACGAGACGCGCGTCCTCGGTTGCACTGCTAGTTACCTACTATCCAAGTCTGCTAATAGTATTTGTAATCTTAAAGGCAATATCAAGGCACTTCATACATATATCAAGGAGACTAATAGAGTACAATCCTAAACATGAATTGGAAGTTTTAAACAAGCAATATTTCACTAAAAAGTTTGATTGACAAGAAAATGTTCATATTGATCCGTAATCGTAGTGGTGCACCTAACACACATAACTTAAACATTCTAAGTAAGACTTTACTTATGTGAGCTTCAGGTTTTTAATAAATGTGCCTGAGAAAAAGTTCAGCCTCTTTAAACTAGTTTGTCCAGATCACGTATCACTTTGTAATTTGACTCACAATCTACTAGGTCTAGAGTTATCTGCTTTCAACTACGTAATATGATATGATAACCTAACTATAAAAAAAGAAAAACTGAAATTGATTGAACATAAGAGCCTACAGAAAATTTTAAAAAATGTCCGTCTATTTGTATCAGTTGAAAAAATTTCTTTTGGTAGTTAGTGCATTTCATACTCATGTTACATTAATGATTGCGAATTTTATATGGCTATAACATTCACAATCGATATCGGCCATAATGTTATTTTGCAAACAAATACTATTTTACCTTGGTAGAAAAGCATGTTATGTCTTGAATTAAATTATACTTATTGATATAAATGGCGAAATAGCGTATCTCTTTAGCATTTTCACCAGTAGTGACCAGTAAACGACCCTATGAAAAGAAAAAATTCAAAATTCAAAATACAATAGATACGTATATTTAATATATTACGATGTATGATGTTTTTTATTCATCAATATGTAGAAAATTTCACTTCGAAATGTATTCTTTTTTATTCACGAAACGTTCATAAAACATGAAATATGCAATAAACACCTGATAGAGTAAGTGGAAATCATTTCTTCGTAGTAGAAAAAGGTTTAGGAGATTGTATGTACACTCGGAGATTAAACCCTGAGATGTCTTAATGTTGTGACTGACCAATCCGATTAGAATTAAGTAGTCAATATTGTGGGACAGTCAACGTGTTCGATATCAACTCTCTTGAAAAGGATAAAAAGTATACATGGCGGTTGCTCCTACTTAATCTTGGAATGAAACATTTATTGTTTGACAGGAAATTTTATAGTTTTTTTAATCCTAGTTTAAACAGTTGAGTAATAAGTTAAAATCACCCTATTTCTGATTTTGATTAATGGGATTACATAGTCTAGATAATTCAGTGGAAACAGTTAATTATGTTACAGAAGTGATCGATAGAATTTATTGAACCATCTCTGCTTTTTGGATGTTTGTCCAAGAGTCGAATCTAGTCTATAATGATTTTGGAATTTAATGATAAACAGTTTTGTGGAACAAACAATGAAGCTGTTTATTAGTTATATTCCTTTAAACTTTGATTCATCTTTGTGACAGCATCTGTATACGTAGCTGCTACCTTGATGTGGTGATCAGACTTGCCTCTCTTCATGAACCAACCGAACGATAATGGCTAGAACATATGTTCTTGTAGGTTCTACTATGCTAGGCAGGTTGATTGGAGAATGGTAAGACTAAAAGCAGCAACTTAAGGTCTGAGCGCGAAGTCGTACTGTTCACTGTAGAGGGGTGTGAGAGCAATAAGTTGTTTTCCTCGGACAGCCAGCATCCGCAGCGATACTGCAATCTCACAATGAAGGAATGGGCTAGAGTAGGTCCACCCTAAAAATATCACACCTCACCTTACCCCACGGATTTCCGTCTCCAGTGGTAAGGCCACTTGAATAGCGGAGCTAAGACTTTAAAAACTTCCCATAATAAGGCCGCGTATCTTTATACTCTAATCCTAATACACATTCATAATATTTCATTGACATTTTGCCTTCATAACTAATGATAAGTGCAATGCTTTCATTATGGCGTTAGTTTATTTTTTTATCGACCGTAAGATTTTATAAAAGTAGATTGTAAGTAAAGAAACTTAGGACATTTCATTTAATTGTATTCTTTCGTACTTACTAGGATGTAATCGATTTAATAATCTACTTGCAATTAGCTTAGAAAATTGATTAAAGATGGTTTAAACATTATCTGATAGTAAGTACATTTGGTATATTGCGTTAATAACAATTGACTAATAATATTCTTAACGATAAAGAAGATCAAATGAGATAAAATCACAGAGTTTACTATTTGTACATTAAAAACAGTACATCATATCATAGGATTTTGTGCTTCTTTGAATTATTTGTATTTCTGATTAGTAAATCTTATTCAATGGGTTCAATTATTTCAAAATATTTTTTTCGAAAATTCTTTTTTGAAGTGCTTAACTTGCTTAGGAATAGGAGTAAGTCTCCACTTTAGCCAAGTATTTTGTTACATACAGCACTTTTTCACTATGTCACATTATTTTCATATCATTTATTTTGTTTCAGTGTAATTAGTAATGTAAGTAAAATCTCAAGTGTACTCTATGATAACTAGTTAAAAATTAGTGAGTCATACAAGATCGCAAAGATGAAACAGTGATAATATGCCATAATCTTATGGAATGTTATTTGTGAGGAGATGGTATCCTTCTGATTGTATTTCGTTCGAAATATCTAGCCATTACATCGTACTGACATAAATTGTTTGAAGATATTTTGAAAATGGAACAGAATTATGTACTGATATGGTTCGTCAACAATATTTCCGAATTCAAGCATCAGTTAGCCATGTTTGCATTCTCAATAAAGTAGAACCATTATCCCTACACTTATTGGCTGAACAGTTTTTTAGATGAAAGTTTATTGATTTGTTCAGGTAAAAACATGAAGTAACTCAACAATCTTAACAATTAAAATGATTAAGACTAGTCTAAACTAATATCACTTTTCCTCAAAAGTTATTTTGTTTGGAGTACGAACAATGAAATGTGTTGAAATGTGCAGTTTATCAGTAAGTTATTTATGAGTGTTATCAAGAAACAAACTACTGTCTACTTTTTAATTTACCTACGCTCGCCACCCTATCATCACCCTCAATCGAACGGACAGGCAGGACACTTCGACAACACCATCAAGCAAGAATCAGTTAAAGGGGAAGGAGAGAAGACACCTAGTTTTGTAATCACAAAGTTCTTAACTGATCATAGAACTACTCTCGACCACAGTCTTTCAGACGGAAAGTCCCACGATGAAGTTATGTTTGCGAGAAGTATGCGGACCATTTTCGACGGAATCTCGCTATATAAAAAAAGGTTAGTTAAGGAAAACTTCAAAAACATTGGATCGCCTCCGCAAACTACTACTGAGACTACTATTAGATGCAAAGGAAAGTTTTATTTTTAAAAAGAGATATAGTGTTCGGGTGCCCCAAAAAGTCTACAGAGGACCAGAAACCCAAGGAAACATTTCAAGCAATCGACATTGGATAGAACCTTAGAGCAAAGAGTTTTCCCCATACTTCGATCCTTTTTTCTTGTGTTCAACTTGTAGATTTGGTCTCAGATAATTTGAAGTGGATAAAGATTCAGGTCTTGAGTTTACTTAGCAGAATAATCAATCTTCAATCATAAATAAAACTTGATAATATAACTCAAAAAGTGGATGCTTTAAATAGGGTGATCAGTAAATATTTTAGTTTGATTTAATTAAACAAAGCTGAAATGTTTAGGATTTATCAGTCGGCAATACTAATATCTAGTATCACGATTAAAAGTGAAAACCAAAATATCTAGCTCAGAGAACGAAAAACCACCAAAATGATCCACGTGAGCTACAAATTTTCTCTACCATCTGAAAATATTCAGTTATTGACTGTCAAATAAATATTATCATAAATATATACCTCTCATCCTTCAAAGAGAAATTAAGAGCAACTTACAAAATTAGGATTCTTCATTTTAATTTCGGTTGGTTCTTCCAAAGACGGTTTGGTACAATGAAGATAAAACAGATTTCCTGGCAATAAAGCACCAATAGTCTTAGATTGTTTAAACGTTGGCAAAATAAATGAGTCATCTGTTGGCGATTTTTTCGATGTTTCAATATTTGGATCAAATAAATTTAGAAGTTCATTTCCTAACTATGAGGAGCGAAAGATAAAACATGTTACTGTTAGGAAGAAGTACAACTTTGAAGGTTAAAAAATTAAGCATCAGAGGGAAAAACTATAATCCATTTTGATTGTATAAAGGATACATGGTTTAGATCATGAACATGATATGAAATCAGCAGAAATATTTTGTGATTTGGATAAGCAGAGTGAACTGCTGAGCAGTAAACCCGTTCTTTGGTTAGCAGAAGGATATCTCGCCTATTCCATGAATGACGCAACTTGGCAAAAGCCAATCGAGCATTCTGTATCCGTGCTGAGATTTCGTTCCATATCAGGTCGTCATCATTTAAAAGACTCCCCAGATAAGTGAAGCAGTCGACAAGCTCAACTACTTCAATCCCTATCACTAATTCAGGCATCGATCCAACCTAATCCTAAATCAACATTTTGCATTTCGATGGGGAGAATAGCATTTCGAACATGCTTGCCTTGTTTCTTAGGGTAGTCAGAAGACTTCGCATTTTATCAGCGTCTTCACGAAGTAGAACTATGTCATTAACATATTCTAAGTCAGCGAGCGAATCTCTTGGTAAAAGTTCAAATCCTGAACATTCAAACGAAGATACTGTTATCTCTAAAGGTAAGTCTATGACGAAATTAAACGGAAATGAAGAAAGTGGACATTTCTGACAGACACCACTTGAAGTAATCAATTCTGATGACAGTTCGCCAAAAGCTTTGATCCGGCCAGTAGTGTCTGAATAGAGAGCCTGTATAAGGTTATTGTGCTACTTGTTTCGTAAACGTTTCAGTTACAGAGACTGCCATAGTACCATGAGATCGATAGAGTCAAATGTTAGCTTTAGGTTCAGGAATACAACAGTTGTCGGACGCCGAAATGCGTGTCTGGAAGAAAGCTAAGGATGGCTAAACCAAAACGTGGCACAAATTCATGGAGTCACTGACAACTTGACTGAGCCATGTCAGCAGGTGTGAACTAATTGGTTGAGGTCCGCGTGACAATCGTAATCGGTGGTTAGAGACTTTGAATGACATGACTCGAAACCGCTTTCAGTGGCGCATACGTTCTTTGCATTCTTTCAAATTCTAATCTTCTAAATTCCTCATGATTATATATTTCTCTTTTTAAATTCATTTCTCTGGATTATACTTCTGGAATCATTTCTTCGATAACTATTCTTCGCCATTTCTGCTATTACTTCTATTACTTCTAATGGTATGAGATTTGAATAGACAATTCCATCTCTGTGTGCTGATGATGTATGGGCAGATAGATGTTCTTATTATGTATGAAGTTCTACGTTTTAGCTGACTGACTGACTGAAATCTACGTGATTTTCAATAAATTTAATAAACATTATTGGAAACAGTTTATGTATAATAACCTTCTCACAGTGTAGTGAACTACTGTTGGACAAATATATTACTTTTGAAATGCATTCAACACTGAAAGTTCTTTAGGAATTTTCTCATATTACACATAGTTTAATATTGTACATGTTCTCCATAGACGAAACTAACTTTTTTTCGATGAACATTTGTCGACATTCGGATTTCGAATGTTAAGAATATAGATGACATAGTGGATTTCAATTAATTACAACGTTCTAACTGACAACTTGCGGTCAGAGATATTTCAGTGACCAGGAACTATGAAGTAATTCCAGTTAGAAATATTCATCATCTTTCATACAGACTACACTTTGAAAAAAAAACTATTTAGTTCATTTTTATAAACAAATAAATTTACCAATAAATATTGTTATGAATCTGGTAATACACAAAAATCTAAACAGAACAATAAAATCTACATTTAGCCAATCTTACACAATGACCAATCTCCATACTGTTCGCAATCTCATGTCTCCAATAATCATTATAATAAATTCGTTTTAATTTTGTTATTGGACCAGCAGCAAATATTGTTGGGTCATTTGTATGAAAATTAACATCAATAACTAATCGTGAATCAAATACTAGGCAAGAATCATTGAAAGCTAGTTGATTCGATAGAAAATAATTTAAATGTAATTAAAATGAATTTATTACAAACGAGAATACAAATCTGTATGATAAGAATAATATAATAACTACAGAATGATTAAATATTTAAGAAATGCTTAAATTAGGCGGTTTGTGAATAGTGTTGTCTATTTTTCATAACAATACAAACTAATTTCAGTTTGTGTGATGGACGCACACATAAGGAGGAGTAATCGGACAGTGCAATCAAGGTTTATGGAACATGTAACTAAATGGCTTTAAAATTATTTAATGCCAAATGACACGAGAACCGTGGGAAATAGAAAACGATGTTCATCAACAGCAAAACCCATAATCGAAATAGGGCATAGAATCGACATCAATGCAGCTTTCAAAACGTTGTAAAGCAATTGTCAATGATGAATTCTTGGGCTAATAGAAGCCTTGGTTATTCGCACATTAGAACCTCCTTATAAGTACGAAAACAATATGTTGTAATTATGAATCGCTCATTGCTAGACCATCATTAGAGATCTGGAAGCACTGGACGGCCGCTTCGGTCTAGTATGGGACTTGTCAGCAGTTCACATCAGTGATTCTCGCTCGCGGGAATCGAACCCAGGACCTTCAGTCTTGCTAGCGAACCCCTGACCTATAGATCATTAAGCCGGTGTCCAACCAGGTAATGTCTAACTTTAATCAAATTGAAGATTTTGCTCCCCCTGATTCATTGTCTTCAGTAGTTACTGCCTACATCTGATAGGACTGAATTCCACTGGTCATTGCTTCTCACTAGAACTCCGAGAATTTCCTTACGATGCCAGTCACTAGTGAGCTGATGAGTCCCAGGTTTCTCATGGAAGTCTAACAATGATCGATTCATAATTTCAATGAACCTCAATAATCTCCATAAATCGATTATGGGAAATTTTTGGTAACCTTGAATTTATTCTTGTTATCTTTATGCCAATTTATGGCCAAGGAGGATAACGTGACAAATTCCGACTTTTTTTTCCATATTCGGTTAATTTTCTCTCTCCCCCATTTACAATTATCACCTTATTGTTTATTTGAACTTCTGTTTAATCAAAGTAAATTTCTAGGGTAACTGTGATCAATACTTAAAATAGGCTAGAGTATCGATCGATATTATCAACGTGTGAATGACTATTTCAGTTTCGTATTGAACTAAGTGGAATAGTGGTCAGTATTGATTTTTTAGTCGGATTAACTCCACAACAAATTAGAAATAAATATGAGTGATTTGAATCTCACGGATTCTGTTGTTTTGTTCTAATCATAGTCCTGTTTGTATCCACTAACCATAAAAACCATCTTCAAAAAAAACAACTCATTCACACAATTTACGTACGAATAAAATTTGCTACTTTATTTTGTTCTATGCTGTATAGGAAGAATTCGTACAGTTCTGTATGTTAACTGGGGTGATTATATATTTTTTCGTTGGTATAAATCGGTAAGTAATTGGCTAGTCAGCGATTTGCATATTTCAATTCGATTCACTGGCCAGACACTATCAGCAACAATCTACTGTGGGAGAGAACAAACCATATTCCAGTGGAGGAGGAAATCAGGAAAAAGCCCTGGAAGTGGATAGGATACACATTGAGGAAAGCACCGAACTGCGTCACAAGACAAGCCTTCATTTGGAATCCTCAAATCCAAAGGAAAAGAAGAAGACTAAAGAGCATATTACTCCGAGAAAGTGAAACAGACCTGAGAAGAATGAACATCAAGTGGATAGAACTATAAAGGAAGGTCTAGGAGAGAGTAGGTTGGAGGATGTTAGTCGACGGTCTGTGGTCCATCGGGGGTCACATGAGAAAGTAAGTAAGTAAATATGTAAGTAAGTAAATAAGTATGTAAGTGACTAAGCAAGTAAGCAGGCAAGTAAGTAAGTATGTGTGTAAGTAAGTGAGCAAGCAGGTAAGTAAGTGAGTAAGCAAGTAAGTAATTAAGTAAGTAAGCAAATAAGTAAGTAAGTGAGTAAGTAAGTAACTCGATTTCGATATAGTTTATCTGACCATTTAACAAAAGAAAAAAAACAATTCACATTTTCAAAAAGTAATAATCTGGATAACAGAGCAAAAAAAAATTCTACCTCTGAATGCATCCATATCTACCGTCTTCATATGAAAGTTGAATAGTCCCTTTTAAACAAAGAAAAAAATAAAAAAAGTTGAAAATTTGTTCAAATTATTATCGATTGTTTTCAGGTCAATTTAGAGTGGAGAAAGGTCATACTTATTCTTCAATTAATATATAATATGTTAAATTAGCCAGTTGTGTCCATGTTTCATCATTCAAAAGTGGTCTGTTCTCAATTTAATAGAATCTGCATTCATAACACTCAATATCTACCACATAAAGCATTTCACATACAGATAGATCATTGAGATAGCATGCAATGATTTATATTTATGATCGGGAATTCTTTTCTAAATGATATGCTTAGTGAATTAGAATCTCTAAATTAGACGAAATATGTGTTAGATACTTATTGTTTTTCATTGATTCTATAAACCATATCAGTTCCAAATTAAAAACTTTTCTTTCAAATGTAAACATTCCAATAAAAACATTGATCTCAATAAATGAATTTTTAGAATAATTATGATAATTTAGGGCGGAAAAATATATTTATAATCGCTTATTGTAATAATTAAAACAATTCAATCTAATCATAGTGTCTATAAAATGTTTTATGCAAAGCATAAACTATCACTGTGAAAGTTGAAGAAGGAAAGATTATTTTGATTAGATTCACTTACACTGTTAGTTCAATAAGATAATTCATAACTAAACCTACCAATAGTTTATTAGTGTCATAAAGAAGTCAATACAACTATTGTGTATAGAGTAGCATATATGAATTGAGTTAGTATTAGTTTACGTGAACTAATACTGTTTACTTCAATCTATTCAACTGTCTGTTTACTAGCTAAATAAATCGTTTTTGGCAGAGTGTATTTCGATATAGTTTTCTAGTCACTAATGAGAGTGGTATTACGGAATTTTTAGGTACTGTGAATTGAGGGTGTATTTATTTTGATATAGTTTTCAAGTCACTGGTGAGAATGGTATTAGTGAATTTTTAGGTACTGCATGAATAATTCTCGTTTACAATTATGTTTACTTTCTTAACAGTAACTCATATCGGTCCTTAATAAATTTGTTACAGTGACAAGTAACCGATTGTGTCCACAAGATATATGAAATAGTCAGCCTAGTCCTTTATGAAGTCACAACAATTCGATAAACCGTCCTTTACTTTCATAACAAATGTGACAACTAAAGCACATTTCAGGATTGATCACTACATTAATCGGTTTCAATTTTAATTCAATATTATTCAGTAGTTTAATTGATCTACTTCACAATTTAACATACATGAACGCCTCCAATTGAGTAAGCTAACTGAAAGGGAATAAAACATCATTATATCTTACTCAATCATTTTTTTAGAGAATGAAAAGCTGATAAACAAAGTTCGGACTTACTGAACATGGTATAGTTAAGAGCGCTCCATTTGAATTGAATGTAACTGTTTCAATAATATCACATGAATTGGATCCCAAATTACTACAACTCCAATGATCCAACATAAAATCATATCCTATGCGAATCTCCAATTTGTTCATATGTTCATGAATTTTTCGTTGAATCACAAAACTATCGAAAGCTGACGGCTTATTTAAATAAATTTGGAATAAATAAACATTTCAGAACAAATGATGGGATATATGGAGAGTAGCGGACAGCAGGAAAAAAGACTCAGTTATGAAAAAAGTTAATTTAAAATATAAACTACTGAAATTAGATATTTAAGTAGTGTAGTCGAACATTATTATTCCAATAGTGAAAACGTTACACAATCGATGGAGATCTTTGCTATATTACCAACTAAATGATTAGTTACTTCATCTAGTTGCATTAACTGCATCAAAAAGGCACATTGAATGACATATTGTTTGGTAACAAATTTATGCAATTTATCAAATGATGTCAGTGACTCTTTTTAGACTCAAAATACTTGTGAAAGAAGCATTCTATGAAAATTGCATTTATGAGGCTAATTATTCCTACCGATCAGTTAGCTAAGTCTGTCAGTCAACAACAACAGAGAATTTCGTACGTACGTACATCAGTTCAAGTTGCCTTACTACATAAGCACAAAGATGTAATTGTCAATTCGAATCCCATAGTAGTAGAGGTAGTAGAAGTATTAGCAGTAGTTGGAGAGATTATGGTTCGAGGATATCATTCCAGAAGTAGAATCTAGTGAAAAAAACTCATGTTTAGCCATAGGAAACATTAAAACAGAACAAATCAATGGTACAAATGATGAGGAGGTGAGTCGTTACTGAACAAGAAACTAGTTGAAAGATCTCAGTATTTTCGCGTTTACAAAAGTACTAATAATACGGACTAACAGAGATAGGCTTTTTCAACAAAAAACAAACATGAGGTTTCATTATTCATTTATTTCTGTATCTTATAACTTTAAACTCTTAATGTAACTTTTTGTTCCTTTTCAAGCATCTGTCTCCACTATAATAACTAAAGTTTACCAAACTTTATTTAGTCTTTGGGCTAGATTTCAATTCAGCCGATGGAATACTCTGAGATAAGATAAAAAATGTATTTTATTCTGAAAATTTTGAATTAAAAATTGACTATTCTGAAATAGTCTCATGAAACCCATAAGTATAATATCGACTTGACTGATTTCAAAATGTCAACGAGTTCAGGAGAAACTTATGAACAGAAATACAAAAAAGTTGATTGCTTAGCGATTTGAATGAATACATGTGGCACTGAAAATTCAGAGTTATTTTCGTTAAACACTTTGCCTTTTAAATAAGCGCAAAAGTAAGGTTACGCTTTCAATCAATACCATTTGAATCCACCAGTTCACTTGGTTTTTTAATGCCACGAAATATAATTGCCATTGTTACTGTTCATGTACTTTGAGTTTTACATTTTAAGTGTAAGCTTGTCATCGAACAGCGGATTATGTGGTCCGTGGAAATAATGAAAACCCTGTACATTAAATAACACAGAATCACCAATCCACACATATTTATGAACATATGTTTTCGTATCCTACCATCTATTTATCTATTGCACAAAAGATTTCAATTGCCAATAAATTCTATAACAAACAATTATACATTATATCAGAACTTTCTTACGTAATGTTTCATTTTGGGTGGTTGTATCATAATGATTCGATTCCCATTCACACCAGCATTTAATAAACCTGTTATACATGTATACGCATCCATTGTATAACCATAAATAATGATTAATTTATTATTAATCATCTCTTTACTATCCAATGTATCTTTATCGCTAAATGTATCGTATAATAATTGATTTGATTGTAATTTTAATTGTTCTTCCGCTTCAACATTCTCAGATTCATCATCATCATCTTTTTCTTTTTCTTGTTTGTTTTGTTTTTTTGTTAAATTCTGTCGGCTTGTTTGATTTACTTCAGTGATTTGATCATTTTCATTGTTCAATTCTTTGTCACCACATAAAATTTGAATATCATATGGATACATTTTACAGTTGGAATAATTTAACTGTACTACGTCACCTACTGATGGTGAATAAATATTATTGATCCAATCTATTATTGGTAAGACATCATGTACATCATTGATGAGGAATAAGTTGCTTGGTCGAGATTTATCTGATTTATCTGCGAAACGAGATAACAAATAAGAAAATAATTGACAATATGAGATTGTGGAGATGGTTGGATTTTTTTCATTGAAATCATTAACCTATTTCAATTAAACGATATTTGAAAATCTGAAAGTATTGGACTGCTGTTTCATCCTGGAATAAGACTCCTTAGTAGTATTCATTTACGATCATGAAGCTAGGAGACAGTCTAGGAGCTTTGTTCTTGAGTGTAAACGCTTAACCTCTGAACCATAGAGCCGGGACCGAATGGTCCACACATCAGTTAGTGATATTGGGCAACTATCTTCAATTATCTCCAATCAGAACCTTTCTCCTATCCAATATAGTTTAGCTCCACTGAACAAGGCTTCTTACTAGAATTTCGGAAATCTCCTCTCGAAGCTAGTCAGTAGTGAGCATACATTAACTGTCAGTATGATGTTGCATGATATCGGAGTTTCTGGGTTCAGCTGTCGGCTTTAAGGGTCGGGTGTTCAAACTGCTAAGGAGTCCCACACTAGGATGAAACATCCTTCCAGTACTTTGAGGCTTTCAGTGCTTGCCTAAATTACATGAGTTTATCACTTTGATGAAAGAAGTTTACGGAAGTCATGCATGGAATGATATGATATTTAAAACACTTAATTGTAATTTGGCCTAAATCAAGAATTACTACTTACTTACTTTCGCCTGTTACCCCCAATGGAGCATAGGCCCCCCACCAGTTTTCTTCAACCAACTCTGTCCTGGGCTTCCCTCTCCAGTTCTGTCCAATGTTTGTTCATTCCTCTCATATCTTTCTCTATTTCTCGGCGTAATGTGTTCTTTGGCCTTCCTCTTTTCCTTTTGCCTTGAGGGTTCCATGTGAGGGCTTGTCTCGTGACGCAGTTAGGTGCTTTTCGTAGTGTGTGTCCTATCCACTTCCACCGCTTCTTCCTCGTTTCCTCCTCCATTGGAATCTGACTAGTTCTCTCCCACAGTTCGTTGTTGCTGATGGTGTCTGGCCAACGAATACGAAGTATTTTGCGTAGACAGCTGTCAATAAACACTTGTATCTTCTGAATGATGGCTTTGGTAGTTCTCCATGTTTCCGCTCCATACAGTAGAACTGTCTTCACATTTGTATTGAAAATCCTGATTTTGGTTTTGTTTGAAAGTTGTTTGGAGTTCCAGATATTTTTCAACTGTAGAAATGCAGCCCTCGCTTTGCCAATCCGCGTCCTCACATCTGCGTCCGATCCACCTTTCTCGTCGATGATGCTGCCAAGATATGTAAAGGTGTTAACGTCCTCCAAGGTATCTCCATCAAGTGTGATTCGGTTGGTGCATGTTGTGTTGCATCGGAGAATTTTGCTTTTTCCTTTATGTATGTTGAGACCTACAGCTGCAGAGGCTGCTGCTACACTGGTCGTCTTCTCTTGCATTTGTTGTTGAGTGTGCGATAGAAGAGCCAGGTCATCTGCGAAGTCCAGATCGTCCAGCTGCGTCCTAACTGTCCAGTTGATACCGTGCTTCCCTCCAGATGTTGACGTCTTCATAATCCAGTCGATGACCAGGAGAAAGAGAAAGGGTGAGAGTAAGCAACCTTGCCTCACACCGGTCTTCACCTCAAAAGAGTCTGTCAGCTGACCTCCGTGCACGATTTTGCAGTTGAATCCATCATAAGAATTCCGTATGATGTTGACTATTTTCTCAGGCACACCGTAGTGTCGAAGAAGCCTCCACAGTGTTTTCCTATCCACGCTATCAAATGCTTTCTCGTAGTCGATGACGTTGATGTAGAGTGGTGAGTTCCATTCAGTTGATTGTTCCACAATGATCCGTAATGTAGCAATTTGGTCAGTACATGATCGATCCTTACGAAATCCGGCCTGTCGATCTCGAAGTTGGGCGTCTACGAAGTCCTTCATTCTGTTTAACAATACCCTGTTGAAGACTTTGCCTGGTATTGAAAGAAGAGTGATGCCTCTGTAGTTCTCACACTTGCTGAGATCGCCTTTCTTTGGTATTTTGATGAGGTATCCTTCTTTCCAATCTGATGGTACTTGTTCCTCATCCCAAATCTTCTTGAAGAGAATGTGAAATATTTTCGCAGTTGCTTCCACATCTGCTTTCATTGCCTCTGCTGGAATGTTGTCTGGTCCTGCTGCTTTGCCGCTCTTGATTTGTCTGATGGCTATGCTGATCTCCTCAATCGTAGGTGCGCCAATATTAATTGGGAGGTCCTTGGATGCTGCTTCGATGTTTGGTGTGTTCAGTGGAGCTGGTCGATTCAATAGTTCCTTAAAGTGCTCCACCCACCTATTTCGCTGTTCGTCAGTGTTGCTGATTATTTTCCCTTCCTTGCTTTTCACTGGTCGTTCTGGTTTACGATTAAATCAAGAATAATTTTCATAAATTTTATCAATGAACAAATATTGTGGGTTTTTTTTTCGTTTCAAAGGATAAACAGGAACTAATAAATTCAATCAGATTTTGTTTTGTGTACGTACGACTAAATTGCATGAATGACACCTGAATTGAATGAACAGATGGCAGTTATCATGTGAATGACCTTATTAGTTGGAAATTTAACTTCCATCGATTGAAATAACTATCGAAATATTTCTAAGAGTACGGAAAAATTTCAAATCAGAAGAATTTTCGCATAAATGACTATTGGATTATACAAAAGCTATACATGATGAATACTATGTCATGTAATTTGTATTGCAATAATAGTCATAAAAAACTGTCAGTTATCTAGTAAGCTCTCATGAAATATCATACATAAAAAGGATCAAGACAAGAAGAGACGAAAAACGTTAAACTAATGCAATTACACAGAAAGATGGATAAGTCACCATGGTATTGAACTACGCCTAAAAGGTATTTTTTTATAAAATATCAAGTAATTGGCTGAAGTTTTTTGGAATAATTGTTCTTGTCAAAGGTTTTGCGGATGATTTTCTCTCAATATGGATTATTGATCAAGGCTGGAAATTTGTACTGTTGGCTCCTAGCGTAGTTATTTGATAGGTAATATCTGGTATTTATAACCACTTAAGCTAAACAGGATTTTAATTTAGACATCGTTAGGTCTTTTTAGTTATTAAAGTAAAATACTTCAGTTACAATGTAGAAGTTCGTTCGTGCTTACATCAGTTCGAGATGCCATACTACATCAGCACAGAGACGCAAAAGTCAGTTGAAATCCCATAGTGATAGAGACAGTAGAAGTATAAGCAGTAATGGAGAAGATTAGGGTTCGAAGATATTATTCAAGAAGTATAATCTAGTGAAATAAACTCAAAAAGAAAAGGGTGATGAGGGATACAGAAGATAAGAATCTGAGAGAACACAGAGAGTGGATGCATCTGCGTCATTACGAACGATTTGGGAACATGTCGTTCAGGGTCTCTGACCATCGGTTACTATTGTCTCGCGGACTTACACCAGGTAACCAACATTTACTAACACGATTCAATCCACTTGTCCGTGACTTCATTGATTTTTGCCATGTTTTGGTCTGGCCACCCATAGCTTTCTTCCAATCTACTCCTACACCACAAAAGATGGCTCATCGATGCAGCCGGTGGTTGGAAATTCGTAACACATGTCTCAACCACCTCAAGTGATGGAGTTTCAATACTTCATCTATTGATTTTCCATCCCTACCTAAAACTTGACAGCATTGCTTACTCAGTTGTCCCACGATATACGAGCAATGCTTCGAAGACATCTATAATTGAATACTAATAACCTACTATTGTCCTCCACTCTCACCGACCATGTTTCGCATCCATATAGTAGGAGGGAGCGAACTACTACGCAGGACACTTGTCCTCTGGTTAGCGAACGGATATTAAACTAAAAGAAAACTGACTGAACTCTGTAAAGTGATAAAACCTTCTTTTATTCAATAATCCATTAAACTAAAAAATATTTACATTATTCCTTGAAGAGTGAAGTAATTTTTAACTGATAAGGATTAGGTTGGTTGATTAATTCTTCACTGCTCTTTCTTTGTTAGCTACCTTAAAATATGCATTTGGTAATCATGAAAATATGTATAACGGACTCTAAAGAGACTGTTGACCTTGAACCTATAATAACCAATCATATTAATTTTCAAGATTCAAACTTTACCAATAGAATTATTATGACCGCAGTGAATATCATTGACATTGTCACACTTGCTATTGTCTTCATTATATTGATTATGAGAATTCAGTGATATGGGATTCTTGACTGGTTCTTCTTTAGTAGAATTTTCTACTGGCTTAGGAATTGAACAATCTGCATGATATTGCAGTCCAGTTGTTATAATCAAGTAATCATATGATAATTTTTGATCATGAGATATTGTTATCCTTTTAAATTTTCTAATGAATAAAAAAGAATTCAAGAGAAAAATATTATCAGTAAACTTTTTTTGACTGTGCTATTCACATAGTCTATCAAAAAACAACATCTGGACGGGAATATTGATGGTTAGAGTTGGCACATTTATTTAACATTCAAAAAGCAAGAGAAATATAGTAAGACGACTGAAATCAAAATAATGAGAACAATAATACCATTGAAAGCGACAAATCGACAGCGCGAAATATGACATATTCATAAAATGAATAAAATTGTTTAAAGAAATCATGTATTTTTATCAACTGCTTATTTTTTTTTCAATTTCAAAATGATACAATCGCAACATGTTGATTATACACTGCACAGGTGATTCGAAATGCTTTGTGATAACGCAAGTGTAGTTCGATTCTTATTGATCGAAATAAGGAAGTAAGTAAATCTAATCATTAATTCATTGTGGGGATTAAAATTTGGCACATGTCTGTATCATTTCAAGTTTCATATACCATAACAAAACAGGGAAGTAAACTGGCCAAGAAGAATACCAGAGTAACTGAAATAGTCATATTAATAGTAGTAGTAGCAGTAGTATCACTGATGGCAGAAAACTATATTATGAATAATGAGTGGGGCTCGAGAAGGAATGGCTTTGCAGAAACAAGGGTATCAAACAATTTTGAAACTCAAGATGTCAAAGAATACAGAAAGTGAAAGTTTCTAAACTATCGCCATGTCATTTAACATCTCCAAGGCAGTTAAACAAAACCCAACCAGATAGTTTGGATCATTACTACTCTATGCAACAGTCAATGACTGTCGATTTCAGTCAGTTACTAATATAAGCAATCTCTCATAAAGTTAGGCGATTGCTAATCACACTTATTACTTGTCCCAGTTTCCTCAATTGAAAAAGTTTGACCTCCTCTTCTGAGAATAATCTACCATATTTTGCTCTATTAAACAGTTCTACATAAATCACATCAAAACAAAAATATCTTGTTTACTAACTGCTGAAATTCCAAGCATTTGTTTAATTGAAATGGCACGGTTGATTGGTAAGTTCACGACAATGAGGTAGTTAAAATCATAGTTCGACAACAGAATATCACAAAATAACTACTTAACATATGATTTCTGTAAGTTTAACAATTCTCTGATGAACGAAATCATAAAATGTGCTCACTAGTGATTGGCTTCGTGAAGAAAGTTTCAGAGTTCTAGTGAGGAGCCGTGACCAGTGGAGTTCAGCCCTGTCGGGTGTAGACAGTGACTACTAAAGACAATGGGCGAGGTTGCTCAAAATCCTTAGATTGGTCAAAGTTAGACATTACCACTGTTAAATGCCTACTCAGTGGCACGGTCAAGTGTTCTTGGGCACGACCGAAGGTCTTTGGTTCGGATCCTGCAAGTAGCAGGAGTCGTGGATGTGTCCAATACTATATATATACATATTTGCCTAACCAAAATTACATTCCTAAGAATTATTGGGTATCTGCTTGTGAGCTTGGATATCTTTTCTCATCTGCATTTGTAACCCTTTTAAAATTCAGCCTTATTTTGAAAGAATCAAGCTGAACGAATTTGGATTTAGTGAACTATGCTTGAAACATTTGTTTAGCTAAACCGCTAAAATGATCGTGTTCTTAAGTTCCATGCTTACATTTAATAATTAGGAGTTATTTGCTGTAACAGTAGATGAAATCCTAGTCTAAATTATCATCTCGATGTAATATACATAGATCGCGGTGTATGAGTGATGGGCTGTGACTAATCCTAACTATTTATGTGACTGAAATTAGAAGCCGGTTAAGTCACTGTATTGATCGAGTAGTTCATATCGCTTCTCGTCAAAAGTGCTATTCAAAGTCAAATAAAAAACTCTTTTTATATACCATTCTATAAGAATCATGTCAGTACAGTTCACTGATTAATTGAAGGTTTGGTGTTCATTTGTCCAATTTGTGACCAATCAGATACGTTTACCGAAACATGTGTGAATAGAGTCTGTTCCCTTCTTTCATATTCGGAACATGTTTATATTATCGAAACGCCAAATTGTATACCTATAAACATTTAGAAGTTTCTGCATCTTTCGTTTAAATCTTTGGGTTGGTTTAGACGATCTAAATGCGGAATACATGCTATGAATCCAACTTAGTGTGTGCAATAATACGTATTAAGTTACTCCTGCGTGTAACTGTCTAGTTCAAACGTTTGTTCGACCGTTTTATAAAAAAATTCAACAAGTAATATATACAATCAAAAATTCTGTTGTTTAAATTATATTTTTATTCATTAAAAACAATTTCCTACCTGTCAATAGCAGTAAGTTTACCATAAACAACGCTAACACAAACTTTTAATCCAAGTTGGCTTAAATAATCAACTGGATAACTATAACTAAATTGTACAACAAAATAAATAAAAATGAAAAAAAAGGAAAAACTGATATATCTGAAATTCCCATCAAACATAAAAGCAACTTTTTAAAAAATATTATAATTTTGGTATAGATAGAGTTTGCGGTTTTATTCTTATCAGAGTATTTATGTTACGCCTACACATAAACACGTCATTTTGATATGCTTGAACTATTACGAGTTTACCTAGTGGGAAAACAAGAGCGAGGATCGAGGATCCGGTGACACAACATGCTACTCAAATCCGATTATCCCAACCCCCATATTGAGTAAAAATAAGAAGGCTTGATATGAAGTAGAACTTGTATTCTACAAGCATTCAGAAAGTATGAGGTATGAGTCCAGAAGAGAATCAGGATCCCGGACTAGGAATCCGGGTCCGGGTCATAGAACGTTACAGATAATGCGTATTTACACATTTTGGTCGAATAGGAAACAGCATCAAAGTCTGTGACATTGACAGTTAAGACAACCAATAGGAAGCAACATTTAAAATGACATTAATAGTCAGGACAACCAATAAGAAACAAAATTGGAGCATGTGATATTGATATCTAGGACGATCATAAAATTGACCAGTAGGAATTAACCAGTAGAAATTGACCAATAATTCTCTTAGGATATTGGATGAACATCCCAACAATTTATTATTGACATGGTGAACAATGGAAATATTTTAAATTTTATCCTAGTGTATGTAGTTAATAATTTCAAAATAAAATCATATTTACAAAATCCTTTAAGACTAGAAATGTGAATTTTTGACGATTTTACAACTTGGTTAAAGTTGCTTCTACAGAGTAAAAATTTTTTAAATATTATATGTGGGTGCATTAAGATTTTTTGATTCACAAGTAAATGTCTGACAAATAAATTATTATTAGAGAGAGTGTCCATATAATATACATTGTTGCATTTTAAAGTAACTTTGAAATCTTCTTTAACGTTTATACTCAGAAATTATTTATTGTCCATTATCTTTCTTAACTGGTTAACGACTTTCTAACAAGTGAAATCATAGTTCATAAACTTTGATGTGAATAAATCGAAATTTTCTCATGTCCTATAAACTTTATGACAAATAACAGGACGATTGTTGGGATACGTTTTCTCGATAATAATTTGTTTTATAATCTGACTTTGAATAGATTCGGCAGCAGTAAGTCACCGCGAACTAAACAGCAGACGAACACAAGACTGGCAGGGACTGTGATTAAAATGTCAAAGTTAGGCCATTGTTTTGGATTCAGAAAGAGTATACCGATGACATTAACCAATGCTCATTATTGCGTTACCATCATCCAACCCCCGTACCGTTGATATTGTTTCATTCGCGAAACGATTGATTTTTATCACTCTAAGTCAGTCACTAGTCATTATAAGAATATTGTCAGCATTGAATAGGTGTCTGACTGTGACGAGCTCATAAGTAATACGAAACGGCTGTTGACTGACTTTCGGTTATTGATGTTTGAATACGTGAAGCCAGTCCATGATGTTAACCATCTTTTAGTCGAAAACAGAATATTTTTGAAACCATGAATCGATCAATGTTAGACCACCATTAGAAACCTGGAAGCACTGGACGGCCGTTTCGTCCTGGTATGGGACTACTCATCAGCAGTGCGCATCCACGACTTCTGCACCCCGCAGGATTCGAACCCAGGACCTTCGGTATTGTAGGCGAACGCTCAACCATCGGACCACTGAGCCGGTATCTAACGGTGTTAATGTCTAACTTGATCAATTTACGGAGTTGCGCAACCCCAAAAATGTGTAACTTAACAATATTTACAACCCCGTGATGAAAACAGAATACTTGAGAGAACAATTGTTTTCAATAACTTCGTTATCAGGTTCAACAATTATAAGTCCATAATTATTTTTCTGTTTTACAATGGCCAAATTAGGGAACCGATGTACTGTACTAGATTAATGATAACAACGTAACGTCTTACTCTGAATTATTCCGACCTTTATTAGATGACCTTTCTAACTTTGAAATTATACAAACTTCAAGTATTTATACTGTAATTTATATTGTGTTCACTATTTTTTACCATATAACGTTGTTGGTTTCATTAATGCAAGCCATATTTTGGCCATTCTGAAGTAACATAATAATTATGAACTTTTGACTGTAGAGCCTGATGATATTAATTAATTTTTCGCTTGTTTGTTTTAGTGCAACATATTCCAAGGTCAAAAGTGAATTTTGATTTAAAAACGATGCTACTGATATAAGTTTTTAATAGTATAGTTTACTTAATAAAAAGATTATACCACTTTCAATAATCTATGAAATGTTTACTTTCAGACTTACTCTGTTGAAAAGAATTTGTAGGCGAGGGGGTTTATTCTTTCTAAAGTATCTCCGGGCAAACCATTTGGAGAGAGCAATACTAGATTAGTGAATCGAATATATGGACTAAAATTGAAAAATCAAATTAGGATCAATAATGCAAATATTTTGTTACACAAAACATAGACAGTAAATCAAATAACACGATTCCCATAGGTAAATTTGATTAAAAAAATTGTCATCTAATAGCAGTAACTGATAAGGCCTTTTAGGAATAAATGTATTCATCATCTTTAAAAGCTAAACCTTGAAACTTCACTTTTATTGTTATTACCGCAATCTAAGATTGTTCAGTTTAAATGAAGATAACATTTATGTTAAACGAAAATACTATATCCGAGGGAACATTACAAATGAATAGGAAGCTGTAATTTGTAACATAATAAAATTGCGAACATATAAATATATCTGTCTTTAAGATATATAAAGGCCTAGACTTGGAAAAAATTCACCATTAACTTCATTGGATAACTTCCATTGTTTATCAATCTTTCATTTAGATTTTGAATTTGATGGAACATGTAAGTACAGAAACCTAATGTATTTGAGTTTGCCCAGCTTGTGAAGAATAACTTCAAGAATGGAAACAATAGAATTCCCAACTATTGAAAACAATTTTTGTCATAAATGTTTACCAAAAAACATGCAAATTTCAATCCTCACAAATCTAGGTAGGTTTTCATCATATGGACTAAAGCATATTTCTTGTAATCATGACGGATAGTGATAATGGTTACTGTAAAATGTTGAGTGGTGAATTATATTAAGGACGAATTGCTTGCTATGATGGTTACTGACATTTACAAACTATGTGAATACATATCATCTGATCTGTGGCGTCAGATAGTGTGAATCGATGTTTCATTTAGGTTAGCTGAGAAAGTGTAACATCAATAGTTATTTCTCAGTCACTATTTCTTTTAAAATCAGTAGCAAATAATTCACATCTCACACACCTAAGATTCTTATACTTTTGTACCTGTGTTTTTTAAAAAAATTGGAAAAATGGCCTAATTTTTAACAAATTAAAACAAAATGAACGAATTTAACCTGAGTTACAATTTTTTTAGTAAAATTCAAAAAAATCATGGGCAAACAGGATTAGGACGCGGAGCAAAGAGGGATACAGTCAAAATAAAGTGGCGAAAAACGACAGGTCTGAGGTTCCAATAATAACTAATCAAGACCGGGGTTAACAGAACAGCCTACGCCTCATACGTGGAGAAATTTGAATACTTCCCGTCTAACTGAAGTTTGTGCTGATGATGTTGTTCAGAAGAACAATGGAAACTCCACATCCAAAACATCCAGCTCAGAGGACAAAACTCCACCACAATCATCCACCTGAGCTACGAATTTTTTTCCACCACCTCATAAATCATTGTTTATACTTAAAAAATACTCACGATATACACTTGGTGAATGTTTTATATGTATGATACGACAATAACTTTATTTTGTTAGTCTATAATAAGTACCAGATTAATGATTGGTGTGCTTTCTGTGGTTGCTTACTTATGAATTCTGTATTAGTGACATTTTTAGAATGATAAGAATTTTATTCGATTCTAATGTTTACACTGACGTGCTATGTAGACCTTATCTAGCTCAAAGAAGAAAACGTCTCCAGAATTTCGTCGTTCTTGAACATATTATGTTATTTGTCGTGATAAAATATGTTTAAATTGTTCACAACTATTTATCACGGGTTCAGAGGAAGAAGTTTTGTATTCAGGCTGGGTTAATAATCGTGAAATTACCGAAAATATCGCCTAGAGCCCTTCTGAGGCTACTGCCGGTTTGAAGACCGGATAAAGAAGGCTACTGTGTGGGCCGGAAACTTGGAGAACTACGAAAGCCATCATCCAGAAGATTCAAGTATTCATTAACAGTTGTCTATGCAGGATACTGAGGATTTATTGGCCAGATACCATCGGCAACAACCAACCGTATGAAAGAACAAACCAGATTCCAGTTGACGAGGTATTCAGGAAGAAGCGCTGGAAGTGGATAGGGCATTGCGAAAGCATGTAACTGGATCATAAAACAAGACATCAGTTGGAACCCTCAAGGTCAAAGGAAAATCGGAAGGCCAAGGAAGATATTAAGCCGAGAAATAGAGAAAGACATGAGAAGAATAAACAGAAATTGGACAGAAGTGGAAAGGGAAGCCCAGGACAGAGTAAGCTGGAGAATACTGGTTGGCGGCATATGCTCCATTGGAGGGTAACAGGCGTAAGTAGGTAAGTAGGAAAGTAAGTAAGTAATTAGATTCAGTCTGAACAACATAAATATCATTCCTAAATTCTCCCCCAATTTTTATTCTTAGTTTGTCATCGTATTTTCTATTTATAGCGATGGTTTTTTATCTCAATAAACCTATAATTATCAAAGTATTTACCATACTATAAACATTTTGATTTACCAAGTTGCTAATGTTTCAAGTACTGCTAATCCAGTAGTCGAAGCACCAACCACAATAATTCTCGCGTTGATAATTTCTTTTGGTTCCATTAAGAGTTTTGCTGTTGTCATAAATAATGCTGGCAATGATTCGAATTTTTCCAAAACTCTTTTCTCTGGTGCTTTTATATTAGCCAACAATGATTCTGGATAGATAATTTGTTTTCTTGGTTTAACTGGTGATAATTTTGACAGACAAGTTATCAGGGTACATCGATTGAATTTCTGTTAATAAGAATTTGAATAATTCAAGGAAAATGCTAATGTTTTGTCAATGCAGGATAATGTAAACACAAATGTGGGAAAAAAAGGCCACATTACTGTTCTGTAATTCCTTAGAACAAATATTTGATCTCAGTAATTCATGTACACCTAAATTATCCTTGATACTTACTATTCAAAGCTTTTTCATTCTTAAAATTGCCATCTATAAGAAGTGCAGATTAATATACTGCTTTCACAGAAGCTTGATTTTTGAGAAAAGATATAAATATATATTTCTTTACTTCGGTTGCGGTTTAATGTAGATTTTCTTTTATACAACCATTATTATGTATGGATACAGAAGATGGTTTACTTTGAAAGTAAATTGTAATTCTATTTTTTATTTAATGACTATGAAAAACAACTGGTTTAATCGTATTTTCTTTAGCGATCTGTTATTTTTAACGACCGATTCGCAAAAAAAATCTGATGAAGTCGATGTTTCCGATTTCTTGATAACTTGGCTATCGAAATTAAGAATTGAAAATGTTTCCTTTTTTAACACTCTATTAACAACATGGTACTGCGTGACCATAATGACTTGTTAATGTGTATAAACAATTTATCCGATTCTAAGGATGATGAAAGTTAAAGACATTGAAATAAATAACAGTTGGAAAGCAGACGTTTATCAAATATAAGAATGGCTATAATTGGCTTAAAGCGAGACATTATGAATCCCCGGATCTTATGCTACCCATTTGATAGATAGATAGATAGATAGACAGATATGCATCTTGTCTCACAGATCTGAAGCAATATTTTACAGTTTGAACTAGCACGACTCTTTAATGTCGTTTTAAGATGAAGAGCTTCCTTAATTATTACGTACTCAGTGCTATTATTTTACGTATAAATATTATTGAACTTCAACGGCTGTTTTTTGTGTCAGAACAGAATAATCACGACCAACAGAGATCATTTGAATATCACTTTGGGAAAAGTATGAATTAGGAGATAATGAATTATAAAATACATGTTAATTTTTCTTGAAATTTAATTCGTTTTTTAGCTAATTGCAAATAAAATACCACAGTATCTGTCGCTATTCAAGCAATGAACGTACTTAATAATTAACACTAGTGTTTAATTCTCAATTTTATCTTTAAGGATAACCATTTGAATCATTTGACAGAAAACGTTTCTTTCCTTTTGTAAGCAGTGTTCAAAGCAATCACTTAAAAATTTATCCTCAATCTCAACGAAAATAATGCTGTTGTTTGCCGTCTAGTGTTAATTCTTTTCACTTTTAACGTAATTTAAATACAAGCATAAACAGCCTAAATAGTGTGAAGCACGTAAAATAGGAAATATAAAGTGTCAAAACAAGTTTTTTTCAACCCACAAATACTGAAACTTTTTGTTATAGTTAATATCTGGGTAATTGAAAATTATAATTTCAAAGTATAGTTCCATAAACAAACTGATATCACCATCTAGGATCCGGTAACTATCCGATTTAAGTTAAAAACTTTTCACTAGTATCCGGAGATGACTGAATCCTGAAGCTTAAGGTTGATGATCACTGTACTGCTAGACAATGAATTAGCAACCTATAAGTTCTTATTCGATAAATTTCCAACTAATATCAATCCGCAATAAAAACTACGAATATGTTGAATAAAATACATAAGTCAGCTCCTTATCTTAACGATTGATCTATGGTCATAAAGTGTCTGTTTGGAGGAGAGTTCTTTCAATAACTTCATATTCTGAATAAAGTGTGAATGAGGAATAAATGACAATTTTTTTTCTATATAACCTACTGATTCATCTGCGTATGGAGGAAGTACACGATAATAAATACATGTTTTCTTCGACTGACGCAGAATTTCTCGAAGAAACACTTCTGTTCGTGACTGGAAATTAGCTGCCAATAAGAAATGATACACCGAGACATGTTCATCTCGAGCATGATGTGTAAAATATATAAAATCTTCAATGTTGTAATGAGCTCGTAGCCATTCGATATGCTATAATTTTGTAAAATTAGAAATGGATAAGGATGTAGAAAATATGCTTTTAATCAAATTAGAAATTAAGTTATGGGACAAACAAATTGGTATAAATAATGCTACTTGTGAAAATTGTATATGAAATAAACTTAGCGACTGAATGCTAAATGATTCCAACGTTTGGTCAAGCAAACCTATCTGGACATAATTATCCAAGTAGATTTCCTTTAACACATGTCAAACTCTAAATACTCAAATCAAAATCACGATAGTAGGATAAGCTTGATCCACCTATTATTTAACATTAATTAACTGATTTACTTATGAATATTCTCTAATCAAAAGTAATGATCATATTGCATGACTAATAGATGCATATGCATGAAATAATTTAGTGACACTTTTTCTGATAGTTATTATTTAAATTCTTCTTCTAATGATTTTGACCAGTTTCTTAGAAAGGATAAATTGATTGCTAGCAGTTTTCTCCAAGAAGTGTGTTCCACAATCCAGCTTTTTAACCATCAGCTAGATGGATATGCATCTCAGTGATGGTCTTCACAAGGGGGAACGAACACAATACTTTTTGCTTCTAACGTTCAGTGTTACTCATGGAACTAGTGAAGTTAGGTAGACAGTCACATCTGCCACAGGTATGATATTTTTATCAGTCCACTAATTACTGCATAATCATCTATTCAATGAAAACTTGTGAAAATGGATAATATTGCACAAAAGGCCATTACAGTAACAAAAATTAATAAGAATTCAGCCAAGATTGTCAACAACAAGACAATGGAAATTCTTTATGCTAATAGCATATCATTATAACTCTGAATAACTCCTTTTACATGATTTAAGAGAGTCATCTATGAAATCTTAGAAAAGATACTTCTAAACCATTTAGATGGAAAATCTCTAAATTGAGAATTCACAGTTTAAGTCGTTCTTCCACGAGATGGAAATTTTACTATCCAAAATATTGGTTCAGGCATTATTTCCTTGGGTCTCTACAATCAGATCGAGTAATTTATCTCATTGTTAGGTCGTTATTGTGATTTTGGCTGGTTTTAGAATGGAGTAAAGGATAGAAGTTGTATTTGTTGTTAACTGGGTCACTGTCAATAAGAAATGTACCCTCCTCATCAAATAAGCAACTCATATTTGGTGATGAGAAAAAACAAATAATTCAAAACTAGGTGTTCCGATATTTCTTACTGTAAGACATAAGAACTCCATATTTATTTATAAAGACTTCTAATTTCAAAAATATTACAGATCTATAACTCATTCAACAATATTTAAAGAACGCCTTAATATTTAACTGAACTCAGTTTACCTTATTAATGAATGAATGGTTGAAGCTATAATCTTTATTGTCATAAACTTGTCACTTGAAAAACAATTAAGCTAAGTAAATCTTGGTTTGTCTTCAGTCAGTTAGTACTGTGCTTAATTTGCATGTGAACGGTAAGTCCATATCGAGATTGTAATGTATGATTTTAACGCTTTCACAGAACGAATTCTGATGAATGTTAAGCTTTTTTGTAGTTACAGTCAAGTAGAAGAATAATTATGAGTTATAAAACTAATTGCGGCAAAACGACAATGCAACTAATTGATTACTACTTATGTCATGGATTTATGAAGTCACAGTATTTTGATTTACGGTGACTATTACCAGTTACATTTTCGTATATGGTTAAAAAGTGGTGAGAAATTGATTTTTAAAATAATTTACAATGATATATACTGAATTACTCACATGTTCATCACGTAAAATTGCTACACCGACTATCTTACCCAGTGCAATAGCGACATAACTATAAATTATTGTCCCATCCTGAATAATAAGATGGAGAAATATAGAAAAGAACTTGAGCAATTACATTAAATTGTAACAAACAAATGCTGGCAGCATTTTATATGTTAACATATGTAGTATACAATATCGATCCATTTTATTCCAGATAATTATTTGATAGGCTCATTTTAAACAATCATGGAATGGTATTTTTTTATGAAATACTTTAATTATTGAAATGAAACATCAAAACATTTAACATATTTTATGCCACGTTTTTGTATTCCGTGAAGTTCTACCTTAATTCCTTCAAGGTATTATCTTTTCTGAATTACATAAAGCTTCTGGATTTGATGGCTGATTCCGGCATGGATACGCATTTTTCAAAAACCCCTAAGAACTCTGAATAATCATTCGACAGACAGACTAGACTTGACAACACTCGTATTAATATTTGATGGTTGGAAGTAGTCAGCAGGAAGCCCTGTTTGACTTAAATTTCACCCGAATCGGTATCTGTTAGTAGGGCATTCCTGTTACCCTAATAGAAGAGATATCCATAGTGGTTATCCTGCAGATGTACTTTAATCCCCAAATAAATATGAAATAGCTGTGTATCTCTGATGATGGAAGTTACAATTAGTTTATATATTTGCAATTAGAGTTATGGAGATTAGTGTTTTTACACATTTGAAATCATCAATCAATCATTGTTAGACAACCATTAGAAACCTGGAAGCACTGGACGGCCGTTTCGTCCCGGTATGAGACTCATCAGCAGTGCGCATCCACGACTCCTGAACCTCACAGGATTCGAACCCGGGACCTTCAGTATTGTACGCGAATGCCTAACCATTAATTTATAGGCAAATGGCAAAACTTATTTCATTTTCATCTATTATAGTTCAGTTTAAAGATTCTATATACAATTCAACTAACTTACTTCATCTCGACCACTACTCATGAATGATTGTAAATCAGTGAGAAACAAAGAACGATCATATGTATTCATAGTTCTGGTTAATAATTTTATTTCTTCTTCATCGGCATGGTGTGTACGTCTTATAATGAAATCCCTATGGTAGGTAGTAATATTTAATGATAATAGTTAAAAAAAGTATTTTAGTTAAAGATGTATTTTCATTTTCAGAAATATATTATGAAATTTGAATAATATAGAATCTCGTTATCTCACTTATAAGGAAATTCGAAAGTTTTCAAGATAAATGATAAACTCTAAAACATGTGAATGTAACAAAGTGTATAATTTATTTTATTATGATTACGAGCTGATCTAGGCTAGATTACATTTGACAACCTAGAAACACTAGACGGCAGTTCCTTCTTAGTGTGTGACTCCTCCTTGCAACCAGGAGCCGAATCCAGGATTTTAGATTTCTGGTTGTTGTTTGTGGATACAGAATACTGAATCTTATAAAATCCTTGTGGATATATGCCATCAACAGTTATCGAACAGGTCACTTTAAAATACTAATAAAGAAGAACGATTGGTGCATGATATAAACGTTTAGAAAACAAGATTTTAGGCACAAATTCATCCTCCACTGATTCATTGTTAAAAATCATACTTAAAGGCTTAATCACATAAGATTTCCATATTGTAACACACTAGAGGCATTTGAGCAAATATTTTCACGACTGGATGGAAACTATTCTAATCAGTCCTTTGATCTGACCTAGTTTATAAATATTACTAAAAGTCAGAATTATCGGATTTAAATACAGTTCATTAAAAAACTGTGTGGGGGTTGTACTAATGCTATCCAAAGGAGCACAAAATACCCTTCTAGGATGACATTTTTATTGGCCCATAATATCAAAGTCCCCTTTAAAATAAAGGAAGAGAAGATCGTAATGAATATCATTCATTGTTATGAACAAACCAACGAAAACAATCAGTGCGTTAAAGATCAATTCTATCATAAGCTGCAGTCAATGATCGGAAAATACCCAACAAAGAAGGACTTGACCATTCCGTTTGGAGACCTAAACTTCATGATCGGAACGGACAACAGTACATATGGAGACGTCATTGGATGACATGGACCGGTAGAAAGAAACAAACACGGGTCATAGGCTGCACCGTATTTCAACATAAAGCTAAATAGACTTCAGCGGATTACACCACATAGAACAAAATCGACCATATCTGCATTAATAAAAGTTCAAAAGGATCACAGAGGACGTAGGAACAAAGATTGGATCCGACATAGATTGCGATCATCATTCAGTTATAGACAAAATGAGACTGCAACTAAAGAAGCTGTAAACAAAAGTTTAATACAGGTTTTCTTTGGGATTCTAGATCTATGTGGATACTCTGGGTAAGATTCAAGGAAGGAAGAATGGGAGAAGAGTAATCAGTATCAGCCAAACGAGAGCGAAGAAAGCAAGGGCACAAGCTGAATACAGAAAAGCAAACAAGGAATTAAATAGGAGAATTACAGCTGACAAACGGAAATATAAGGAAAATCTAGCAACGATAACAGAAAAGTTTGCAAAGGAAGGAAATATGAGACAACTGTTTAGTGCAACAAAGAAGCGCACCGTAAAATATCGTAAACCAGAACGATCAGTGAAAAGCAAGGAAGGCAAAAAAGTAATCACCGACATTGAAGAACAGAGAAACAGGCGGGTAGAGCACTTTGAGGAACTTTTAAATCAACCAGTCCTACTGAGTACACCCAACATTGAAGCAGCATCGACGGACCTCTCAATCAGTGTTGACCCATCAACGATTGGAGATATCAGCATGGCTATCAGACAAGTCAGTAGTGGCAAGCATCGGGACCAAACAACATTCCAGAAGAGGCAATGAAAGCAGACGTGTCAGCAATTGCAAAAATATCACACATTCTTTTCAGCAAGATTTGGGAGGAACAACTAATGCCAACAGACCGGAAAGAAGGACACATGATCAAGATACTGAAGAACAGTGATCTCAGCAAGTGTAAAACTATAGAAGCACCACTCTTCTCGCAATACCAGACAAAATCTTCAATAGCGCTCTGTTAAACTGAATGGAATATTCAATAGACGCTCACCTCCTAGATCAACAGGCTGGATTCTGTTATCGTGGCTGTACAGACCATATCGTTACAGTACAGATCATTTTGGGAAAATCAGTTGAATTGAATTCACCACTCTACATCAACTTACTTGACTTCGAGAAACCATTTGGCAGTGTGAACAGGAAGACACTATGGGAGCTCCTTTGACACTACAGCGTGCCTAAGAGGATCGTCAACATAATACGGGAGTCGAACACAGGACCTAGATATTCGCACAGACACTTAAACTCTAGTCTATGGATTTGTCATCCAACAGTAATAATCCCTACCTTCAAACAGTAGATGATATTAGCCTTTCAGTTATGTTATTTCATGATTTGCGTGACTGGCCAATCTAGCAACCAACAACAACCAGGAAACACTGAAAAACGTATTTATCCTAGTACGGGACTATACAGGAGTATGTATCTAGAACCGATCAGGTATGATCCTAGAGCATTCTCGTCTTATTACTGATACGTATCCTCATGAACTGGCATCTCTTGATTGGTAGATTGTGCAACCATTACCGATTGATATCCTCTGCATTTGTCTTACTCCTGACACTACCTTTTATTTGATCCAATACTAGGATAAATCAGCTGTTCGATGCTGCTGTCTATCTAAAATCGATCACCGGTAATAATAACAACCACAACAACAACAACCAATTTATTCATAAATCATATGATTTCATTGAATATCGTAATTCATCCTCTTACCTATATCTTTTACTTATTTCGTCAATCATCAATCAATCACTGTATTAACACTTTTGGAAAATATTGTTCTTACGTAACACACAGTTGATTTATTGGTATTAATTTATTAGTAAATAAACTAAGCTATTAGAGAGTAATAAAAAAAATCTAGTTTTGACGAATTATTAAACAGCTCTTTTCATCTTTTAATCAGTATTTCGATGATGGACGTTTGCTTCACTAGAAAATTGCATAGTAGAGCGCCAAAGGGAAATACTGCGATTTAAGAGTCATGGCAAATAAAGAGGTTACTAATCAGACAAACTGAAAAAACCATTAGTCAATGGACTAAGTTGGATTGTGAAAGAAAATCTAGATCAAGTGTATCATTAACTAGCTGGAGTACACTTGCTATCTAGTTTTTACTTAGGACTTGAACACTACCCAATACACTGTTTTATTAAATTCTGTCCCAACGCCTTTTAATTTTGAAGCAACTTACAATGTATTTATATATCTGATTTTATTAGTTTGTGGAATTGTCAGCCTTCTACAATTATTGTTCAAATGATAATAAATATTTAGAAAAATACAGTAGTACATTTGAATAGTAGAAGCAGTTTTCATAAAGTCTAGAAAAAAAACATATATATTCACATGCTTGTTCTATCTCCTTAAATTATTATAGACTTAGTGTTAGTTACGTAATTTAACTGTTAAAAAATGGATTTTATTGCAGACACAGCTTACCTGTGAAGTTCACAACGATGAAGTACGTATAATTCATGTTCTGGATCTTTATTCTGTCTTACCCTACAATGCTAAGATAAGAAATTTTTCAATTGTAAACACATAGTGTTTGATGTATCAATGAAATTATGGTGCATTTCCAGTTACCTATGACTAAGTTTTGAAACTACAAACTTCTCTCTAGTATTTCAATAAAAACGCATACAAAAGTTGATGAATTCCACAAACTCAATCCCAAGCTTATTTTTACCTATTTATAAGTTATGTACAGAAAAGATATTTTACGTATGATAATTTTGAAAAAAGAAATGCTTAGATGTCATTTGATCTTACTGACAAAAATTATTGTTCAATGCAATTTGAAAAACAAGTTACACTCATATAACTTGGTAATTATTAGTGTACAGGACAGTAAGAGAATTAATAAAAAACACAATGAAAATATGTACTACATTGCCTATTATTTGGAAGATAATTAAACTGTCCAGTCAAAAGTCACTCACTTATTAATAACTAATATTATGTTTCCTATCTCGTGGTGTTTATTTCGTCATACAATTATACTAAGAACCGAGATCTCAAGTATATGGGGTAATAAGTGAAAAGCCGTGAACATCGGTTCTGCACTGGCTGACACGTATTAATAGACTATCTCTAAAGTACTGAAGGACACTGTCTTAACAATAAGGGACTAAATGTTTCATCAAAATCAGTCAATAACAAGGTGTGAAGTCATCGAAAGAAATTCCGTATCGTGGACGTGACTTGTTCATGGCCGTCAGGTACCAAATTTTCTCCATATATCTGGAATACTGTTTGGCTAATACTGTATTTATTTTCGAATTCAGTTTATTTGAAAAATAAAATGTCAAAATACCGTTTGAAAAGAGCGATAAACTAGCAATAAAGTGCTTGAAAAAATTAAATGAAGTCAAAGAGCGAACATATTTGAGCTAACAAAAACTTCCAGTTATAAATTTTGGATATTTTTTGAGGCAATTTTTGTCAAGTCACTTACTAAAAAACTCTTCAACATTGGAAAACATTTAGCCAATCTAGGAACTGTTATTATAGCATATTCTAAATCAGAAAATTGACTGAACAGCAATGGTAAAATGTCCATAAATCTAAAAATTAAATAAGCAAAATATATTATTAGGAAATCGTTTTCAGTTTCATACAATCAAAACTTAGGAATAAATCGTATTCATTTCAAAATAGTATTTACTTGTTTCTGTAGCAATTATTTAGAGATATTTAGGGATATAAATTAACTGTACTATTGTGAATAGCTCAGTGATTTAATTTTTTAACAATACGTTTACTATTTTGTCGATCAAACTTTGAAGTGATTTTCTGAAGTACAGAGTGAAACATTCGATTTATTTCAAACAGTTTCACTGATTTAATTGGGTGGTTGTATTCAGAATAAGTTGAAGATTTATCCCTTACTCGTAAAAGTTTACACTGAAAAACAGTAATCCATCACAAAAACAAGTACCTAGCATTTACCATATTTATGATCATGCTTTTACTAATTAGAACTAAACATTATGGCCAACGTATGAATCATTTATTTATAAACATTGGAGTATGCTATGAAAGAAATCTCCCCTTCATTTTCTGTATATCATACTTAGGCAAACCCCACTTGTGCGACAGCGGTAGTAGGTGGTTAAATACGGATTTGGCAGGATGAATTTATTTCAGGAAATCGTCTGTAGTGGAACGCTTCTACGAAGAAAAAACGATTTGTGAAAAATAAACATTATTGTACTCGTTTTGTTTAACTGTACCAAAAACAATTCTACGACTTCTTTCGCGCAACGTTCTCATCGCGTTGCTGCCATTTTTCTCTATTTGCTGCTTCCCATGTAATGCCAACGTTCTCCTTCAATAAACAACTCAACCATGGACAAAAAAAGCCAGACATGCGATAATCGATATAAGCAATACATACATTCAAATAAAAACAACCAAGATATGAGCGAATTATAGACAAGGTCGTAATCAGTTTTTCCTGAAAGCTATGACAAGCCCTGTGGGCTCAACATATTGGCACTCAGTCTACAACATTTTTGGAGAATATCTTATATGTTCTGTTGAAGAAGAAAGTATTCACTTTTCTTGGTCGGCCTAGGTTGAAAGAGAATTTGAACTTTTCGTAGAGTCCTAGCAAAATGTCAGTCAAATAATAGCAGTAAAATATGATTATTGTCGAAATCTCACCGTGATTCATATTCTGGTTTCATACTAAAAAGTTGTATGGCGAATGCATTTGATCTCATATCGTCTGTCCATTCAAACTTATTGTTATCTTCCATACTACATTCTTTATGCATAAGTCGTTTCGTCCAGTGATGTAATTGGTTAGTTTCTTCATCGTTTAAGTGGTAATTTGACTCATTAGGACCCGGTGAATTGATTTGCTCTTCTGTTTTAATATAGCTCAGTCTAGATGTAATGCTTTCATCTGCTTCATCTGTGAACAACACACATATGTACATCTTTATCCATAAGCAATACACTTTACATCATAAAAAGGGAATAATTATTTTTATACAATGGATAACTAAGAAGTTAGGTAGGCATATTTACATAAAATATGCCAAAAACGTGGAACAACCCGTAAAATTGAAATATGCGGTTGGAAAATTACGAAAACAAGTAAAGAGCCAAGAAATATCACAATAATCAAAGTAGCATAGATTAATCAAGGAAAGTTTGTAATTCGTGCAATGATATTTAAGATTTGCAAGAAACTGGAGTCTGGCTATAGTTAGTAATGGATTCTGTATCATTTCCTCTCTCGTCTGCTATTTAATGTTGAGTAAAGATCAGCACATGTGAACAAAATCAATCGTCAGATAGTAAATTGAATTTATTTAAGTGTTAAGCTTTTCATAACCTCGTTTTTTAATCATCAATCAAGGTTATTCAGAACTTCAGTCAAAAAAGTCATTAACTGGTTTATGACCGGTAGACAACACAAGTATTTTCAATGCGTCAGGATAAAATGTTTGAATAATTGGGCGAAAAAGATAAGACACTCTACTTATGTCCAAATAACAAAAACCATTGGAATGGAGAACGATTAGCTTGAACATTTTGTTTAGGGATAACTTCTATATCAATAACTGATCTCTGATTATATACTTTTATAAGCGTTTGCTTTTTAAAATGATCATTTTTACAGTTTCCTAGTCAAGACTTTGTACGTCAACTCTCTGTAGAACTCTGCATGTAAACAAATTGTAGATTATTTACTGTCGACTAAATACAACGCCAGTTCTTATTATATTAACATGCTTAATCTTTCGGAATATGTTCGCTTATGTACTAATCGATATTTAAATGGTGATACTTAAAAGATTGGCCCATTTTACACTCAAAAAAATTTGAAGAGTGTGAATAAGATGTTTATTCATCATGAGAAAGAAAAATTGTTTTTTTTAACACTATTTGTTGATTCAACCGAAAAACAACAAGAAGACAATTCAGTGTGTTGGATTGTCTCTTCTGTGATGAATATCTTAAATAACAGGAATCCACATGAAGGATGTTATGACACAAATTCTGAGACAATCTGGAAGAGGGAAATATTAGCAATGAATATTTTGCTAAACTAAATGACTAAACATTGGTTTTCCAATTACGGTATGAAAAGGACTCCAGGTGCTCAGGTTACATTAGGAAAAATCCTAAATTTATATTCATAGCATAAAAAGTAGTCAACAAGACAAAAACCATTTTCATATGTTTGTCGACCTTCAAGTGTTTTGGAAAATTGTTATGCTAGGATAGGATCTTACCTGTTATTATCGAAGCATCTTCATTTATCTCCTGTGCTTCGCTTTCTACTAGTTTGTCAAGTTTCACCAACCAGTTGAACAAACTTAAGTCGTAATGTGAGTTTAAATTCCTGATATTTAAATCTCTCGTTGCACTGATGAAACCGACGGCCCTGCGTTCGTACTGTTAGTGAGATTAAAACTACTTCATGACAAACCTCCACAACAAGACATTTGAGATAATCGTCTTGGGCTTCAACTAGCTCTGATACGTAATAATTTCCGTACGTTTTCTGGAGAAGCATGGACTCCGCATTTATCATAGGCGTAAGATCATCTGTATCTTCCACTCTGAATGTAATGATAGGCTCTATAGTATCTTACGCTGCTGGGCGACAGAAGAGAACCGGAAAAACTTCATGCCTATAGACACAGACGATATCTCCTTCTTCATCGATTCTGTTTGATAATTTATGGAATGGAGAACAGTTCAAGGACTCTTTAATAAAACTTTTACGAGCGAATCACAATTTACTGATGTGACAAGAATCTTTCAACATGAAAAAGATATGATGTACGGAACTAGCAATAATGAATGCCCTCTTCAAAAGCTGAGTTATTACAAATTTTTCGTGTGCTGGACTGAGAACGAGAAAATGTATGAACCATGAGTTCGTGGTTGTTATATTATCGATACAATATGTATCACCAAAGAGTATATTCCAGTCAATCTTCGAAAACTTTGAGCTGTTTGGATATTCACAAAAGCATGCATGTCCAACCACATTTTTATCATTGTCAGTAACACAAAGTGACAGAACTGATCTCTCACTATATAAAGGAACACTGCAAATGTGAAATAACTAATTACATGAGTTTCACGAGATTTATTCCATCTAAATGCTTTGAATCACTTTCAATCATCAGTTTTTCAATTTGTTCCAAGTCTGTGAGGGAACTTCTTCGAACTTCAAAAACACCTTCGACTCTTTCCATGGTTAAATCTGGACCACAGTGTTTCCATAAGCAACTGTCCAATATCCAATATCAAGCGGCTCAAATAGTTGTGGACGAAATCAAAGCTTCTGTTTAGTCGGGTTCCAAACCTAGTGACAGTGGACCACCGATGACTTCAGTTCGTAATCTAGGTACATTCGACGATCAAAAGAAGAATATTGATAAATTAAATGAAGATATTGTCGTGAGTACATGGAAATATGTTCAATACCTTTTCCACGAGGTAGTATAATCCCACTGATCCCTTTTTCCTCGCTTCCTGTTCTTATCGTATGGTTTCACGTATCTGATAAAGTTCTACTGATGTTGGTCTAGCCACTCGATTGCACTAATTCTAAATAAATAAATGGATAACTAAGTTAATTGATTGGAAGTGAAGATTGTGTGAGAGGAGAGATGTGTATGCAAACAAGAAGAAACAAAGCAAGTAGGCGAAAAGGGAAAAACTCATGCATCTGAGGCAATCAGAATTATGACAACGAACACGTATGAAGGCATAGATCACTCACAGGTGGTCCAAACGGGAGATGATAATACGTATGTGTATGCGTTTGTCAAGTCTCTGTGTAATCTATGGTCGCTTTATTTAGAAAAGCATTCCAAGTTGGGATAACCCTTGATGAGGAAAAGTGGGCACGTATTTAGAATGTTAACTTTTTGGTGTGCGATCTTTGGAGGCTTAACTTGCATCATCTGTATGGCAAACGTCGTTAAGCTTTTTTGATCAAACAAATCGTTAATAAATATCAGGGAGAAGACTTGATATCAGATGTTCCATTGTGAAACTCGTGCTATTGAGACTTGCCAGCTTGCATGCAATCTATTCGAATCGGTACGAAAATTTCTGTACCTAAAATATAAGTGGATCATTAAAGTACATTTTATAGACCTCTATCAGGAGTATGTGGCGACTATGTCGAAAGCTTTCCAGATTCGTCTCCGGTTACAGCTTTCTGGTTTCTGCCAACTTACCCCTCATTCACCTGACGTTTCTGTAGACGCGCTTGATGGTTTGACTTATCGTCTGGCACACTTTTGCAGCAAAATCTGTCATCTAAATTCTAAAAACGTTGGTCAAACCGAGTTAGACATTTCTGCGGAAACTGGGGGCTGTAGGTTTTTCCGCGTGTAGTGTATTCCATTTGCCTTTTGTATCTTGAGTTGTAGGTCGAAGTCAAGTGACGTTATTGTGTGCTTGATCTGGCCTCTTTGCTGTTGCCTCACTGACTTAGGTCAGCTCTCACAACACTTAACTGGACTGGAGAGATGATTCGTGCCGTACTAAGCTTGAAGCGCCTCAGTCAGGTTCTTCCGCTTTTTGAAGTCCATAGTCATCAGATGTCGAAACTTAATGCGAACGGTGATGGTGGTTAGAAGTTTTATGCTACCTTACAGCCTCGGTCAATATTGCTCACCATATACTAAGGATTCATCCAAACTACAAGCAAACAGCTCAGACACTCGGTAAACCAACATACTGTCTTTTCATTGGTTATTTATTGGTGCTCTAGTAAGTGCTCTTACTGGCCATCATTTGCCATACCTGAGTTAGATTGGGAAGGATATTTAAACAGAAGGTCACCAACATGTTAGAAGTACTTCTTCGGTAACCGAATCTGAATTTTCCCTTCCGCTTCATTCTGACCCGTAAACTGAGAACAAGGTTCGGCTGAAGTACTGCCCATCCCAAGCATTGCGCAGTATATATCTCTCTGTTCTTTGTCAAAGACAGACCAACTTCTCAGTAGGATATATCCCCTCACTGGGACACTAAACAAAATTCGGAAGTTTTGGCGAAAATCCTCGTTTCTGACTTTAGCAATATGCAAGCTACGTTTCCATTCCTAATACCTATTCACTGTTCCGTTCTGTTGACAGATACGGGTTTATCATCGACGGACGGCGGTTTCTTTGGTTTGTGAGCACAGATTGCATCTGTTTTTTACCTTGTCGATTCTTTGCTGGGAGAGTTTAGTACACTGGCAGAGATCGAGAGGTCTGTTTTATATGGGAAGTTTTGCTTACCTTATTGATTCTATACTAGGGAAAATATACCTGGACAACGGAATGAAGTGACTGTTGAACTTACAGGTACTGAAGAGTCACAGTGATAGTGAGTCCAAACACTGTATAAATTGCATTCAAATAAAGACTCTGAGCTGGGATGACACTATGGTTACGCATTTACAATGCTGTATTACGATTACGTATTCATGTTTGATAACTGAAAAATTCTGAGCATCTTTAATTTTGTTGGTACAGCCAATAATATACTTGAATCTGGTGCCGCTTCTGTATAAAAAGGAAAATCAGCAAGAATTAACAGGTGATTCGTGTTCTTAAATCAATATATTAAGGAGTTTATTAAAGCTGCATTACATATTAGGCTAAATATACCTTTAGCAGCTCATCTTATTTTTTGTTGTCTAGATGTTAACATAACTGGTAAGCAAAATATTTTATTGTGTCTGTTTCCCATATTCCCAACATTCTACGACGTCTAATCCCTTCCTTCAGCTCCAAACCACAACTTATCAAGAGAAATTCTGAGAATATTGAAACATTTAGTGGATTCATTCAATCACTCCATTAAATCCGCCAAAAAACTCTTGGGTAAACTTAAGGAGATTAAAAATGGATAACAACCAACTGATGACGACAGCATAATGTCTGTGGTTGGTAGTTTGCATGCACAATGTTCTTGTGAGCTTTGCACAAACTGTGTTCATATTTTGTATGCCTATGAAAAAGACCTAATTCTTGGAGGTAAACCATTTAATCTCTATGTCTGTGATATATTTCTTTTGACAAAGTACACGCAGGACATGGTAGTACGTGATGGGCTTGGTTCTTATATATATATATATATATATATATATATATATATATATATATTTATATATATATATACTTTTGGATAATAAGTTGCTGGAAATTTTAATTTTCCCTTACTATAGTAAAGACTCGTTATCATGGTCATCAAATAGTTATTACAGCGTCGTTGTAGAGCAACTGTATTGTTCGATATTGTGTTACAGAGTGTCCGGTGAAAGTAATTACAGATTACCTGGTCTGTTTCCAGGCAACTGGTTGTCCAAAAAGTTAACCAAAGACTGCAACAATTATGTGTAAATACTTTGAACCTTCTAAGTGAAGTCTGGTATTACTTAATTACTCGCAAAATGCAGTCGTTAGTCTTCATCATTCAGCTGATTCTATCAAGCTTTCAGAATACAAAAATAAGACTGGATGCATTTGACGGTATTGGGCTTTTGTCTGATCAAGAATTCAGTACGTGGGTTGTGTTACTAGAGTAACTATATAAATATATCTCACGTTAATGACTGTTACGGAAGCTAGACATTTGGAGCATGGACATCGCTGCAATCAAATGAATAGCATTCAGTTAACATGAATGAACAGTGGAGCCTCCTGTTCAAAGGCAACCTATTTTGATCCATCAGTGAACATACATCACAATCAAATCATAAATATATTGTTTTCGATATTTTATGCATATAAAGTCATTTCCACTGACTTTATTGACAAGAAAATATAGTTCCAAAAAATATCAGAATTGGATATTTTATTGCTGACTGCTCCACAAATTTAATTTAATTTTAATTTGAATTGAAATAAAAAAAATATAGGAGAAGAATAATTTAATTGGTGCAGAAAAACAGAAGCCTTAAATCATGATTCTTTAATGATACACGGAATGATCAGTCACAAACCTGGGTTAATTACAAGACAAAACTATGTGCGTTGATAACTACACATGACTATCTCACGATCACAATTGTTACTGATGCTAGACCTTGAAAAACTGAAGAAATAAGGCATTCTGTCCCGTTTCATTACACAGGCCCGCATGTAAGTGAACGTGCTTAAGTGCTATCCTTCTTGCCATATATATTAGGTGCTTAGCTGATAAGGGTTAACCATCATCTGACTACAAAAACAGTGTAGATAGAGCCTATGTAACAAGTAAAACACTTTTGCTCACAGACTAATTTCCATGTCTAGCGAGGTAATGAACAAGTAGAAATCAATTCCTAAAATACCTAGCTGTCTACTAGTCAGTCAGCAACAAATCAAAACTCCCTACATACCTACATCAGTTCAAGTTGCCATACCACAATCACAAACGAATGCAGCTGTCAGTTCAGAAAGATAGAAGGATAGATAGAAAGAAGGATAGATAGATAGAAGGAATAAATGCCCTCACGCCAGTGCAAACGATTTTTAGCGGTCGACAAGCTCAACCGCCCCACTCCCTGTCACTGCTTCAGGCGCCGGCCCAAGTCAATCTTAAAGCAACACTGTTCATTTCGACGGGGAGAATCGCATCACCAACGTGCTTGAATTGTTGCTTAGGGTAGTTAGAAGACTTCATTTTGTCAGCATTTTCATCAAAAAGAACTGTATCATCGGCCTATTCTAAGTCAACAAGCCTGTCTCCTGGTAGAAGGTCCACTCATGAAAATTCAGACGAAGTGTGATGTTTCAATTAACTAGTGACTTCTTGTTGTTGTTGAATGCTTGATTTCTTATTCTAAATACAATACATTCGTTTGTGCTTATCACTTAGTTCTTGATTCATATACTTCTAATCATCATACTGGCGTCGCGATGGAGCTTGTAATGGAACAGTTAGATATTCATTCTCCTTCTGAAGCTTTTGAAAATTATTTGGAAAGTTTTGAAATCTGGAGTATGACCAGGAAAGATGTCAAAGATGATAAAATTGTGGCTCATTTCCTAACATTCATCGGAAA